CCTAACCCTAACCCTAACCCTAACCCTAACCCTAACCCTAACCCTAACCCTAACCCTAACCCTAACCCTAACCCTAACCCTAACCCTAACCCTAAAAATTTTCTAATAATCTTAGCGTTTACCGTATAGCATTAATCTTACGGCCTAACTAATTTATAATTAGTAAGTATACATCTAATATATAAGGTCCACTAGTAAGATACGACTATATATACTAATATCTTATAATTAACCATAATAAGAAAGTAGTTAAAAGCGATAACTATCTTAATTAAAAAGCTGTCTTATGCTTAAGGATAATTTTTAGCTATTAGAACCCGGCAATTAGGGAGAGGACCGAAGCTATAGTAGCGATTCTATAATATATAGTCGATGGTTCGGAAGTTAGTAGTGTAGGAAGCATACATACGAGATCTTCTAAGGTGAAGGATGTATATCTCGATAGCACTAGAATTATTGTCGTAGTAGCATATGATTAAGACACTAGCAGATGTGTAGTTAGAAGAGAAGCGCATATAGGGGCTGCAAACTTAGAACTAGATATGTGTCTAAGCAGATCGCTAGTCAAATCTGTAATGGGCAGAAAGTCTATAGGGGTCGCCATAATAATTACTAGCCTCGATCTCTATCTCTCGGTTAGAAAGAATAAACTGTTAGTTGCTCCAGCGCATCAATGGACGAATAGAAGCAGATATATCGACAGATTTGGTTTCCCTAATCGCAAGGTCGACTGGTGCAAATCCTAGTAGCACGCGTGACGGGAAGTCGTCTGCTATAGTTTTGCCATAGACCTGTACAATGTGTCTGCCAACGCGAGACCCTGTGTTGGTCACTTGGACCGAGACGGGTATGCGTCCATCTCTGACCTTGCCGACCAGGAGCTTTGAGATCGAAAAGCTGGTATAAGATAATCCGAAGCCTAGAGGAAATGCAGCGTCCATACCCTTCGCGTCAAGCAGCCTCTGTCCAAACCATTTGTTGTAAGTGACGTGGAATGTTTCTGCTTCGAAGAATGGAAGATGATCTTCCGACGTTGGAATGGAGTATTCTCCCGCTTTAACACAGGACAGGCAGGTCTGGAAATCGATGGTGTGAGCTGCCATGGTGTGAACTGGGAGATGAACGATGAACAAAGTTAAGATGAGTAGGAGAATGAGCTGTGTTCTGACTCCAGGTCCCCGATATATGTAAACAAAAGCAATGGCAGAAGCCGTTACCTGGCATGCGTCGATTATGTGAGCCAAGTCCCCATGACGTTATCCGGATAAGTGGTGTTCCGGACCGAAACAAACATTCAGCCAGATCTCTAAGGTCTGCGCATGTTAGCATTTCTGCTCGTGTAACCGTATCGCCAGACATTCGGCCCATATGGAGAAACAAAGGGAGAAAAAGGTATATAAGGAAACATGTGGAGATGCTGATGGAGAGACAGAGGGATAAAAAAGCACATAAGGTTTGACGCTTGTGTACCGTATCACCGGTGGCGGGAAGGGGAAACATATGGAGATATCTGAAACTAAGGTTCCGGTCTAGGGAGCTCGGATTCGCGGCTAATGTGCGGGCCTGACAACCCATATCTTATCAACGCTTTTCAAGCCTTCCAGACATCTATAATGTGAACGTTGCGCTTGTTCCGACGCACCATGTCGCACGAAATGCAAAGAATCAGGCGTCCACTGTGTATGTTAGTAGAGCATGTTGAGCAACTAGAGAAGTCTTCTCCAGACTAGTGGTGTGTCTGATTCCCGCTCTTGGTTATCAAATTTCATGTCTTTGCAACACAGCATCAATCAGTATAAAGCTTCAGTTGTATAGTGACTCTTCTATCCGCGGACTGAGGTTTGAATCGAAGCCTTTGCAAGGACCGGATAATCTCAAAATGTCCAGGACCCAGATCTGCGATCACTGAATGACTTTGAGATCGTCTAACGGCTACATTACAGCTTTTAGTCGTAAAGCAGTCTGTCATCATGGAGCAGATCATTCAAGACATGAGACAGCGTATACACTCGATCGGTCTAGAAGCCGCACTGTCGGCTAGAACTCCAGTTTCCCCATGTATCCTCGTACTTTCACCCACTTCTCTGCAAACTCTATGTCACCGATCTCATTATATAACCAGGCACATCCCTTACGCTTGGACTCCCATCATCGCCATCTTTTACCTGGATTCCATAACACCAACCACTCGATCAATTGTCTCCGATGGATAGCAAGGAACAGCGAACTGTCTCTCACATCGACAGACTCGATATCGCTGAGGACTGTGAAAACCCTCAGAGAGGCCCTTGATGACGTGAAAAACAATCCCATGGGTGGTGTACCAGGCTCGATGTTCGAAGACATGGGCTTGCCAAAGGCTACCCACAATTCATCACCTTACACATCGTTTCTTTAATACTGCAACTGCAACGGCGTGAGTATACCCGGTCCTCGTAACCATACCGCTTGCGCTCGAGAAGGCACGCTTTGGCACATCAACCTCGATATGATTCCGATAGACATGGCAAGAGATGAGGGCTTTCTTGCCCGTGAAAGGATCCGGCGGGAAAGAAAAGCCGGGAGGCCCAGGTTGATGTGTCTCCAAGAAGTTTTCAGACAACGACTTCCAATTCATGGTTTCTAGCCTTCTGACAAATCCTAGCGCGAACCGCTCGGCATTAATCCGGGGGCTTCTCCATATGCACGAAGGATCACGCGAAGTCTGGAGCGAAGTTCTTTGGGGCGTGCCAGCAATGGCCAGAACTATCTAGTCACGCACGGTCCAGGAACCTCAAAACTAGCATCATCACGTACCACTCGATCTGCTTGCGCCTTGCAACGGTTGCATTGTGACCGTTTCCTTGCTTCCGGGGCGTGCCCGCGCAAGCGCCTTTTCGAATCTTTTGTCGACGTTACTTGTACGTCTGCCAAACCACGGGTTCCAGCTGCGGCTTTAATATGCGGCATAGACTCCGCTTCTCCAACAGCCTGTAGTACCTCGCCGGATCGTACTCATGCTGTAGGTCCTGTTCTGATGTGACTCTGGATGGTTTGTTTGTGATAAATGCAAGAGGCATGGAATTGATGTAAGGAGTGTTCCGGAGGTCAGGATGCTTAACATATAATCTTTGTGTGCAAAGACCATGCTTGAAATTTGCTTATCTCGACGAGGATCATCTTTTGAAGGTTGCCATTACTTGGAATCTCGGGGTACATAATCAAGTTCGTAGTCCTAGTCAAATCAGGAAGCTCGGTATTCTCGGTTTCAATATTCATTAGAATTTGCCACCCCCAACTTCGAACTCGATGCTTAGAGCAGCTAATTACCTGCTAATTCATCAATTATATAGCTATATACAGCTCTATAAGCTCTAATAGCTATAGTAATAGCTATACGTCGTTATTCTATTAATATACACTAGTTTTAAAGCCTCCTAGAGCCCTTGCTAATGCGTAGTATAGTAGTAAACTAGCTTAGCTTAATGCCTCTTAGCGACCACGATAAAACACTAGTTAAGGCTATATTCCGTAACGACTACGACGTTAATATAGTACTTAAAGTAGTTCCTTATGCTGCTTAGAGTACGCTCTACTAGATGTAGCGTAACTTTAAAGCCGCTAGCCACGTATAGAAGCCTTCTACTACTATTAAGTAGTAAGGCCGTCGACGTAAGTTAACACTAACAGTACGCTAGTATGCTATAGAACTGCTTACGTATAGGAACGACCTCTAGTAGGAGGAACTAGCCTTTAAATTATGGTACGAATTCGATATAGAAGTATTAAAATCGATAATATGCCGCATACTTAAGGAAGAGAGGCTATTAAGTAAGGTTAATACTTGTATTACTAGTCGTCGCTCTACTATTAAATAAGGCGTATATAAGGAGACGCTTACTTAGCTTATAGCTCGAAGCTATAAAGCTAACATTAAAGCCTTAGAGATGTTACTATACCTTAATAAATCTATAGCCTCCGAGAAGGTAATGTTTCGACGGCGCTTATAGTTAGTAATTGGCCTACCTATATATATAAGATTAGAGCTATTATTAAAGGTTTAATGCTCTATATTACTAGCTCTAGATATCTATAGATACCTCCCTAGGGCTACCCTTATCGTTAAGGGAGTAGTAACGTAAGCTATATACGAGCACTAGCTAGAGATAGTAGTATTACCTTAGAGCAAGCCGTATCTAGGAAGGAGGTCGATAATTATTATAGATAACTACTTAACGTACCACTTAGATAAGGTAATTACCTATAGTACTTACTAAATACGTACTAACGTTAATAGATTATAGAGCTCTATAGCTAGTTTAGCGTATAACTACTATATCTACCGCCTTATTCACTACATCTAAACCCTATAGAATAGACCTTCTACCTCTTAAAGCACTAGCTACGTAAGCATAGAGATCTAGCGCCGCGAGTTAACGAATTTAATAAGGCGGAAGCTTATAAAGCGGCATAGATTAAGCACCTTGAGAAGGCGTGTACATAGGCTATAGATAATGTTAGTATAAGTAATCTGTTCGTTAGAAGCTAAGTGCCTACTATCTAATTACTAGCGCTAAATGCGCTATATAGCAAGCTTACTAAATCTAAGGGTATTAAGGTAATAGAGGGGGCACTAGTTCGTCGTTATTACTTATATTAGTTAATAAACTTAGTTAACTCCTTAAGGATTACTATATATAAGCCACCTTACTCGACTACTCGAGCTAGCTACCTCTCGTTGCTATTAAATAGTAGCTAGAGATCCTAATAGTTAGTTTTAAGAGCTATACGAGCTCTATTAAGCTAAATTAACTAGTTAGAATAAGCTAGCTTTATATGGTCCTAAAAGCTCTTCTAGCTAGTAGTAGTATTAAGCTTAGGTAGCACTAGCGATAGCTGCTAAGGAGTAGTAGTAGCCGTAGCTAGCTAAATAGTTAGCTAAGTAGCTAGCTACGTAGCTAGTAGCTCTTAAGGCTAAGTTTAGCTAACATAGAAGTAGTTAATAGTTAACTAGTTTAAAGGGGAGGACTAAGGCTTTAATATAGTAGCTCGAGAGGCTCGCTTAGTAAGCTCTTGCTTATACTTCTTATAGCTACGTATAATTAGCTCTTATATATAACGAGAGGGCGTCTCTAGAGTGCCCTCGCTATATCGAACTACTTCTTACTAGTGCTAAGCTACGTAGAAGATCACCTTATAGTGGTAGCTATAGCTAATAAAGTAAGTAAGGCTATAGCGCGCTTTAATAGGATAGCGTAGAGGGTCCTTATAATTCTAGTAGTCTTAAATACTACTCTAAAACAGCGCTTAGTCATCTATATACCGATTAGTAGTAGCTTCTAAGCGCTCTAAGCGGCGATAACGGTTTTAACTAGATTGCTAAGGTTAAGACTAAGGCGTTAAGGCTTTATACGCTAGCGGTAGTTTAGCTACTAGCTCTAAGCTATTAGGAGTCTATATTAACTTAATAGTAATAGAGAGTTCCTTTATGCCGCTCTAGCTATTAAAGCGGACGAGATCTATAGCCTTCTTCTAGCGCTTAGCGCCCTCTTCCTCTCTTAGTAGAGTAACGACTTTAGTCTAACGGATACCGCGAGCACTAGTTAAAGCTATAATAGCTCTAACCTTCCATATATAGAAGATGGCTATCTAACGACCCTCTAATATAGGGATAGCGGTATTATTTAGCTCTTAAAAAACTTCTAACCATGGCTTATTACTACTAGTAAGGGTAGTATTAGCGTTAGATAGCTTCTCGTAGTTCTAGCGAGTGTCGTATAATAGCTTAAACGGTACGATAGCGACGATAGGCGAAGTGGTAGTAGTAGGAGCTAAATTTAATAATACTTTACGTGCGTAGAGGGTCTATATAGCCTTCTAAGTGACCTTACTTACTTTAGTGACTTTATTAGTAGTTGTGGTTAAACGACGGCTTATTAGCGCTAAGCTAGTAGAAGGCTTCGCGGGTTAAACCTAAGGCGTAAGGGCCTATATCTTAGTCTTCCTTAAGGTATTTAACATGCGTTTTTTTCCTAACGTGTTTATTACGTTAGAAAGAGGCTTCCGAGCGGCGGATGCCTTATTAGAAGGTGGTTATAGTCGTTATTTAGTTAGTTAGCGCTTTACTATAACCTGGCGCAAGCTAGCTTAAGGGAGCGTCTATTCGTCTATAAAGCGAGCTAGCGCCTTACTACGCGTAGATCGAGGTGTTATAGATGTAGAAGCATTAAGAGCCTCCTCTTAAGTGTCTTCGAAGTGTATACGACGTCTCGAGCCTATATAGCTTAGTGGTTAAGCTAGCGAGGATGGTAGCCCTAAGAGGCTCGATTCGCGAGTTCTACTCTATAAGCGCGTGCGCCGAGCGTTAAAACTAGCTACTACTACTAGTAGCGCATTTAAGGTAGTATATTAATCCATATCGACGTGTAAACAGTGTAGATTAACCGTAGTAAGTGGTGTATAGTTGTAATAGCGCGAGTCATTAGCTGCTCTAAGCATCGAGTTCGAAGTTGGGGGTGGCAAATTCTAATGAATTTTGAAACCGAGAATAAAGCCACGGAAGCCCCCACAAAATACTTTACCCTGGGAACACGTTCTGCCACATCAACGGTCAGATACGAGAGGGTAAGCGCGCATCAGTCCTACTGATGTGTTCTTATAGAGGTGGCAAATAACCAGAGGCGAGAAGCTCTTGTCTCTACACCATGTCGTATAAAGTTTAAAAATAGCGAGTAGGATGTATAGGTGATGAAGCTGCGAAAAGGAGCAGCAGGGTCTTGGCACAACCATTCAAAAGACTGTAGCTGCGTCACTATCTCCTGCGTTCCCTTGATAGCAGGCAGGCTATGGTAAACGATACTCTCATCCGCTGTCTGACGGAAGATGGTTCGGCTAGAATTTCCCTAATGAGAGGTCCCAACGGCTATATTTGACGCCGTAATATGTCGCAATGCTGATGAATACCGATACGGCCTCAATATGAAATGAGCATCCCGCGCGTTGAATGGTGCTTAGCAGAAGCAGCCGCGCGGCCTTCGGTCGTTACGCACGTATCCTGCTCGATTGACCCGAACATGAGGACCAGACGATGTTCAAAAAACCTGACTTACCTGACAAAAAATTTCTGGTCATCATACCTGCTGTCTTACCCTTCTCCACCCTGCCCTTACCATGACGACTGCAGAGCCCCGGGTGACCGCTATCAAGGCAGGCCATCGCGACTTCATTGAGCATCTCTTCGTGAAAGAAATCCAGTGCGTGCGAATCAAGCACATCGACACACTTCCCCGCTGCAACAACAACTACATCCACATCATAACCTTCGAGCTGCCTCTTCTCCATGATGTAGCAATTTCCACCCGTCCAGGCACCAGTGCCATTCCGTACGGAACGACCCAGGCTGTGTTCAGGATCGGCAATATCGAGGGCATGTTCAATCACGCCGTCAAGATCGAGAACACGGTCGCAACGATGCTGCTTATGCGCCAAGCGCTTGCTGATAGATATGCCTCTATCGTCCCGAGGGTATACGCTTGGAGCAAGACAGACGGACCGTCAGGAAATGGCTGGATCATGGAAGAATTTATGCCTGGCGCCAACATTGAACCAGAATTCCATAGTACTCTGCCTCCTGACATTCAACGCCTAGTACTGCGTCAGGTAGCTGAGGTGCTAAAGTCAGTGCAGGATTTTGAGCTACCAGCTGGCACTGCTGGCTTTGGTGGCCTTGCATTTGACAAAGCCAATGACGACAGTATCATCAGTGGACCGTTTGTGATTGAGCCGTATACTAATCCCTACTCGGACATCAGAAGCTTCTATCGCGGGATGTTGCAAGCACAGCTAGAAGAAGCAGACAGAACGGTTGCAAATGGATGGCGGGAGCATGGTCTTCGAGAGCGTCTCGATGCATTCGCGCAAACAGGTCTGGAAACGCTTCTCTCGGAGACCCTGGCCGAGAACCCAATGCCGAATTTGATCATTGGCGACATGGGTATGAATCGCTTCTTGCATACCACTGAGGTTACACAAGGCTAACCACAGACGCATTCTCATCGAAACAGTGATAGCAAACTTCTTGTTTGATCCCGACACCTATCGGGTGCTTGGTCTAGTCGACTACGACTGCAGCCACACCGGTCACCCTCTTCACGAATTTTTCTTTTCTTCCTTCTCCCTATCCTACTACGCCCTCACATCTGATCCCGAGATCGCTTCGGCGCTGTTCCACGGCTTTCCCTCGCCGCTTCCACCTTCAACTCGCGTAGCTAAAGCAGAATATCGCGATGACGATGCACCGCAGTGGCCGGTGATGAAGATGTTCGAGGAAGAGCTAGAACGTGCAGGAGTGATACGGCCAAGCAGTGTCGTAGGTGGGGAGAAGATTGCGAAGCTGTATGGCTTCATTTCAGAAGTTTGTCCTTCGCATTTTGGCATGGCAAGATGGGTTGGCATGGTGACTGCGAAGAAGGGAGAAGAAGGCCTCCGTAAAGTGATAGAGGAGCATGCAGCAACGCTTGGTGAATCGCTAGCTGGGTGGGAATACTAAACACCCGATCATGATTCCGCAATTAATGCTACCTGCCGGAATGCGCATCGACAGTTGAGTAGTAATGGCAATAGTATAGACCCCTTCCTACCATGATGCGCTTCGATGGCCTGATGTTCTCCGATGTCAACATTCCACCCACTCAATCATACACCTTCGTATCCCGGGGGATTCTCAGATACCGGACACTGCTCACCGGTCAAAGATCTATCTTGCACAAAGTCTAAAGCTTTGCAGAGAAAATTGCACGTTGATATTCGTATATACCTCTGCTAGTGACATCCACCACTTGGCAAACTATAACAGACGCCAGACACAATCAGCCTTGCGTACATCTCAACACCAGACGACACCCACCAAGCATTAGCCTGACCTGTGCAGGTCAAAGATACCATGAGCATCCCCACTCACAGTCAGTCCAGTCATCTTGATGGAACTAGAAGTGACTGGGACCAACAGGGACACCCGCAATGTTGGCCAGTTCCTTGACAATAGTGCTACCAAGATAAGGGAGAGCACCAGGATCTAGAACATCCAAGAACTCGTTTCGGATGGAGCAACCGCTGATCGAAACACCAGCGAATCTCGCACGAAGGAAGTTGATGACGTCCGGGAAGCTGGTAGCGGCTTGTTGGAAATGCTCGCCTGCGTAGTCTCTGACGTAGGTAATGGATACTCCATCGTTGCAGAACTGTTCGACCAACGCATCTGTGTCGGCAATTGGAGAGATCTCATCGGCAACAGCTTTATACACGAACAGTGGCATTTGAGGGACACCGTGGAGACCCATCTGGGCGTTCGAGCGGAAGTACCTGGCAATGGTCGGCTCGGTGATGATGTTGTCGCCATCGTAGAAATACGACGATATATTCTGTCCAGCAAACAAGACAACGTCTCCATAGAAACAGTTTGTCTCCGCCTGATAGAACTGAGCCTTGGTTGCCGGGATCAGCTGGTTTGTCAGAGCTGTCTCAAACTCCGGGAATGCAATTGCCATGGATAGCAGTCCTGCGGCGGCGAGGCCTGCAAAGGGTCCGTGATTGATGGAATTGTACACATTGGGCACGTTCGGAGTCACTCCGCCAATAGCAGCTCCAACAAACTTGAGCTCTGGGGCATAAGACTCCTGCAGCTCCATGGCCCATTCAGACGCCAGAGCGCCGCCGCTGTAGCCCCACATCTGAACCTTTGCATCACTTTCGACACCTGTGATATTGCCCGATGAAAGTACTGCGCGAACAGAGTCGAGAGTAGCCTGTCCGGCCTGGAATCCTTCGATGAAAGTCGAGTTAGGGCCTTCCCAGTCTGGGGTACTCACGATCCATCCCTCGTTCAGGGCACCTAAGATGAGGAGCATCTCGACGTCTCCAGTGCCGGCGTACAAGGCCTGGGAGCCAGTCTGGAGGGTGTACGAGGGAGCACAGTTGATCTGGCCTCCGCTATCCTCGGCAACCTGGTATGAAACGACTTTGTCGTAGCTCGCGTTCTCTGGTACGATGACAGTACTGACAGTGACCTCTGGTTCTCCGAAAGCGTTCGTCGTGCGGTACAGGAGCTGAGTGACGGACTCGATGTTCAAGGGAAAGAGACTGAGTGCCTCAAGTTTGGCGGGTGCGGGCCTGGAGGCCAGAATGGTTCCTGGCTTTGCGGATTCGTAACCTGCTGGTGCTCGATAGAACGGATCCTGAGCAGGGGGGAGTGGGGCAACACGACGGTGAATACTCCCCAAGACAACTTGAGAGCAGGCGAGAAGGTTCAACAATGTAAACTTCATGGTGAATCAGGATGTATGAGGATGATGTTATGAGATGGTTGGATGAAGTCTCGAATTGAGGAACCAGCTGGCCTATTTATCTAAGGATAAGAAAGACGACGTGAATGAACGAGGAGGGGCTTACGTGCGAACAAGACTGTTCGGAAGCTTGTTCTGGTATACACGCTTTGAAACTGGCATTCTAGTGACTTGGCCTAGATCAGTGGCGCTTACGTGCGGACACTGCGAATACTCTATCGAAGACAAGCTTTTATTCGCAGATGGGTTTGTCGAGTGGCTTGAGGGCGCATTGGTGAACACGATTTGCACCGAGGACCGTTGGGGCTTGACTCGTCATCCCAGCTCCTCTGCGAGGTGATCAGAGCGCAGATCTTGTCCAGTTTTCGGAGTTCGAATATAGCTCGTGCGGAGTTCAAGACATATGGTTTCCTGAAGTCCTGGGGTCCCCCACGCCGAGGTGTTGTCAGAACTTTACTTTGCGGTTTCGCATTCGGGATTGCCTTGCCCTTGCCGTCTGTCCGTGAAGAATTATGGTTAAAACAGAGTGTCCTGGATCGCACAGCCCTCGCAACCGGTGCGAGTCCGGGTTTCACAATCTGGACAGACAAACCAAGAACAACCCTAAAAGCGACACCAGTTGATCCTCTGCCAAAGTTCTCAACAATGTTTCCCATATCCGCAAGATTCATGCATTAGGCATACGTTCGTTCTACGAGGTAATGGTTCGGAGTTGCAGTCCCAGCAGATGATTAGCAGCTCCAGACTAGAGGAATGACTTGTGCTCGTCACGTCAACGTATTCATCATGATGCTTGTCAGTTTACAAGTTAAACATGTTGCTACTACAGTTCCACTAGCGTCCTATACGTCACTGTCTTTAAACACAATTGCCTTGTCTAACGACCTCATTGCAGTTGGTATAGACTACACAGCTTATGCGGTAGTGATCTTTGAGGGGAAGACAAAAATTTGATAGATCCTACTCCCTTAATCTCTTATATTCTTTATCTACTTTGATAAATAGATTCTTTAGAGTTTTAGGGTTTTGCGTAGTAGCGACGACGACGATAACAACTAATGAACGAAGTAGTAAGAAGAGGCGCTAGCTATGCGCACATATCGTAAAGGTCGATCGCTACACCACGCTATTCATTAGATGGAAAAAGAGTCTATATAGATGCGAAGCAAGGCGAGATGAGCGACGTGCAACGCTTAGTAAGTGTAGAAGTTTCTCATTATCTATATGCGCGATTGTATCTACAGTCCCAAGTCAACGATTGGCAGGACTATCCTGCTCTCGTATCTGCCGCCAACATGAACGTGGTGTTGTCCATGGTTCAACTGCTCAGTCGGTCTCGGTCTGTTGAACTTTTCGAGTTCCGGGTTAAGCGAGATGTAACCGAAGATCTCCACCGAAAGTGTCTCCCCAGCCTCGAAATGTGTGGCACCTGACCAAATTCCAATCTCCAACTCAACGACTTCACCCTTGGGGATCTTTTGTTCTTCATCATGCGGGTGGAAAGGTATGTGATCGTGAAGTGTCTTGGTGCGATCGATCTTGCGATGCGAAGCTCGCAGCATGCCGACGTTGCCCTTGAAATACAGTGCACCGTTGTTGGTCTGTCCTTCAGAGAGATCGTAGGTGCTCTCGATCTGCCATCGTTCTTTTGGAATCTGGACGTGGACCAGTGGGTGTCCGTTCTTGTCTAGCTTGCGCAGCTGGACGTATACATTCATGTCGTCGTGATCATTGCAGGACATGTTGAGGTAAATCTTGGGAGGACCAAGAAGTGTGGTGTTCTTGTCAAATGTAGTTTGGAACTTGATACGCTCGCTTCCCTCCGAGTTGTACGAGTGCGTAGACTCAGTGCTGACCGAGGAAGTTGAGAGGGTCTTGTCGCCGAGGTAGTAGGTAGTGAATTTCGTCTGGGGATGAGGGAAGTCGGGTAGCTCGATGTTCTCGACCGGAGGTTTGTCGCCATACTGCAGGACCGACCATCTGACCTTCGGAGTTTGCTCCCAATCGTTCTTCTCCTCTTTGAGGTAGCGGTCGAAGAACTTGCGTAGCTCGAGTCGAGACTCTTCCACGGCCCAGAGATCGAACCACTCCTGCGTTGCATTCCACTTGATCCATTTGTTTTCGGTATCAATCTGCATGTAGGCTCGGATGGAGCCCATGGTGTGCATTGCGGCGAAATCGGTACCGGTGATGAAAGCTGCGCACTTGATCTTCTCTAGGGCTGCACGCTTGTCTTCCCAGTATGCTGATGATAGAGGGTAGCGCGAGTACATTTCCTCGAAATCTTCGTACCCGTTCGGTCCTCGTACAGTGAATTTGGTGATGAAGTTGTTGTTGGAGATGGAGAAGATTCCGCCTCTGGTGAACTGCTCACGGCCGAGATCCGAGCATCCTTCCCATGGCGCAATGGCCTTCAAACATGGCGGGTTCTTGGCTGCGATAAAGTATTGTGTGATGGCCAAATGGGAATTGCCGGCCATGCCAACATTGCCGTTGCACCAGTCCTGATGGCCGAGGAATTCCACCACGTCGTATCCGTCCTGTGCCTCTTGCTCGCCCATGATACAGATGTAACCTTCCGAGTGACCGGTTCCTCGAGAATCGACATTGGCGACGGCGTATCCCCACGCGCAGAAATCCTTGGGATCCACGCTTTCGAAAGTCTCGTATCCGGAAGTGTCGTCTGGCCTGAGACCGAGCTTCCAAGGCAGGTGGACGGCGATACCGGCCATGTTGTACTTCTTGCCATACGGACCATAAGCCACGATGCATGGAATCCTGCCCTTTGCATCGGCAGGGCGATAGATGTCGGCATAGAGCTTGACGCCGTCTCGCATGGGGATCTCCACATCGTTGTCGCGGATGATGTCTGACTCTAGCTTCTTGCCATCCTGGTCATCCCACTGCTTCTTGCAGTGTCCTTTCTTGAGTAAGTCCTGACGACCTGGGTGGAAGCCCTCGTAACTATTGTGGCCGATGGAAGGCTCGCTGATTGGCTTGAAGGAGATTGGCACCGGATTGGCGCCCTGCCAGTCTACACCCATTGTTGATCTGTCGGAGGGTAGAGGATATGCGTGTGTAGGAGAACGGAAGCGCTGGTGATGGCAGACAGCAAATCGTGCACACGCTCGAGATAAAGTATTGTGCTCGGGACGTCCACCTGTTCCGAGCGAGCCAAGAGCTGCAGAGAAGATGCTCGGGCAGGTGGGGGACCCTGAGAACTCGGCCATGCTCGGCCCCAGCGACGTTCGGCCGCTAATCACTGTGGGGTCAGAGTACTCCGGCCGCTGCCCGAGGCCGCGCAAAAAGTAGTCCTCGCTTCCTCTAATGTTACCATAGCACCGTCACATCTTGACGAATGATCCTGGAAGAATCCTGAGTCGCTGCAGGATAATCAGAAGAGTATCCCTGCTGTGTCGCATCGCTGGAAGGACACCTGTCGTTCACGAATGATTAGGGTTCGAACAATGAGATTCCTTCTGACTCTCGGGTAAACCCCAGATTAACACCGGAAACGCCTTGTGTCACGAGGCCTCGGACATCTGTCACCTCAGGCCGACTCTGCTTGACCGAGAAAACAAGATCTAATGATTCTTCGCGTGTTCCAGGTCATACCAGGAGATATTCCCTCAGATCGTGTCGCCGTCAGAAACTGAATGTAAAAGCTCTCAAGGCAGTGAGAGCCCAGCGACTTTGTTCTCTGCGGGTTCCTCTAGGAAGAGGCAGTCGTCCTGGTGATTCAATACGTTGAACGTGAGATAGGATGCTTGTCAGACCGAGGAATGAAATTGACAAATTATGTAACATAAAGAACAGCAAGGAATACAAATCTCAGAATCATGGCCAACCCCCCAGAAGTACGAAACTGACCTACCATTAACAGTCAAAAACACCGTTTGACCGATCCCATCCTAACTCGAACTATCCATTTCCATCGCGTGACATAGCATCCATCATAGCACAATCTGTCTCCATCATCATCAATTCAAGGAAATCGCTCTTTACATGAAAAGAGCACCAAACAGAGCACCAACAGCTCCAATAACCATACCAGGCTTTGCGATGGCAGCGGCGCCGGTGAAGACAGCCATGGTGGAGGAGCTGGTACCCGAAGCGGACGAAGCAGTCTTGGTCGAGCTCTGGCAAACACCGTTGCTGCAAGAGACTGCGACGTAGGCGTTTGTGCCGGGAGTAGTGGTTTGGGCAACACCCTTGGTCGAAACTCCGGGAGCGTATGAGCCGCGGGCACTCGATCCAGGAACATTGGACCCAGGAGCGTTGGAGCCAGGAGCGTTGGAGCCAGGAGCGTTGACAGTGGGTGCAAGGGTGCTGACAGTGGGGCAGCTGGTGGTAGTGGTGTAAACAGTGCCGCCGCTGGTGTAGACGATGACCGAGACGACAGGAAGGTTGGAGCCGGATGATCCGTTTGAGCCAGAGTTGCCGGTGTTTCCGTTCTGGCCAATAACGACGACATTGGTGTTGGAACCAGAGCCAGTGTTGGAGTTGTAGCCACTTCCACCCATGCTGACGAGAGCGGAAGCCTGAGCAGCAGGGCAGACAGTGGTGTAGGCGACAATGACATCAGTGGTTGTTGGCTTCCCTCTCAGCGGGCAATCCGTCACGGTGGGAGCGCAAGAGTAAATTGTCTGGACAGAGGTGCTGTAAAGAGTGGCGGTAACAAGGCCTTGTCCAGGGCCGAAAGTAGCGGTGCTGAGGTAGGTGGTCTTCTCAGAAGCAGGGCAGTTCGTGACTGTCGAAGGACAGGCAATAACGGTGAATACAGAGGTGCTCAGCTGTCCACCAGTAACGGCAGCACCTCCAGCGTTGGTCGAAGCTGCGCCTGATGCGCCGATAGCATTTCCAGTAGAGGCAGGTACGGCAGACGAGACAGAGACACCAGCGCCACATGCGACGCCCGATCTCGAGTCAACGACACTGGACTCGAACAGGGCAAAGGTGGTACCGGGAGCAGCACGCTCTGAGGCGAGGTCAACACAACGGTAGAATGTGCAGACATCGGTGTCAGCGTTGAACGAGGTTGCCTTGCAAGTAACGTCTGCGGCGCAGATGGAGACGCAGCCGTCGAAAGTCTGAGCCTGTCTCTTGGCTAGACCGAGGTTGATGTCGAGTGTGACGCCGAGGTACGTTGTGTTGTACTGGATACCGAAAGTGACACCATCAACAGTGATCGATGTTGGGAGAGCAGACGATGAAGGGCTTGTTGCAGAGGCCGAGCTTGCAGAACTGGCAGTAGAAGCTGAGGATGCAGATGTTGCAGAGGTAAGTCCGCTCAGAACGCTCGAAGGAATATCGCTGGCGAGAATGCTGGAGAGCACGCTCGAAGGAAGCGAAGTCAGAAGCGATGTAGGGTTGGCAGTGGAAGCACCCGAAGGCAAGAGGCTGGTAGGAAGACCGCTGAGAATGCTGGAGATGACACCCGATGGAAGCTCAGTCAAGATACCCGAGGGAAGAGCAGTAGGAGTGGGCAGACCGGTCAAGACGCTTGAGGGGATATCGCTGGCAAGAATGCTAGACAGAACACTTGAAGGAAGCGAAGTAAGAATCGAGGTGGGGTTGGCACCTGTGGGGACTCCCGAGGGAAAGATATCGGTGGGGAGGCTGCTGAGGATGCTCGAGATGACACCAGAAGGCAGCTCGGTCAGAACACCAGTGGGCAGCGGAACAGTCGAGAAGGGGATGCCCGGAGTTCGAGTAGTGCTGCCTGCACCAAGGACGCCAGAGACGACGCTGGACAATACACCAGAAGGTAGATCGCTCAGAATGCTGGACACGACGCCAGTGGGCAATTCGGTAAGGATGCCAGTAGGGATGACAGAGGGCACGCTACCAAGAATGCTCGACACGACACCGGTGGGCAGATCGGACAGGATGCTGGAGATGATGCCGGTGGGCAAGTCGGTCAGGATACCGGTAGGGAGAGGCAGCCCAGAAGTGACACCGCCAAGGATACTGGATACCGGGAGATCGGTTAGGATGCCGGTAGGGAGAGGCAGCCCAGAAGTGACACCGCCAAGGATACTGGATACCGGGAGATCGGTTAGGATGCCAGTAGGGAGATCGGTGGGCAGACCACCGAGCACACTCGACACGATCGAAGTGGGAAGAGCAGACAAGATGCTCGAGAGCTCGCCGGGAAGATCGGTTGCAACACCGCCGGGCAGGCCAGTCAGAGTATCAACAATACCGGAGACGACTCCAGTGGGCAGCGCACCAGTGACATCGGATGGCAGGTTTGTGACGACTGAGACAACGCTGGATACCACAGAGCCGACGGCACCAGCAGGGTCAGTGGCAACTCCTCCAACGAGAGAAGTGGGGTTGACGGAAAGGTCGCTTGTAATGCTTGCGACGACCGAGCCGAGACTGGGAATTTCCGAAGGAAGGCTCCCAGCGTCGCTCGTGAGGCCGGTGACGACAGACAGAACGCTGGATACGGCGGGAGGCACGTCGCTCAAGACGCTGGATGGGAGGGCGCCCACGTCAGATGCTATGCTGGAGACTGCAGCAGGGAGATCGGTCGCGGTCGGGAGTCCAGCAACCTCGGAAAGAACGCTGGATACAACGGGGTTGACAGTGTTGATGAGGGTGGGAACAACAGAACCAGCACCTCCAATAGCGCTAGACACAACATTGCCGACGCCGGGGATGTCCAGAGCATTGGAGCCTCCGATGAATTGCAAACCGGCAGCTCCGAGAGCGACCATTCTGTAGTTGACCATGATTGAGATTAGAACCAAAAGAGTGTCGAGTGCCAGTTGTTGAGGCAGGTAAAGAATGTATGAGTGAGTGGATGAGGATGAGAAGACAAGAGAGAGGTGCTGAAAGAGAATATTTATATGTTGCTTACTCTTACCAAAGACATGGTCCTGCATTCAGATGGCCCATATTGTCATGTTGACGACCGGCGATGAGCGGACATGAAGACAGGAGACTCACAACATGGTGCAACTGCGCTGGTTCTACAACGATTGTCCAATTTCCAGTCTCGTCCGGGAGTCGAACGGCGAAGATCGAGATGTTCGTTATGTCGTGTCTAATTGCAGAACCATACGGGGTTGCACATGTTCGGGGCGACGGTGGTGCAGAACAGGGAGAAGATTGGCTGGAAGCAGACTGTGCGCCAACAGAGGCCGTTGGAAGAGCAGTTGAACAGCAGTTCAAGGAGATTCAGAGGTGATGTCGTGGGAGATCTGACTGTTATTGCTTGATAGGTTTGAAGAGCGGGTCGCGCAATTCGCGAGCATGTCCGGAGTGTTTTGATGTTCCTCCTGCATAACATCAACGTGAGATGTGGAGGCGTCTGCAGCGGGTCCTGCGGCCAGAAGCGACTGGTGTCCCTGTCGAAGGCGATTTTGTCGGACGACCGAAGATGTCCGGAGTCTTGATCCTTCTCAGGGCTCCTGCATGGGGTTGAGGTCGATGGCTCTGCATACATGTGCTTGGTTTGGTAGCAGCGAAAGACATGGCTCAAGAGCCAAGTGGAGATCAATCAGGATTTGCATGCGTCATGTTGTGATGGCGAATGCTTGTTCTCATGGGGTTCTGTGTCTTTGGCGGAGCGATCGTGAAAGGATTCAAGCCCTTGAGCAAGGGAACGAGGAGGCGGCCGTTGAGAGCTCGTTCATCTTGGCATCGAAAGTGATGCAAGATCGAGCGCTGGCCGAGAATAAGCCTCGGTAAAGCCGAGTAGTTGAGAGAGCGACCCGGGTCTATTCTGCTTGTGCCAGAATCAACAAGCTATAGTATAGAATAGCGCTTGGAAAATCGACAAGTCGCACGAAAGAGCCCGATGTGATATTTCTGAATTCAAGTCGGGATGGTTGATATGCTGGTTGGGCAGGGAGGTGAAAACGCAACGATCCTACCTTTCGTTCATCACTTTCTGTGAGACTTACCTTTGACACGTCGAGTTCACCAAGGCAACTCATAACACCCACATTCTCCTAACCAAACTCAAGGCGCAGGCTGGCAGAATCGCAGTGTCCCCTTAAGCAATCTCCAGGACCAGAATCCGGATTTTGTGCAAGAACAAGTCGAGGTTCGCGTCAGGGAAGTGGCAGTTCATGGAAGCTCTTGGCTTAACGTTCTGGACTGACTTCTCCACAGGTAGGAAAAGCTTGAGAGACGGTGGCGTCTCCGCGATTGACATGCAAAGAAAGTTGATGGAAACGCACCTTCCTTTCACAAACACCAACATCGCAACCACAATGGGCAAGAGAAAGCGCAACACTCAGGCAGCCGCGCCGCAGAAGCAACAGAAGCCATCGAGCTTGCCCACACCCAACGACAGCGATGACGGCGCAATCGAGAACGTGTCGCACATCAGCGCCGTCACGTCGACCGACGAGCTGGAATTGACCGTCGACACGCTGCGCACCCTCGCCAAATACCCCGCCCTGATCAAGTCCAAGGCCTGCAAAGACCTGCGAGCAGCCGTCTACGACTTTCGACAGGCGTGCAACACGGGCGTCAACTCGGCCGCCGAGGGCACCAACCTGACTGCCCGCATCTCGGGCGCCCTGACAGACGCAAAATACACCGACGCCCTCATCCTGCTCGCCGAGATGCGCATCCGTGGCGAGACGCCCAAGCTCGGTGCCCTCTGTCGCTGGGTGCGCGATCTGGACGTCGTCAGCGGCCTGTCGATGCAGCCGCAGGGCGTCAGCAAGGTCGTCGTGCCTCGCTCAGACAAAGACAAGGAGCTGCTGCGTGTCCTCGATGCCGTCCTACGAGTCACCGGCCCCACCGACACCAACACCAACGACGCCTTCGACTCGGCCGACCCCATCGCGCTCCAGCAAGTCTGGAACCTCCGAGACAAGACGCCCATCCAGACCCGCCAGAGCGTCGACGACAAGTCCATCTTCAAAGACTGCCCCAGCGACCTTCGCCAACGCTTCCGCATCATCGAGACGACAACAGGCCCCAACCGCAAGCCGCCTAACCTCCACCCCGCCGTCCTCTACGCCTCGCAAGACAATGCCATCCCGCTTGGCCCCGCCCCCGAGACAACCGTCTTCAAGCACCCCGTCGTGCCCAATCTCCGCTTGATCAAGGACGTCCTCACTCCCGCCGAGTGTACCAGCATCATCGCCGCCGCAGAGTCGATCGAGTTCATCCCCGACGCTCCCATCAGGGATGACGGACAAGAGACGAGTATTTTGGCACACAACTTCTATTGGATCGCCGACCAGGCCTTCCACGACAAGCTCTGGGAGAGAGTGCGTCCATACGTCCCCGAAGAGTCGCAAGGCCGCAAGGTCAGGGGCATCAATCGGCGGTTCAGAGTGTACCGCTACGTGCCCGGTGCGGAGTACCGCTGCCACATTGACGGCGCTTGGCCTCCTTCCGGCATCGATCCCCTCACGGACAAGTACCAGTACGACTCTTCGCCCGCCGACGCCCGTCAGTCGTCGCTCTACACCTTCCTCATCTACCTCAACGACGAGTTCGAGGGCGGTGAAACCTCCTTCTTCATTCCCAGCGTCCGTGAGGGCGTCATGAACGCTTACCCCGTCAAGCCCATCATGGGCAGCGTCGCCGTCTTCCCTCACGGCGAGGCACAAGGCGCCCTGCTTCACGAAGGTACTGGCGTCACAAAGGGCGCCAAGTACATCATCCGCACTGATGTCGAGTACGACGTTGTTTCTTCCACAGGTTGATCATCTTTGCTTTTTGCGCCGGCGCTTCGGTCGAAATGGCGTTGGGCGTGTACACGATACTTGCAATTTTGTTCGGGCATATGACCAGATTTGTAGGTACGACTCATTGGAAAGCCAAGACATCCTTTTTCCTCTTCTACTCGTCTGCCTCTACAGTGGCATGCCCTCCAACCTCCAACTCGCTCAGTATCTGTGTGCCCACCACCTTGCCTGACGCACTGGTGAAGATGGCCGCGATTGCTTGCACCCCGTGAATTGGCTCGTACTTGTACTGCTTCCTCTCAACCTCCTTTCCATTCTTCTGCACCGTGTCCTGGTGGCCAGTGAAAGTCATGTCCTTTGCGTACGAGCCGACAACTCTGGTGCTTGAGACACGACCATCGTTGTCAAGATTTTGCTCAACAATGTTGCCGTTCTGCGCGAGGATACGGTTGGTGTGCGAGTTTCCAGAAAAGTCGTTGACCGAGTAGAGGATGTTGTCGTCAATGGCGAATGATCGCTTGCTAAACGAGCCACTGCTTGAACCATCGTCGGAGAGAAGTCCACCCACGGCATCGCTGGTCTCGTTGAGAACGTCGCCCACACCTTGGCCCAGTGTCGCAATGATGGGGTTCAAATCCAATGATCCCAAGACATCATCAACCATGGCCACCAAGTTTTCCAATCTTGCCTCGAGCAGCACTCGAGCCTTGACGTCCTGAATGAGCAATTGCACCTTCTCGATGCTCACATCCACTCCAGCATTGAACTGTAGCAGTTCCAATACTTGCAAGTCGAGGTTGACTTTTGCTGTCAGGTTGTCTACCTCGATGTCGATTTCCTTGACCGATACTGAGGCATTGAGGAACACATCGGGATCCGGGTAGCTGACGTTCGAATTCGTGTTTGCGGTCGAGTAGATGGTCGAGTCGTCCGAGTCATTGATGGTGAGATTGTAGCCCGTGTAGCCAGAGTCTGACGAAGCAGAAGAAGAGGCGGCCGAGACTGTCAGGCCCAAGGCGAAGGCCAAGAGCCAGTTGCGTGTGAGTGAGAGCATTGTCGTGTTGTGCACAGTCGAGATGGAGGAGGATGAGCGATGCGACGTGAAGGCTGGCAAAGGAAGAAGTTGTTCTGCTCGAAAGGTCACGGCTTGCGGCAGATGTACATCTACTCATCTGCCAACTTTTGCATCCCAGCCTCGATTCAATCGCATGTCAACCGATCGAAAGTCATCTCCAGGCGGCACAGAAGATTGCGCCACTGTACTTGACAGCATTGTTAAAGTATCAAATCCTTGGTATACAGTCAGATCAGACAGTGGGCGAACTCTGTGGAGAGATGGTCGTTTCACCACGCAAGCCATCTGAGATATCATTGGCTTGCAGATGCGTCATCTCACGCGGGAAAGCAGGAACCCATGTTTGACAGCCAAATCTCGGCCGACACTCATGTCAACCGAGATGAGCTTGTAAGGCTGCGACCCGTCACACGGCCCAAGTACCTTGATGTCGCTTCCAAAAAAGTTGGTAGTGGAGATGTTGCTCAATCATTGACACGGTACAGTAAGGTATCTAGACTTCCCTCCTCTTTTGTCGCATTGTTCTTTCGACCTTCTGTCTCAACTTCGAGTGTCCATATCGTAAGCAACATGATTTCCAACACGATACCCAGACTTTTCCTCTTCTTCGCCATTGCCATCTTCTCAGTCTCGGCGCAGACAGCAGCTTCGTCTCCCACCACCTTGACAGCTCCACGCACTCTCTCCTCTACCGGCAACACCACAAGCAGTGCTTCCCGTACATCAACTTCTCGCGCCAGTGCAGCAACCTCTGGTGCAGCCCCGGATGTCTACCTCAATGTTCCCGAGCTGCACGTCGGCCGCATCGAGTTGACTGTCGAGAAGCTGAGTGCGGATTTGAACTTGAATGCCAAAGTCGCGAACCTCGTGCAATTGAATGCTGGTGTGCAAGTTGCGGTTGAGAAGGTCAACATTACAATCTCGGAAGTAGATGCAGAGGTTGAGTTGGTCATTCGACTTGGTGAGTATTCTTACCTTCTACATTGCTAGTCTTTCATCTTGCTGACATTCTATCAAAAGGTCACCTCGTCGATATCGTCGGCCGCGTCTTCGACTCTCTAGACCTCAACCCCCTCCTTATTTCCACGATTGGCAACGCAACATCCCTCGTCGGCAATGCCATCTCAGACGTCGTCGGTGCCGTCGACGGCCTCCTCGGCTCCATCACACAAGGCGGCAAAACTCTCAACTTTGTCGTCGACAATCTCGGAAACATTGTACAAGAAGTCGGAGGTGTGAGCTCTATCGTTGGCGATTTCACAAAGAACATGACGCAGACTGGAAGCAGCAAGAGTGTTGGTCAGGGCTTGACACAAAAAACATATTCGTACTCGCCGTTGAATGCGCTGGTGGATATTGTGTTTAATACAGCTGGTCAAGTTGTGCAGGCCGTTGTACAGAAGAAGAACGGTAGCAGCAGTGGTAGTGGCAGTACTGGAGGATCGAACTCGACAGTTTCTACTGCTTCTTTGCTGAAGCATTAGATCATCTGCGTAGATTGGTTGCATAACAGATGCGAGCCTTTACGGATACTTCTTCCAACATGATCCATGTGACTTCATAATGGCTGGGTCTGCGAAGTGAGTCGCGGACGACTGTGAAACATGACTCATCTATGTCATCTTCTGATGCGGATTACCATGCCGCTACGAGCACCAGGAAGACGGCTCTACGCTTCATCTAATCCGGGTTCTGCTTTGATGTCGGACTGGTCGGGTCGAGGATCACGACTTGAGCCAAATCGGCAAGTGCTGGGTTCCGGATTTCACGAGCGCACCGATTCGAGGTCTCGTCTCGCTTTATAGGTAGTTTTTCTGACGAGACTATGGCACTGAGTTTTTGATATTCTTGATGCTATAGTATCATTGAGGCTGGACGCTAGACCAACACGGACAGCAATCATGATTTGTCATCAAGGGGTACATGCCACGACTCACGGAAGGTATGAAACATTGAGATACCAATGAGTGGTTGGTGAAGGCTCTTCAACAGACAATGCCACCACTCACAGGCGACAGCACTCCGTACAAACACAAGTATTACCAACATGCTTATCGAAAGAGTCAGAACATCTCATTTGTTTCTCCAGAGCTCAACCCAAACGTCGCAGTCGACGCAGATCACCCGCCGATAAAGATCTGTTGGACCGGGAGAGGATGTGTCAAAGCCTGGAGCTCACGAGTAAAGAAATAATCACAAGATTGGCGACGGAGAATGATAGGAGGAGTTTCCAGATTCTCTTTTCCAGAGTCCTGGGTCAGGAGGATCGTGATATATTATGCGATTCGCATGCACTCAAGAATCATCATCTTGCTCATTGAGCCTGGTACTTCTGGATAGCTAGCGTCAAAACTCACCCATTTCAAGATGACGAAGGTGTTGAAAGATGCCCAGTCTGCATGGTGGCTTAATGAGGGATCTTGTCATGCGGATGGGGCGGAGCAAAGTTTTCGAGAAAATTGGTGCAAACACATTTTTAATTGAGTAAGCATAGCTACACAGGTTTTAGGCTGAACACTGGAAAAGACTGGACAGATGCAAGGTGACAAAACGGTATCCCTGTCATCCTGACGATTTTGTGGAGAAAGGAAGAAAAGTACTTTATGCGGGCTGGCATTGAGAGTACCACTGGTTCAGCGAGACACACTTGGTACCAGAGACACAGGTTCCGGCTGTAGTTCCTTGGCCGCCGCACTGGCCCCAGACCGCAACAGAACCACTGCTAGATCCGCCGGCGGGAGAAGTGGTGCTGCTGGGGAGGGAAGTAGACACGGGAGCTTTGGAGGGGGTTGCGGAGACAGACCCAGAAGCAGAACCAGAGACAGAGCCAGAACCGCTATCAGCGCTGCTTCCTTCTGTTGATTAAAGTGTCAGCCAAGCCTTTTTCAGTCAATCCGGAAAGGAATGCTTACACGAACCAGAGACAGTGACGCTGGCACTGCCGGTGCTGCCAAAGGCCTCGGTGGCGAACACCTGGTAGTTGTAGTCACCGGCCTTGAAGCCGTGCTGGGACCAAGCGTTGAAGTGGTTGGCCATGTTGACAGTGCCAGAGGTGCGCTTGCTCTGGCGGACGGAGAAGAACTGGCCAAAGGTCTTGGTTCCGGAAATGGAGGGTTGGTTGACCTGGGTGTGGGTGCAGATCTTGTAAGAAGAGCCGTCGCTGGTCAAGCTTCCGACCTGGGTGCCGGTGGAGCAAGGGTCGTAGCTGTAGTCCTCGACGACGTAGTACTCTGGAAGGCCGCATTAGCGTCTTGCCGTTGTTAAGGGTCGTGAACTGAGGTGCTTACCGGTCAGGGGGTTGTTCAACCAACCGTAGACGGCGTAGTAGGAGCTTCCACTGGTCTGGTAGCTACCCTTGAAGGTGATCTGTCTGCAAAGGGGGTGAGTTGGAGCCGATACTCAAGTAAAAGTTGGAGAGTGCTCACCTAGAAGAGCCCTTGTTCCAGCCAAGGCCGACGACGAAATCACCAGGGTTGTTCCAGCTGGCAGAGTAGGTGCCAGCACCCTGGTTGTACTTGAAGTTGGCCATGTTGCCATTGTAGTTTTGGACGTAGTTGATGGGAGTGGCGCGCTTCTCCAAACCAGCAACCTCAGTCTCGGCGACAGGGGCAGCCATGGCAACGCCAGCAAGGGCGGCGACAGCGGTGGTGAATTTCATGGTAATGTATTGAAAGTGTATTGAAAGGTAGAATGAGTGTGCGAGGCCTGCTTGCTTGATGGAATGGATCGATCATTGGAGAGCAGACGCCCTTCTTAAATACAACGAGGTGTAGAAGATGTCCTGTTCAGGCTAATGCCAATGCAGTGCAAACAACATGGTATGTGTTTGGTGTTGATGAGCTTACGCATTCTTCCAGAGGGGAACACTCATTAGTAGCTGGAAATCGTAAGCGATGATCATCGCAGCCGCCATGAAACACGCCAATTCGTCTGAGATTCTAGCCACATGTTCGACCAGCAGACTAATCGTAGCTTGTAGCGGATAGCGAAGGTAAAAATGACTGCATAGCTCGGTGACGCGGTTGGCTCCAGCATGAGATGAAGTACAGATGTTCAATATATTCGTTCCAGGCATAAGCAGGGTCATGAGTGGCTCTACCAATCTAGATGTCGTCCAAGAGGATCGAAGCTGTTGCGTGCAGTTACGATAGGGTGACAAAACAAGCTTCGGACCGAAGACGGCCGCACTGGGCCGGCAGACACGCCCAAATCTCCTGCTTGGCGGAGGTATTCCCCACCAAAATCTAGACATGTCAGCGTACCAACTACGTGCCGATGCTCGAGGACCTGAAACCTCGCTGAACTCCAGACCAACACGCGATCCACGAAGAGCAGTCTCCGCGTTGAACACGAACAAGTTACATAGAATTGATTATTGTGTTGCCTATAACTTTTGTACAAGCCTGAATCCGCTTGCATTGGGCCATCGCTGACCTCCAATGGATAGATATTGTAGGTCAAACTGCAATTCTCATAGTACAGTGCGGATCGCACGGACTCACCTTCAAGACGTGCGAAGAGGTCGATTGAAAGCTTAGCCATATGAGCAAGCATTTTGCCCCTCACAGGCCAAGCACACCATATCGGTAGAGATGAGCAGAGCTACTCAAGATACATACCTAGTCACGCCAAACGTACGCAAGTCAAGTTTCACTGGGGAAGCGAGATTTGCTCTGCGGCCAGGAATCTTGTGGATACTCCCCACAAATTTGTTTGAAACCATTTCCATGAGGAACACAAGACTTGCAGGCCCATGCTTATTGACATCCCGATACGGTCGAGAACGGCCGAGATTCTGATACCTGAACAAGCAATTCGAAGTGCGCACTATAGGTGATGCAAAAAACCCGCCGATGGACCCAGGCTTTCGTCTTGCCTGAAAGTACGGACCGGACATCAGAGGATTCGTTTCCGATGTGAACAGGACTTGATGAAGTTGGGCAGTTCTGCGGCTGGGACGGCGCAGCTTCGAAGTTCAGATGTTCCCAATCAATCTTGCGTGCGCAAGAGCCTAAACCACACTTGGGGTCTTTGTTTCTACTTCACTATTGCCCATGACAATCTCCAGCACCATACTGCTCTCATATTCGAACCCTTTCGCAATCACTTGAGACTCAGCGACTTCTGTCTCTTTTTAGTCACTATCTCAAGCTCGCCTTCACGCTGCCCCTTGCTTCTGATTGCTACTAGCGACCTCATTCGGATGGCTCCGCCTCTCAAGCATGCCCCAGGATCATATCCGCAATCTTCTCCGCCAACATGTAAACTGTAGCCTGAGGTTGTCCAGGAGGCAGCAAAGCGAACGCGCTCACGTCAACCACTCTGAGACCACTCACGCCAATCGCTCTTGCTTCTGAGTCTACCACAGCCATGCTGTCGTTCCTCTTACCCATCTTGCACGTACACGACGCATGGTAGAATGGCGTGATGCTCTGCTGCAGGGACCTCAGTATCTCGGCATCGGTCGCGACTCCAGGACCAGGGACGACTTCGTCACCAATGATCGCTCGCTGCAGTGACTCGGTGGCAGCCAAGCGCCGGGCAAACCGGAACGCTGCGACGCCGAGCTCTTGGTCCCTTTTGTCTGTGAGGTAAGCTGGGTTGATGATGGGGGCGTCTGACATATCTGCCGAGTTGATTGTCACGTTTCCCCTACTGAAGGTGGCAAGTAATCCGATTGCAGAGCCAGCGTATTGGTTGATGCCATCATTCGGACCGATGGCATACGATAGTCTTGAAGTTTCCATGATCAGCAAATATGGCGTGTAATCAAGAGGAAAGCAGACTAGACATACACCTGTATTTCTGGCCAATCCTGGGGGAAGTTTGCCTGGAAGTCGTTCACAGTTTCCGAGCTCAAGTTCGTGACAGACTGGTTCGAAAGTTTGAGAAATCCGACAATATCAGACCCACCATTGCCTTGATTGATTGTCAGAACAGCTTTCGGAAATGATTGGGTTCCAGCGAGGATGCTCACTTGTCAACAGTCCAGACTTGTGCGTAAGGAACTCCTCATTCTCCTGAGAAATCCTCGTTGGATCGTTCTGGAGCACCGAAGGGGTCTCCACGTTAGACTCATACGCAAGCGCCACCTGATGTTAGTATGTGCAAGAAAGGAAACCTTGCTTATATACCAATGAGTGGGTTGTCCTGCCATCATCAGCGGTGGAAACCAGAGACAGAAGACCGAGCACAACTTACCCACATGTTTTGTCCAACTCCTGGACGATCTGCAACCACTGGAATATTATGGTGATCCAGTATCTCCCGCTGTCCAACACCAGAAGCCATCAGCATCTGGGGGGACAGGAAAGCACCCGCAGACAGGATGACTTCTCGAGTAGCATTGATCTGGAACTGCACGCCGTTGACCTCGACTGAGACACCGATCGCTGTCTTGTTGGCATCGAACAAAATACGCTTGGACATTGTGTGCGTGTAGACCACAAGATCAGTAGAAGCAAGAGCTTTCTGGAGAAACGAAGCGTCAGATGAGCTGCGGAATTTATCAATGGGGTCTTGCGTCAATGTGATACTCGCATAGCCATCAAGAACACCTGCATTGACTCCCTGACTTAGAGACGGAATACCGATCTCCTCGAAAGCGCTTGGGTAGAACGAGGCCCAAGGCTGTGCAAAGTTCGGGTAGCTGACTTGAAGAGGTCCACCGCTTCTCGCGAATGATGGGCTCTCGTTGACTGTTCCCACAGATGTATTGGTAGCACGTAGGTGTGTATTGGCTGGTGTGTAGTGTGGCGATTTGCGGTAGTAAGGATAGACACCTTCCCAGTCTCAAGCTGTATCTCCAACGTCAGCAGCCCACTTGACGAAAGCGTCGACAGTACCGCGATTGTAGACCATGTAGTTGCGCGCACTTGAGCCGCCGAGACATCTACCACGCACATAGTGGATGGTGCGGTTCAGCAACGAAGATTGCGGAGTGGTAGGAAATCTCCAGTCGATAAGACCATTGACCATCGATAGGTCTGGCGATGCATCTCCTGATTCGAAAACATACTGTACGTCTTTGTCAGTGCATGATGTCCCATTCGAGGATTAATGACATGCATATGGTATTTGACTGAAATTCCCGTTGTCCAGCGCGTACTAGCTCCCCGCCTCAATGACAGCGACAAAGAAGCTTCCATTCTGAGCAAGTCGTGTGGCTACCGTCAACCCTGCGGTGCCGCCTGCAGGTGATTGTCTGCATCAGCATCTGAAATGTTTTTGAGAGGCAACACATACCTCCTACCACGACATAGTCGTACGAAGCATTCAAGCCTATTGGAATCCAGCCACCTAGACCTCCTGTCTACAAGATATTGTGGTCATTCACCTGGTCTCCCAAAGTTGGATCCAAGGAGGCGATCATAACTGAAGGAAGCGGCTGCATTGAGAGAGATGAACAAGCAAAACGTCACGAACAAGAGACACGGCATAGCACTAGGATCAATGGGGCTGATGGATGTAGAGTTATAGAAACAAAGAAAGGCGGGATCTCATGCTTCATATGCCTCCAAGCTTCCAGGCAGAGGCATTGGTCGCCAGCCGCTTCCAGTATGTTTCTCAACCTCACCGGTCGAGAGACGGCACTTCTCAAACCCAGCGTTACATCAAGGTACTGCACCTGAGATCTGCAGGTCAATGGTATGTAAGGAACGTGTAGAACGGAGATAAAGTTTGTGGAACAGGTCGGTAGAATCATGCCGTCCTGCATTGTCGATTCCTGTCACCGGTCAAGAAGAATCTGCCGCAATTTTTCGATAATCCGCCTTTCCTGCCATCATACTCTCGGCAAGTCGGACGAAGCTAGCAGTTATCGCATCCACCGATCCTTGTTCACAGGCAAATTGGCCCACCCAAGGTCGTGAATGGACACACTGGAAAAAAGCGTTGATTTGCGAGAAGAGATTCTGGGGGACAACCTTGTCCAGCGAGGAGACAGCTCTCAGATGCGTGTCAACTCTTGATTACAACTGTTGGACTGATGAGAAGTTCTTCTGGTTCATGACCAACATGGCATCGAGAATCCTGCTGGCCCCGTGTCGACACAAGTATCAGAATGGCCATACAGATATCTCGGGTGCCTTGTAGCGAGTTGCACTTCGTAGAATTGGTTGCAAGCGATCAGATCAGAGGCAATCCGAAGGAGTCGATGACAGACGAGCTTGTTGATCGTGAGAATCTCTTCTTCGCTCCAAGCACTGCACTTGGCTGCGAGATTGAAAAGAGCACCACTGTCGACCGGACTGTGAAGATAAAAGCCCAGGTTCGAGTTTCACTACACGATGCACGACCCACTCCGCATAGCTTCGCTGTATGGTTCAGAGGAGATGTTGTATCATTTAATCGACCACTGTGATTTCGACAATGATAAATACCTCAAGGACTCTGCTGTAAAGACCGTTAAAAAGATTCTCGAACACAATGACCTGGCTAGGCCCAAGATCCTTATAATCAACCACCGGATTAGTTATTAGCTCCAAGGCCTCGGGTTTTCTCGATTGATACTCGAAACTCAATCTACGGCGATGCATTATGGGCGACGAGATTTCTCGACGATCCTGGATGTCTCTATACGCCTGGGAATTGGCAGTCAGTTTTGAACCCCGTTGACCTGCGGTTAAAGACCTTGGCGCAAGAACATTGAGTCGACGATGTGTATAGCTGGGGAAGCGAGCTGAGCCCCTTTTGTTGAACGATTGATGGTTAGCGACATCATATTCTCCTACGCCATGTTCTCGTTGCTTGTGCGATGTGCAGCCGGTTCAGCCGATGTCAACTGCAATACGGTGCTTTGCGTACTAACTGCATGTCTCCTGCTACTTGCCTCTTACTGCTATTCTCGTTCATATACAAACTTAATTCCACTCGAAGAGTCTATGCTTCCACGCTCCCCTCGCAATTCACAAAGCGTCAATTTTGCTCGTCAAACTTCATTGTTCATACCACATTCCGCAAGCATCAAGCTGATAGCAAATCGCATCAGCTGAGGAACCCAGAAAGCAAGCGACTGCGCCCTAGTATATTCTCGGGATGTGGCATCGGCGCCTCGTACGGAAACTGTCATTCTACGCGATGAATTCGACGAGGCGTGCGCCACAATTTGAAAAAAGCATCTGGAGCCCCCAAAGAAACAAGACTTGGTCGATCAGGAAACGGTCTACAACTCTTCATAGCAGACGCGGATCCCGTCAAGTGTGACCATAATCATTGAATTCACCCGACTGAGTCTGAAAACTAGACCCTGGTGATGCTACAGCCATTGTTCTGCTAACTATCGCACCAAGACTTGTTATTTTCTCGCACATCCTATGCTCTCTTGTGTGATTCGTCGTACCACCACATCGTAGGACGACGAATTTTCCGCCCACTTCAAATTGTGCGGGTCACCAAACTCTACTTGCAGATTCCAGCATGGCTGCATGTAACGCCGGTAGTACCATACCATGCGCCTGAGGCGCACTATACCATGGCGGACAACAAGATCAGGCCGCACTGAGAATGCCATCTCAGCTTGGCTTGTGCGGGCTTGAGCTGTCCCGGTGATTCAAGCCCCAAAGTTTTCAGCTCATGCAGGTCCGAAGCTTCGACACGAGTTGGCGTGGTGTCAAACCTCCTTGCTGAATAGTGGGCGGCTGCAGTATAACACAGAAAAGGGCTGGCTGATAGAGCCGTCATACAGTTGGTGTGAAGAGTTCGCTTCCACATGGAGCTGAGAGATAACCGTTGGTCCTGTAGTTTTAAACATATAAGAGCAGCTGACCATGTCACATATTCTCCCACAATCATCATCCCCGCACATAGCTTACAATGTACGGTTTTCTAGCTTTTACAATCTCGTTCCTGGCTGGCTCTGTGCTTGCTGCTCCTGAAGGAGACCCCAAACACATCTTCGCGAGAGCAAAATGTAACGCGGACAACTGCCTTCGTGCCATCGATGGAACCAGGAGAGGGACCTCGTTCGCTGCTGCTGCCACCGAACAGTGCTCTGCGTTTTTGCGAACCACAGTCACTCCCAGCCCCACGTGCGTTCATCGCTCCGTGCTGTGTTTTCTTCTGAACAAATTGTTAACCTGAGCAACCTACAGAACCAAGATTGTCTCCGAGACCACTATCGTCACGCTGCCCACTGAATACATCACTGTCTATGTTAGCGCCTCTACCCCCGTGCTTGTGCCCTCGTACGCGTCGGCGTGCTCGGGTTCCGTCCGCTATGTCTCTGCTTGCTCTTGTGCTGGCGTCACGGCAGGCACTACCACTCTACCCGTGTCAGCCGTTGAGACCACCTATACGGACACCATTTACTATACTCCGACCACTACATTGACTGTCGCACAATCTGCCAGCTCCAGCTATCAGTACGACACAAGCTCCACTAAGCTCAGCTCGAGTTCGACCTACAGCTACGATACTAGCTCGAGCCACAGCCACTCTCCTACATCCTCGTCGTCTGGTTCGGCTTCCTCGGTCTCTTCCTCTATACAGTCATCTTCATCTTCGACTTCAACCCCTACACCCAACTGTAACACTTACGAGCTGAAAGCCACCTTCCAGTACAGCAACTTCAAGGATCAATTCCTAGAACTCTCTCAGGATGACCATTTTTCTCACACGCTCGACTTCACCTCCAGCAATACACACGATTCGAGATTCCTCTTCAATCTCCTGCCCAATGGACAGTTCCAAGGCGTCGAAGGAACCGGAACCTGGGTTTCTGAACACCCCTCGACAAACTCGAGTCTCATCTATCAAGTCAATTCTTCTTCACCCCTGAACGATGACAGGTATCCTGTCATCTGTCACTTGGTTGGAGGATCGACGCGCGGGGTTGCGTGTACGATCGATGGATACGACACGATGTTGCAAACGTGCGGGTATGACAACTCGAGACTGGCTCAGTCGACTGCTGGGTTCCAGTGTACCGTCGTGAATCTGGTTGCCGTCCCTGCTTGCATCTAGTGAGGCAGTATTGGTGAGGGTCATTGGCTAGTAGAGATAAGTACAATAGGTACCCAGAGCCTCTCTTGTGTTTCTTGGCTTTTTGATCTTGCGAAAGCTTGAGCGATGCAATCGAGACTGGTATACACAACAGCGACAGTACGGCTTGGACGATAGGTTTTTGCCATTGTGACATACATAGACCGCAATACGCATCAAGTCAATTCAACGTTACCCATGTCAGCTGTGAGGTAGCCGAAGCTCTGCGTAAGGAAAATGATCCACGGCTGCACCGGCAGAAAATTGAAAGAAGACAACAAGTGTCTCGGTCGTCGAACCGTCAGTTGCCCAGCATTTCTGTGGAAAGATAAAGGTTGCTAAAGCAGATATCGCTCTTCCGCACGACTGATTTTTCTTAGTGAATACTCTGCTGGACTTTATGGTCATTCTGAGCCTATCCTCGTCGAGGCTATCAAAGCGACCTTGCAAGAGAACGACTCGAACCCGGGTGCGAATACCAAGCACGAGATCAAATATGCCTCACTGATCTGCGAGCGATTTTCTCTCGATACTTTGCGCTTCACGAATTTAGGCACGGAAGCAAATCTCCAGGTTTTGATGGCGGCACGGCACTTTACAGGCAGAAACAAAGTGGTTGTCTTTACTGGTGGCTACCATGGTAGTGTACTGGGATTCTCCACCAAGCCGATTGCCAATACGATTGATCAGCAGAATTTCGTTGTAGTCGAGTATAACAACATTCCTGCTACACAAACTGCAATCGAGCGGACGCCAGATGTCGGCGCTGTTTTGGTCGAGGGTATGCAAGGTGCCTCTGGTAATATTGTTGGGACGAACGAATTCCTCTTCGCTGTTCAGGTATCCTCTTGCAAGGTATCGTCCAATCCAAGATATCTCCATAACTCGAACACTACTGACCTAAAATACTTAGGTTGGTGCAGTGTTCATCTTCGACGAAATTTTGACGTCCCGCTTGGTCGCAGGCGGGTTGCAGGAAGTGGTGGGTCCCAGACCAGATCTGACTACCCTGAGAAACTATCGTGATGGCTCGCTGGCGTTCGAAGCCTTTGGTGGTCGACGAGACATCATGGCCGTGGGCTGATTAAGTACTATCTGGGATCAAATTCTCTGCTAAGCATTTACTCCAGCTATCGTGATAACCGATAACCTTGGTTAGATTTTGCAATAGCCGGGTGGCTTGACTTGATTCGTATAGGAAAAGCTAATTCCCGCCGCTTTAGAGATCTATCTGCAGTCAAAAACGCGATGATAGGTCATACGTGCGCCACAGACTTCGTTGTCGCACCGAATTGCTTTGCCCTAAATCATTAACCCCTCCTTCTGACGCACACTTAAATGTGGAGCCCCGCAATTCGTGAAGCCTTTTTGTTATTCTTGGCCGGCGGACGCAAGTTATTCCCTGCTTCTCGTACGAGAACTTGTAATGAGCAAGACGGCAATTGACATCGGCAGAGTGTTAGCATTGGAGATATCGCGTCTCTGAAGTCAGAAGATACCAACGTATAAGTTATGGGAATGCCCTCCAAAATCTCATAGCCATTTCGTTCTTTCCCTAGATAATCGCACGATGAAAGGTTCAACAACAATCAGAACAGCTCTGTTGACGGCGGTGGCAAGCAGAGCAGCCGCCGATTGTTCAACTTCCAGTATCCAAGCATTGCTTCCCTCTTTCGCCAGTGTCGATTTTGTATTATGGCAAGCCGGAGGATCGACTTTTTCGGTCCCTGCTGGAGATATCGCGTACCCATCTTCGCCCACAAACCTGATGGCTCACTGCGCTGTCCAAATTCGAGTCAAGAATGGCACTTCCGATTATGGCTTTGGCATGTTCTTGCCTGACGACTGGAATGGAAGGTTCTTGTATGTACACTTTTGGGTCTTCGAATTGTGATGTGATCCAGCTGACGAGGAATATGAGAGCGGTAGGAAATGGTGGCTATGCTGGCGGCATTAATTGGAAAGATATGGTGGGCATAGGCATTCGGTATCTCAATCTATGGGTATCTTGCTAATCATATGTCAGGGCGGTGGTCTAGGATATGGTTTTGCAGTCATGTCTACCGATACTGGACACAATAGCACATCCTTCGACGGCACATGGGCCTACGGACAACAGGACAAGCTGAAAGATTGGGGTTACCGTGCTATGCACGGTTCCACCGTCGTGGGCAAGCAGTTGACTCGAGGCTATTATGGCTACGAGCCAAAGTACAATTACTACAAAGGCTGCTCGACAGGTGGACGCCAAGGTCTTCGAGATATTCAGCTTTATCCTGAAGACTTTGATGGTGTCGTTGCTGGAGCACCAGCGTGGTATCTGACCCACATGTCGCCGTTCACCCTCAAGGCCGGCACCTACAATCTTCCGGTCAACGGATCTACCCACATTCCCAGCAACCTGTTCCCTGTCATCAACGCCGAGATTCTTCGACAATGCGATGCAGCCGATGGCGTCAAAGATAATATTGTTTCCGATCCTCAAGCTTGCAACTTCGAAATGGACGCTCTTCTTTGCACCCCAAAAGCCAATCAGTCTGCGTGCTTGACGGCACCTCAGCTCACCACTCTGTCCAAGATCTACCGCGACTACGTTGAGACCAACGACACCTGGATTTTCCCCCACTACTGGATGGGCAGTGAGCTTGGATGGCCTCTGGTCTTCGGTGCCCCTGCACCAGGAGGCTTAGGCGTTGATTATGTGACCTCCTTCATGCAATACGGTCCCAACTGGAAGTGGCAAGACTACGACTACAGTGTCGTTCAGAACGCAGAACGAATTCGTCCTGGTAACGCAACAGCTGATGACTTCAATCTCGAGCCTTTCAAGAGAAATGGCGGCAAATTGCTAATCTACCATGGCATGGCTGACCAGTTGATTCCAACTGGCAGTAGCTTGTATTTGTACTCTCAGATTCTGCGCGAGCTTGCACCCAGAGGAATCGAGATTGATGACTTTTTCCGCTTCTTCTTGGTCCCTGGCATGGGGTGAGTAGCCTTTCGTCTTTCCCTGTCGACAAACCCTCTACCGACATAGCTAACTCATTATCGAACAGTCACTGTAGCGGCAACTTTGCTCCAGGTCTCGCGCCATGGTATTTCGCTGGTGGCGGTCAAGTCTTGAACTCAGGAGTCTATGGCGTTCCTGGGTTCAGAGACGTTGAACACGATGTTCTTCTCGCCATGATGCGATGGGTCGAGCAAGGTGTTGCCCCTGATCAGATCATTGCCACCACTTGGGATAACGATACTACGCAAGACGCAGTCTTGAGACAAAGACCACTTTGCATGTATCCCAGGAAGCAGAAATACCTTGGTGGGAATGTGGACAAAGCAGAGAGCTGGACATGTGCTTGATCGATACAAGGATGTCTAGTCCATGGACTAGCTATAGGATCTTGAGTTGCGGATGAAGCAGCCAGGAGATGCCAGATCCGCATTGTGGTCATTCCATTGTAGTGGGCCAGATCTACCACTGGGGTTTGCCCATGGCTCTAAGCTTGGCACCATACTTCTACAAGATAAGAGGTCGTGAAGAAGAATCTTGCAATGACGACCAATTTAGTACTGCAGACTATACCAAATCGACGGAGCGAGGGCAGTCGAGGAACCATGCGTCCAAGGCCATCTTATCAGCTTGCGATCGGCGACATCGTTCTCCGAGAAGCGGACATATCGGCCGAGATGCACCCAAGCACTCGATGAATGATTGGTTCAGCTTCGATTATCATGGGTTGTGTTTAGTCTACTCAATCCTGAGCTGACGGATTCGGCAAGTTTCATGCTCAGTCCAGATTGTCGGTTCGAATTGATGACTGTAAAGAGTTTGGCCGACAGCACGCGATGATCCTTCGGCTTCCCGCGGAGACCGCAACACCGTCACATGGGGGGCCGCACCAAAGAATCACAGTATCGCACGACGCGTCTTGGCTTACTCGTCCGGCCGCAACATGAGTTCATCCTTCGATTTGCATATCTTCGACCACTAGAGATAGGACCTCTGAGCGGATATGTCTCCAAGCCTTCGTCAGTGATGGTATAGTTGATCACTATGTTCCATCGTCAGTCAAGACACCTGACGGTGAGAAATTATTCTCAGTTGATGAGTGTATCTTCCTACTTGACACATATGGATCTGATATGCCAGTTGTTTCTCGTACGACCTTGTGATTGATACGGAACGCATCACTCACTGACTTTCGACTAGACTTATCCGTATGGACAGTTTGAAGGGTGTCACTGCCCTGTCCATCTCGTATAATGATGGCTATCTTAGCTCCGAAATTGCTGGAAATATGCTATTGTTTGTAGCTACATTCATGTAGGCCATTATATGATTAAGCATAGAAAGACTAGCCTGGTGAAGGTTATAAATGGTCAATGATTCACGCACTTTACAATCGACGCACAGTCAACATAGAAGTCACTAACGGACTAAAGACCTTGACGGCATGATCTCTTCTACTGTAGTTACATATGATCTGCTTATCAGGCACGTACCCGGGGATGGCAGTCTAGGAGCAGTTACCAGTAAAAACGACGCCTCGCTAAACTCCCAAGCCTATCAAAGCATCTGCCGTCCACTCGGCCATATCCACCGGAAAGTTCAAAGAGCAGTTTATATCATCACACTATACCACCTTATCTGTAACGTTCTTTCCAGCAATGTGATTCACCATCTTCATCTTTATCAGCCGGTAAAAAGTATTGCTTGCATCGTCTTGTCCGGAGTTGTATGTCATGAGTGAATGGACTCCGACCTGGGCGGGCGCAGTCGTGTTCATCAAATATTCGTTGATGGGTTGCTTCGCCATGGTTTTGAAGAAGTGTTACTGGCTTGCCCACAGATCTTCCTTGGTCGTTTGAGCTCGGTAGCTAGCGTAGAGTCTCCTTTCGAAATACTTGCTTGGTGTTGATGGGAAGAAGATGGGCATCAATCCCCTAGAACCACAACGTTAGCCCGAGCTCTTGCTCGTGAGATCTTCGAGGGGCCTTGCTGAACACGTACCAGGGTATCGCGACGTTCAAGAACTGCGACGAAGGTGAATCCGAGAAGTATGGAACACATAATACATGGCCTGCTTTGAGTGGTACTCCATTCGTGGTGGATCTCATCATCGCCAATCCACCATCATTCGCTCATGTTCATTGTGCGGAAAGTCTCGGGGTACCACTTCATATCATGTTTACGTGAATCAAGTCATGGACTGAAAGGCTTAGAACTGACAATAACGTTGTAAGCATGCCGTGGTGACCGACCCGGGCCTTCCCTCATCCACTGGTCAACGTCAGAGGCTCCAAGATCGATCCAGGTCTGATCAACTATCTGTCTTACTCCTTGTTCGAATCAATCACATGGCAAGGGTTGGGGTCCGTATTCAACAAGTTCAGATCCAAGGTTTTGGCATTGGACCGGCTTGGTCAGAGTTCTGCTGTAGGCGCTCTCTAGCGCTTGAAGATACCTCATAAATATTGCTGGTTGGTTCTGGTTTCCCTCTTACCATTGAGTCACAGCACACTGATGAAACGTTGTAGGTCAGAGACTCTGATCAACAAGCCAGCCGATTGGGACGCAAACATCTCGGTAGCAGGGTTGATGCGTACACCTAGAAGCCACACTTATCAGCCGCCGCCCTCGCTGGCTGAATTCCTGGAGAGTGGACCGCCCCCGATCTATATCGGCTTTGGCTCCATCGTGGTTGACGATCCTCATAGGCTGACTGACATAATCATCGAAGCCTTGCAGATCACCAAAGTTCGTGCTCTCATATCTACAGGATGGGCTAATCTTGGCCACACTGTTGAAGATGCATTGGCGCACATCTATGAGCTCGGGGATTGTCCTCATGATTGGATTTTCCCGCAGGTAAGTTGCGTGGTGCATCACGGCGGCGCTGGAACAACCTTTGCAGGCCTTGTTGCAGGAAAGCCATCAGTGATCATTCCTTTCTTCGGTGACCAGCTGTTCTGGGGAGATGCTGTCTATCGTGCTGGAGCTGGGCCAGAACCAATACCCTGGATATCTTTGACATCTCAAGGTCTTGCACAAGCCATCGAGGCCGCTATGAATTCTCAAGTGTGTGCTAGGGCTTACACTGAGAGTCTTCAATTGAAGGCTGAGAATGGGACGCAAAACGCTCTTCGAAACATCGAAGCTACGCTGCCGGTAGAAAAGATGCGCTGTTCGATCCTGGAAGACCACACTGCAGCCTGGAAGGTCAGAGAAACGAGTATCCGACTCAGTGCTGTCGTCATGGAGACTCTGTTCGTGGCAGGTATTCTACAATATACTGATGTAAAGCTGTGAGTGTCTGTCATTGACTTTGCATCCCTTTGAAACACTGACCGGACTATAGGTCAAAACCGTGTGAGTATGAAGCCAACTATGGACTTTGGGACTCGATTTCTGGTGGTTCTTCCGAGATCTACAATTTGTTTTACAACACTTTCAGAGGCATCGCTCAAAATGGATCGGAACTTGCACCTAGGCTGGCCACCGACCCTTTCGTGGAAAAACGCTCTCTGAAACAGAAAGTCGCGGTACAAGTGCTTGATTCAACGGCTTTTGCAGGGTCGAGGCGCCAACGGAAAGTCCTTGGTGCCCAGGCTGGCAAAGGTGTCGCCAGGATCGTCAAAGCCGCAACGCGAGCGCCCATGAAGTTCACCGTTGCCATGGCACAAGGAGCGCATAACACTCCAAAGCTCTAGGGTGACAGGAATGTTCGACCATCTGTGAAGGTCTCCAGTATAGCTTCTGGCATATCAGCAGGCTGTCAGGTAAGTCTAGTGCATTCAACGTACATCAGATGTCTGACAAATCCTGCTAGGAACTTCTCTATGGCACCTACGATGGTATCACAGGCTTGGTGGTGCAGCCCGTGCAAGGTGCTATCGACAACGGTGTCGTTGGATTTGCTTTCGGTATTGCCAAAGGCATCGTCGGCATGCCTGTCAAGTTCTGGGCTGGTAAGCAAGCTGTAGACTCTGTTTCACCTTGATATGTAACTAACATCCCTTGCAAGGTATGAGTGGTATCGCCGGCTATCCTCTTCAGGGGGTCGAAAAACAGATCCAGCGAGCAGTTATCCACGATGCGCTAGAAGATGTGAGATCTGCTCGGAAAGCCCAAGGAGCTTTCCAGCATGCCCAGTTGAGCGACGAGGAGAAGTCGCAGATACTCTGGGGGTGGAGATCATTTCTAGCATAACACAATCAGATGAGGTTCAAAGCTCCACTCTGGAAGATTTCTCCACCAACGGAGAAAGAACAATGCAGAGGAGGAAATCGATACATATAGTCTTGCTGAACTTCTGTGGATGTATCCCGGTCGACTTCAGATAATACTGCTCGGGAGTGGACGGTCTTCTTGCTCCAGTCGTTTGTCGGAAGGTATCAAGCTCTGGGTCTGCCGGGTGGGAGCTCAACGACATATCGTTGTACCAGATACGAATATTCTCAGAGCCACACCACAAAAAAACGTACCTAATAATGGAGCTGAGAATATTCGGTGCCTAGAGCATGCCGTACAAGAGAAACACATCTGCTCGTCAAGACTCATCTATTTGGCGTCTGTGATTTACCTACGATTTACAACTCATCCTGTGGTGATTTTCCGAACTAGTGGCCACGCCAATTACCAACACATACACTCAACATCGATGGAGGATGGATGGCTTGACGATGCAGGTTAAACGCCTAGGCATACTGATGAAAGAATGAAACGAGATCTCGTGTCGGTCATGATCGTGCTGCTCATGAGGTTAGTGATCCTAGAGCACTCACATACGTCTCTTTCCTGCGTGCAAGCCGTGTATCTTCATCCTCTGTGAGACCGAGGCGGCACACTGACTTACCATCGCAGGCCCGTCTCTTGGTATCCACCTTGCACGCCATCAGGCCAGACTGAATCCTTCTGACGTCATTAGGATCTTGTTCAGCTTTCTGTGTCATCACAAGCCTGCCCTCCCTCTTGCACTGATCTGAGTGACTTAGTCAACTCCAATGCTTCTTCCCCCCTTCACACGACACTCAAGACTACATCCCTCGATCATCTATTCGCTGTTTCAAAGCTACAAAAGTCCTGATCTTTTGCAGGCAGGGAGCAATGTCTCAGGCTTGGTACGACAAAGCAATCGCACCGGACCACAACCCAGAAGATGAATGCCGCCCAGCAGAAGCTCGAGCTCTGAAGCTCTATCTTGATGACGAGATAGAGGTAACGAAAGCCGCGCGCCTCATCACCAAGCCCACCGAGTCTTCAGAAGATCCAGGCGCTGACCTCCCGGACTTGTGGGCTCTCTTACAGGACGCATTGATTGAGCTGCCCAACTCTCAACAAAAACTCGTTCATCTGATCTCTAATATCAGAGATCTACCGATGTTCGATCTTGACTCACATGGCAAAAAGCGAAGTGGCCCGCTCCGAGGTCCCTCGAGCTCTCTCTGGTATAATCTTCCTTCGTTCGCCAACAGTTGGTACGATGGTAATTGGTGGTACTATCAGCACGAGTGGCGCGGGAAGCCAGAGCTTTACTCTCCGCACAACAACACCGCTCAAATCTCCAACCTGGCTCGTGCGGAAGCGCTATTCGCACAAACTGATATCTTGGGAGAAAGAGTCAAGTACGAAGGCCTCTCTCTCTTCTGCGATACCCTTGAAGATAGTAACGCTGTCATCGAAATCGAGATCTTCGCCATTAGGGAATGGCTGGTGAATGCGCGCGATCTACTTTACGACATGTCGAGAATCCCACACGAGCATTATCTCTTATGTTCCAATGATGACATTAGAGACAAGATCGCAAAGAACGAGATGCATGTCGATATCAAGGACAAACGCGACCTTTGGCAAGGCTCTGGTGGCTCAAGCCTTGAACGGTGGAACTTTTGGAAGCAGCGCTTGCAGGTGCTTCAGGGTGATGCAGATCTAGACGAAGGAACTCGGGAAGTCGTAACAGAGGCTTTGGATGCCATGGATTGACAGGCTGTTCGTCTGGCGATAGAGGAAGGAGTCCATAGATGCTGGGGCTAGAGAAATGTGTATACAACATTTTAGGTGTCTGTCCACCAAGATTGTAGCTCTTCTGTCATGGAGGCTGCACACAAGCAAACCGTGCCTTTTCATCCTTCAAGCAGATTCATGAACCGAATCAACGGGTGCGCTGTGCCTCTGGAGTGCTGTTCTCAGACGCTTCTTGATGCTCTTCACCGGCGTCTTTCCTGGGGGCTTCTTATATGGCAGCCACAACATCGTCTTGTTCCAGCTCCTCCGCAAATTCCATAGGACACCTCTCGAGACTTTCATGCGAGCTGAGGTTGGTAGCTGTTCCGATAAGCATCGATACCATATCGGTCCAAGTTGCGGGTACTCATTTTACGACCGTTTAGCTCGTTTGACGCAGTGGATCTTGATCGTCAGCACCGCCCGGGATCCAGATCCCGTCTTCAGGCTTCGCTCCATGACCGAGTAGCAATTGAGGTGCTCTTGTGTTTGTTTGTCGGGTTTTGGCGTAGCATGTTACAGTCTTCCCCTCGTGATCTTCATGTCCAAGATGGATTCCATGCTCCAGTAGAATCAGAAGCAGGATTTCGTGAGATTCAGGCCTGTCAAGAACTTGCTAAGTATATCCCCTACCTTGCACATCGACGGCACTCATGTCAGATTCTGAGACCCCCAGAATGACCTGTGCGACATCAGCTCTGAACTGTGGCTCGTTTTTGCGGTTGACACTACAGAGAAGGCGGCCGTTTTCCTGTCCGTAGCGTGAAAGTTGATTAGACAGATGGATCACGTACACCGTTTCTTCTTGATTGCGTGGAAAAGTCCTTCTACAACAAAATCGTGAAATCTACTATGGACGGGTTGCTGAATCCCTCAGCCTTCGAGAATCCACCCTATCAGACATGGCCAGCAAGAGCGAAACGGCTCTTCGACCAGCCTTGAGGACATCCTATCAGGCTCTTCTGCTTCGAAGCGCGCCAGACCATTCAGCAGTAAACAAGCCTATCTTTTGGGTCTGACAGTTCCTCCAATTGCGAGCCACTCCATGGCTATACGGATCATGGCGTGCAAAAAATGTGCTCTTCATCAACGAGACCGCTGCCAATGCTATCGACTTTGACAAACCATACATCCGACAGACCTACCCAAGTCGTCCTCAGCAACAACTCGCTTCTCAAGTATTGACACTGGACGACGACGCAGATGACAACTGCTCATTCCTAAATTTTGGCACCATGTTACTCGAGATCTTTTTTCGAGAGCCCATCGACTCACGACGCTTGCAAGCAGACTCGGGACCAAGTCAGAGCTTTTCGGATCTTCGGACAGTCCGACGCTGGGTGCAGCAAGACAAGGAAGAAATGCCAATATGCTTCGACAAAGCAGTATCTTTTTGTATCGGCTGTTTTGCAAGCACACATGTTGATCTGCAGGATAAATTGTTCAGACAGACAGTGGTAGATCAGGTTATTGTCCCACTGAAAGACAAGCTCAAGATGTGGAATGCTTGAGGTATCCTCATCTGCCCGCCTAAAGGGCGCATGTTTCGATGTTGTCCGTTCCGAGAGTTGCGGTAACAAGATCACTGCATCCTTATTCCTGACCTCTTTTGTGCCGCTTGTACGTGCAACGAGCACCTACGACTCCATGTCAAGAGATGGTAAATGGACAGTCTGAGGTACGACATGTATGGTGAATTTTGTGACCTGCACCAAGACGACAAGGTGATACGGAGTGTTTACGTTCCTATTTATCGCAGCCGACTTGCCTCGTGGGCCCCAGTGACGCTTCTGATGGTCGTCAATAACAAAGTCCTGACACTCAGCTTCGTAACTTGAAGCAAGATCATTCCTACTGCTCTCGAATTTGAGACGGACAAGACTGCCTTGTCAATTCTCGACGCTCCCGTCACGATAATTGCTCCGTGCTCAGCAATCTGGTTATTTGACAACGGACCCTCAAAGCTTAACATCAGCCACCCGACCGACATCCCTGCTCAGGGTTTCAGTGTCTGATGCTCGAGAGATCCTGGGTCAACCGCTCACAGCGCTTTCATATGGCTCTTCGAGAACTCGAATGCGTCTTTAAGCACTTGATTCATGGCCGGAGATGTTGGTAAAGAGGTTATCTCATTCTCACGGATCCATTTCCACTCAGAATGTTCTTCGGGGTTAAGGGTAACTTCGGCGGGCTGTTGAATGGTGGCGACGAAGTTGAATTGCACGCTCTCCATCCCCCCTTGTTTGGATGTCCAGCGAAGTTCTTCGAACTTTCCGATAACGTCTTGGACGACTAACCCAGTTTCCTCCATTGTCTCGCGCTGAATGGCTTCAGAAATCGTCTCGCCTTGTTCAACATGACCGCCGGGCAGCTCCCACATGTTGGGAAAAGAGGTCTCTGTCTCCACGCGTCTCACAACTAATAGTTGCCATGTAGAATTGGCGTCGGTTGTGCGGCGAAGAACGGCGATCCCGACCACATAGACGTAATCACCAGCAAGATCTTTGGCCGTGGAGCTGAGTAGCTTTTCGACGTCGGCAGATGGTTGAGCAGACATTGTGGTCCAATTGATTGGATGAATGCAGGTTTGACGAAGTGGATGCGGGTTCGACGAGGTGGACGGGGAATTGAGGAAGTGAATGCGGGTTTGAGCAATTGAAGAAGGAATTCAGCCGACTTCAGTCTTCACAACTAGCGGTGAGAGCAATTCCGAAGTTTTTGGACCAATAGTAGCACAGGACACTACCGAACGGGTTTCTGGCTTACTCATCATGCACTGCTATGCTTCTGCGGTCTTGTGTCACATTCTCAATTGATCCATCAGAAATGCATATGCAAGCAGGCTACATTTGATCACACCATAAGGCAAATCTTCACGGCACGTCAGTGTGAAGATGGGCTGGTAGGCTTTACATATTACTCGCATTTCGGGGTATCTGCAGGGCAGGTGGATTGAGCTCTGCGCCCGCGTGTTCAAGAATTGCATGGTTTTTGGCGAATATACAGGGTATTCTTGGGCCGATGGATAGTGCGCACATCAGTGCGTCTGCATATTCAATGATTGCAGCGAATGAATGGTGTTACCAAGCTCGAAATAAGCAGTCTGTAAGCCTTACGATAACCTTCGGCTGTGCAAACACCCTGTAGGTCGGCGCGTATCGAGGTGTGATTCATACCATCTCACATTCTAGCTCGAATATTTATGGTCTTGAATCTCGCCTACCTCTTCAACGCCGCTATCTTGATTCCATACATCTGTAACACGATCACTTCCGAAGCACCAAAGGGATTAGCCTTGATCGGCCTCGGCAATCGAGGATTGGGCAAAGCCCTTCAGTATCTGGAAGCAGAGACTTCTTTCCAACTCGTCGCTGCTTGTGATCCAAATCAAGCAGCAATCACGCCATTCAAAGATCTGAACCCAGATGTGCCATGCTTCCAAGATGTTAACACAATGCTAGAGAACCAAAACAGTCGAGCGGGTCCACCACGCGTGGAATACGCTTATGTGGCAGTACCACACTCGGAATACCGCAGCATCTTACCACCGCTATTATGTCATCAGATCCACGTCCTGAAAGAGAAGCCCGCCGGTCTCAACATTACAGAACTGAGATGTTTCCAGGACCTTGCATCTGCAAATAACGTCCGTCTTGTCACGTTGACAGAAGAAGAGAAGATGTCTGATTCAAACTCGCTGGGACGTTGTGGGTACACATACCACCTGGCCGATGGCACAGACACCTTGAAGTCTTCAGCAGACATGCATCATGATTCTCAGCTGGCTGCAAGTCAAGCTTGAGCATCAGCTGAAGAGACACCAGAGCGGACGGGATGGCTGCCAATTTGTCTGCCAGATAAAAAAGTCGAGCGCTTGTTGCGATCAACCTTTTCCGATACGAGACCTTCTTCTGGAATCACATGTTGACTTTCATAGCTTGTGCCGCGGGCAACTGACCGACTGCTGGAAGCAGCGTATTTCTCAGCCACGTGGACGACTACGCACAGGCTAAAGTGAAGACGTGGTGAACATAGTGCAGTGTGGCTTGGAAAAAGATAGGGGATGGCCGAGATGGAGAAGGTCTGCGGAATGGAGCTGAACTTCCGGGCGCATTCTGAACCAAAAATTCTTCCCAAGTCCCCGACATCTCAGCTCTCAGGTCGGCACCTCCGAATGTGGTGTCAAGAGCTTCTCACTGTTCGCGACTAGTCATCGATTGATTTGGGCGTGGTCGAACATTCCCAGCGGTAAACACCCTGATGCTTAGTGATGTACGTATCTGGGTAAGCACAACTTGTTCCACCGTCTTGCTTCCAGGATCGTCAGGAACAAGGTACGTTCGGGTACAGGATGCAGGAACCCGACCAAGAACTTTGTACATTCAAGTCATTAGCTGATCTTCTTGTTCATTGACTTCTACTTTGTCAAGTCGCGCACCTACTTTTATAAGTCTGGTACATCCTCATCTGCATGTTTGAGCCGCTCGAGCTTCGAGCTGACCTGCGCATGGAAGGCCCATGTTCCTCTCCAGGCTTGACGGCCATACCGGTAGGGCATTCTGTTAAAGTTCAAGCTAGTCTGGGGGGAAAGCTGAGCCGACTGAAACATCAGCTTGAAGGTGCCAACTCGTGGCTTTCCATCGACACGTTCTAGAAGGATGCCGGGAGCGGAAGAAAAAGGGTATCAGCTGCGGCTGGGTTCGAATTGATAGATAGTGCGACGGGAAAGATAAATTTCCCCCTTCTACAACGTGCTGAATTCGCAATTGGGTGCGAACACATTCGAGACGATTAGTGACGCTACGATCGCAGCAAGTTCGAAGTAATAAGTATAGACTGTTGGCCGTCTGAATGATTAAGCTGTCCCTCACGTCTGCTGAGCGTGGTGTGAGCGTGGTGATGCGCAAGCAGATGGGCTTCTATAAAATTCCGATGCCATAGCTGAGTGAAGCATCACAATGACGCCCAGTCGTGCCTGCGACATAGCGATCGACCTCTTGAGCAGTAGTAACCTGGTCGATTGACTTGTTACTGTGCGCTCCGCATGGATGTGTAAATGCTGTCACGACTGGGTGTGATAGGTGCAGCAGGGAACAAAGAACTTTCTCAAAAGAAGGTTCTTGATGAAGAGTTTCCTGGAGTCATTCTTCAAGCGATTTGGTTCCCAAGTCGTCGCGACTCAGTCACGACTGTTGTAGTGACAGATACGGAAGCCCAAGGCGTTGAAGACATCAACGATGTGTGCTTCGCGGCCGCAATGCGTCACCATAGCATGAACCATAGCATGGGACATGACCAGCTTGATGTCAGTCAAAGCCGTCTCGGCGCGCAGGCTGACATTCACGTGTGTGCAGTGCATCGGTTGATTTGCACGGAAACGTGTTCGAGAAGAGGGAGGCGTATCCCTCTGCGTGGTTTGCCTCCTGACTTTGCTGACAGGCAGTCTACGATATCGAGATGGTGACGTGCTCCAACCAGTTTCCGATAAGGCTGAGCCCGCCTGTCATGGGTAACCAAGGCCATCTCGGCAGATAATATGATAGAACTCGGTGGATAGATCATGCCGCGTCCGTAACAGCATCGTCATGTTGAAAGTGCACCAGCGTCAGACGCTGAAGTATGACACGTCCATGTCGGATTCCAGGTTAGGACCCTTTGTTATTACCCCGCCAAACGTCATCACCTTGGAGGTCTGACTGCTGCGCCCCGCCCGTCCAAGCTCCATCCTTTGAGAGCTCCAACAGCTATAATACAGCCGCGAGATCAGCTAAACACAATCTTCTTCTTCCATCAACTCAAGAATCTTCACATCTTCTACTCAATCTACCAACACCATCCCGCCACATCCATCAACATGCAGAACGAACGCGGCCAAGGTGTTTCCCACGCCACCGACTCTCAGGTCCCCGGCAAGATCCAGGAGAAGGTACGTCCTCTCTCTCATCTTCTCTACTCTAGCATCATGTGCTGACATTCCATCTCAGGCTCCCGCCAAGCTTGAGCACGAGCTCCCCGACTCTGTCCACGACACGGGCTCAAACCACCAGACCGGCAAGGTCAGCCACGCCACCGGCCCCTCCAAGGTCCCCCAGGCCATCCAGGAGGCCGCTCCTAAGAAGCTCGAGGAGATTCTTCCCGAGAAGATCCACCCCACAAAGTAAATCTTTGTTTGACGACCATGATACCTGAGATGAGCTCGAGCTCAAGGAAATGCGTTATGAACACATAGCATGGCAAGAGCCATTGCGATCAGATATAATGAATGAATAATCAACACTTCTCAAACGCAAATTTATAATGACAGACTTGTGAGCGCAGTTGTGTTGTCCAGGTCGATCCAAATTGGAATTGAGATCGCTCCGTCGCGTTGAACTCAACATGAGCCTCGTTGCGGCTCCGCGCCGATCTGAGTCAAGCGCAAGTCACAAAACCAGAAAAAGATGGCAAGTATTGGACACGAACAGTCGTAGGGACTACACGACATGAACATCATGGTCGTGTCAATCAGACATAATCTTTCGATAATTATCGGATGCGCTGTCCGGTCAAGTTTCCGCCTTGGCGTTGAAGAGAACCCTCGGCCCACAGTTCGTTCCAGTCCTCTCACCGCAACAACGACACGACCATTGCTACTGTCAGCAGGCAGGATTGTCGTCTACGGAGTAGCATCATTTGAATCTGGCTATCATCAGACTCAGGAACGATAATATGAGCAGCCATCAGGAGACAGCTTCTTCTAACCCGCCGAGGCGTTCAAGGCATCTCTGCCCTATTGTTCCCGAATTATGACCGACCGTAAACACTTTGAAAATGCCCATCACTCTCGGAAACGATCAAATAGTGACATTGCATACCCACATCTGAATCCTTCGCTTGGCAGGATGGCGTGTGACCGAATGGATGCCTCTCTCTGTTCATCTTTTTCTTCTCACACAACCCCATCGCAATTCCAGAGATTCGAGCCCCGACCGCATCAACATGAAATCGTTGGTCATATGGACTTGTCTACTTGCTACGACAGCGACGGCCTCATGGTGGTCCACAGAAGAACCTTCCTGTGCACAAATGTCTGGAGCCTCCGAAGGCATCGCATACCGCTACTATGCTCACCCTGCCACTGGTCAGTCTTGCGTGAAAAGCGACTGGAATGAAGCTATTCGAGCATCGATTGAACACTCTTTCAAAAAGCTGGATCTGGACTATCTGCCAGATAGCACATGTATGCCTGTCGATCATGACGGCGAATGGAGTCGTGGTGCATGGAGAGGTTACTTGCTGTATGGTCCTGAAGGCAAGGTCAAGTTGAACGAGTACTGCGGACCCACTCTTGCTTATAAGACCAAGCAATCGTGCAAGGAGTCACGCGCATCTGAACGCGAGCTCTGAACAGCTTCAGGATGGGTTGAGTATGGCACTCAAGCACGATCTCTGGGACGCAGGTGCTGACTTGGCATAGCAGAGCGCAATGATTTTGTAGCTCGTTGCTACAGTTCACCTGGCCAGGTCTTCGATGTGGACTATGATCCAGAATGCGATTGTCGACCAATGACCCTCGACTTTGCGAACTGTTCCTAGTCACTCTACTTTCGAGATTCACAGGATCGGTGTGTCACTCTTCGTTCCGGAGATGCTCTTCAAGGACCAATGAAGAAGGTTCGGAGCTCATGCCAAGATTGCTTACACCAGGAAGTCAATCTCCAAGTTTCAACCGTCGAATTCCATATTTGACGCTTTTGACGTCAGCTTCACCCCGCTTCCTCCGCGGCTCTCCCAGAACAGGTGGAAGAGCTCGATCATAGCTATTTCTCAGTTCGTGCGAATGTTGCTGATTCCCGTCATGACAAATCCAACCCGGTGTACAAAAGCATTATATAGCCCCAGCTTTCCGTCTTCTTGTTTTGTGTCCTTGCTGCCCCAATTTCCGAAATGCCTCCCATACCGTACCGTACCTATGTTCGAAGCCATCCTGGCTCTTCCAAAGAAGAGATTGAGAATGAACCTGACTGGAGCTCTGCCAAGCATCACATTGGCTATCGCAACCGACACGATCGTATTCCTGGACTCGTACATGGCGGTGATGATTCTGACAGCGAAGACAGCCAGGAGTCCTTCCTCAAAGAGGCCGAAGAAGAGTCCAATGAGCTGCAGAAGGAAATGAGCGAGCACAAATTAATCAACTTCCGCGAAGCCAAGGAGAAACAAGAAGCATGCATGCTCTTCGCAAAAAGATCTGTCCAATCAACACTAACGCAAGACAGGACTACTACCTCGAGGAACCGCAAGCGCATCCCAATGGCTGGCGTTACAGACTCAACGAATCCGAAGACTTCATCAAGAATCAACAACCATGGCCCGCGAACTTGAAACGACAAAAGCAGAAAGAAGAGGCCGAGAAAGAAGAGAAAGAGAAGAAAGAGAAGAAAGAGCAGGAGAAGCAACAACAAGAGCATGAGTGGAAGGACGGCAACCTCAACCGTCGAAGACACAACGATGCTTATGCTTCAAGTGGCGGTCAAGATGATTCCAAGCCGAGCGACCAAAAAGATGACAAGCAAGAAGGCAGCAAGAACGACGAGAAAGACTCTCGAAAGGACTCTCAGAAGACTGAACAAGCAGACTCGGACGACAAAGATTCCAAACCCAAGTCTGAATACGAAAGGCTCCGAGAAAAGTACAGCGTTCAGGAGATTGCTCTGCTAAGAAGTCTACAAGAGGAGAAGAAGATCGTTGAGAGCATAAAGCAAAGCGATGGCAAGATGAAGTCTGCCTGGGCACATCTCAAGCCGTCCGATGTTATCGACGATGCCGACCGTGCAAGTCCAGACAACTGGATCCCAAGAGATCCCAACATGATTCGTCTTACAGGCAAGCACCCTCTCAATGCCGAGTATCCGCTATCAGATCTGTACGAGACAGGTCTAATCACTCCAAACCGCCTCCATTACGTGAGAAACCACGGACCCGTTCCTCATCTACTCTGGGAGACACACAAGCTGGATATCGAAAACGGTAAATACAAGTTCACTATGGACGATCTTGTCAACAAGTTCGATAGCGTCAACATTGCAGTCGCACTCGCGTGTGATGGAAACAGACGCAAGGAACTCAACATGATCAAGCGATCAAAAGGCTTCAACTGGGGCGCTGGAGCCATCAGTAACGCGTTCTGGAAAGGCGCCCTCTTGTCTGATGTCCTGAAAGCAGCGGGCATTGACTACCCTACCAAGAATTCTGGTACCAGGAGATGGGTAAATTTCGCCGGATCTGACGAGCCTTCTGAGGGCACCTACGAGACTTGCATCCCGTATGAATATGCCATGGATCCTGTCAACGACGTGCTGTTGGCCTACGAGATGAACGATGTCAAGCTACCTCCTGATCATGGTTATCCTCTACGAGTCATCATTCCCGGATATGTTGGTGGTAGGCAAGTGAAATGGCTGAGCAAGATCTGGATTAGCGAGAAAGAAAACGATAGTCATTACCATATCTGGGACAATCGAGTACTAGTATGCTCTGTGAGACCTCACAAGTCATGTAACCTTTTGCTAACACATTTACAGCCAGCTTTTGTGACCGAAAAAGACGGAGAATTTGCCGAGACCCTCTTCCGTCACCCAGACACGGCATGTAACGAGCAGAACCTGAATTCAGTCATCGCCAAGCCAGGTCATGGTGAACGCATCGAGCTATCAGACGTCAAAAAGGGCCACACTTACCGTATTGCCGGATACGCCTACGACGGAGGTGGTCATGAGGTACAGCGAGTCGAGGTCAGTCTCGACGATGGTGCAACTTGGCTGTACTGCATCAGACAGTTCCCCGAAGCTCCAGTAAGACATGGCCACAAGTACTGGACCTGGATCCATTGGTACATCGACATTGAATTGGGTCACTTGCTTCGTGCTCCGAGCATAATTGTGCGTTGCTTCAACGTCTTCAAGAATACCCAGCCAGAGGTGTGTATAAGCTCGCTTCACGTGATACGGCTGATACTAACCTTGAGCCGCAGGTTGGTTCATGGAACGTCATGGGCATGATGAACAACGGCTGGTACAAGGTCAAGCCCGAGATTACCGAAGGCAAAGACGGCGCCATGGAAGTTCTCTTCCGCCACCCCGTCGAACCAGGAACCGGCACTGGTGGCTGGGTAGAGCCAAGCGCGGACGAAAAGATCGCCAGCGCAAAGCAAAGTGGAAGCACACCCCAGAAGCAATTTACCAGAGAAGAGATTGAGAAGCACGATAAAGAAGACGACTGCTGGATTGTGGTTGATGGCAACGTCTACGATGCGACTTCGGTGCTTGACTGGCATCCCGGCGGTAAAGCGACTATTCTGAACCATGCTGGCAAGTTGACTCAAGAGACTTCGGAAAGTTTTGAGTCCATCCACGATGGCTATGCTTACAAGAAGCTTTCTGGTAAGCGTTTCCAGCATTCTGCATGTTTGACTTGCTAATTTGTCCTGCAGAATGTATCCTTGGAACCGTCACGGACAAGGCAAAGGCACATATGAAGAAAGAAGCCGAAGCAGCCGCCAAAGCAAAAGCTGAAGCTTCGAGCAGAAACACTGATGTCGTACTTTCCATGCAGCAGTGAGTCCGCCAACGGCTTCAAAGGAGTTTGTTTAATGACTAACATCGGATCAGATGGTACCCTGTGACCCTTCTCAAGAAGAAGAACATTTCCAACGACACCCGCCAATATACCTTCAGTTTAGGCGACAGGACCAAGAAACTCGGCCTCGGCACCTGCCAACATCTCCAAATCGGCTTTCACATGGCCGATAAGATGCTTGTTCGCTCCTACACGCCGACCTCTCCCATCATCGGAGCAGACACTGAAGACGGCACCTTTGACCTCGTTGTCAAGACCTACTTCCCTACGGATCAGCAGCCCGGCGGCGCCCTAAGCAACATCCTCGACTGCATGAAAGAAGGCGAGGAAGTCGAGATCCGCGGTCCCACTGGCGACATCAAGTATCTCGGTAACGGCAAATTCGAGATTTTCGATGAGGAAGAGCAATTCGACAACATCACTCTCATCCTCGGCGGCTCGGGAATCACGCCTGGATATCAACTCATCGCTAGAATCATGGCTACCGACAGCGACACGACAAAAATCAAGGTTGTGGATGCTAACAAAGATGAATCGTCTATCTTACTTCGTGAAGATCTGGACAAATTCGCCAAGGAGCACAAGGATAGCTTCGAAATTCAGCATATCCTGAGCCACCCGTCAGATGATTGGAAGGGTGAAAAGGGGCATGTTGATGAAGACAAGATCAAGAAGTATAGTTATGCGCCGGAGAAGGAGAGTAGCAAGAAGAATGTTGTCTTTTTGTGTGGTCCTCCGGCTATGATTCAGAAGGCTGCTATGCCTGTGTTGCGTGATTGGGTAAGTTCGCTTTGCTCCCTTGGTGTAAAGGAATTTCTTTACTGACATCTGCCAGGGATACGAGGAAGGCAAAGATATGTTTGGGTTCTAGACCTGTCGTAAGTTCAGATAGTCGAACATCGTCCAATGCCATTGGTCATCCATATTGGGTTGTTGTAGACATCGGTTCTCAAACATGATTCTGGCTGTACAGTCGACTGTCGCCTTGTTCAGTCTCCAGGTCAAGTTTATGGTGGGAGAAGAGGTGAGGGAGGTATGACGTTGTAATTGCCAAGGCCGTATTTGCTTCTTTCCACCTCTTCCGCTGTTGACAACGACTTGCATCTTCTGCGACGACATCATCACCTCAACATTCTGACATGGTCGAGCGGTCTTGCATCAACGACTCCTCTTGTCCTAGGGCTCTATAATACACATGGGCAGTGTTATCGGTAAAACGATGCGCAATTGGTGCCTATCACTATCAAGACCGACTTGGCAGCCGAAGAAACACGCTTAAGCTTCGCCAATGCTGGCAGTGTTCAACACTCTACCTATCCGCGTCGTCCTAGAATAGGCCCTTCTCTAGACTGGTCTATCATGTATGCTTTGCGACATCTCGTTCCGGCTTGCTCCAGCCGCTTGCGGTCAACTCCACGGCCACGCATGTTCAACGTGTCCTTGGCACGAACTATGTACACCTTGCGACACCTTGCACACAGCGGTTCAACTTTCTTGACCTCTTGGCCTCAATTGTTGAGACAAAGGACTGCTGATTGTCGCAATGTCCAAACCGGCATCATCACGTCGCGCGGCCAAAAGCACTTTTGATGATCTCAGAATACAGACTAAGCTGCGCATGTATAAAAGGTAGGTCTACCTCAGGATGTAGCAATTCATTGTCACCCGTCGTCACCCGTCGTCACCATGTTGTCTCTTTTGTGGGCATGCGCTGCCATCCCCCTCGCTCTTGCAACACCAGCGAGGGCATCTAACATGTCTGCCAACAACTCCTTCGACTACGTTGTCGTAGGAGGCGGTCTTACTGGTCTAACCGTTGCCAGCCGCCTCTCAGAGAATCCAACCATCAGAGTCCTTGTCATTGAGGATGGACAGGACAATCACAACGACCCTCGAGTATCTGATGTCCGCACCTACGGACAAGCATTCGAGTCAGACCTCGACTACAACATGACCTCGACACCCATCCCGTGGAGGAACGGCACCAAACTTCCTATGGCTGCCGGCAAGACCCTCGGTGGCTCCGGCAGCATCAGCGGAGCAAGTTGGACCAAGGGACCCAGAACTCAGTATGATCTTCTGCCTCTGCTCACTGGCGACGAGTCCTGGGGGTGGGACGGTCTGAATCAGTACATGCTCGGTGCCGAACACTTCTACGCTCCCTCGAACGAGTTGAAGTCAAAAGGAGCTGATTACGACGGTCACAAGCACGGCTTCAGTGGCCCTGTTCAAGTTTCCTTCGCTCAGGGCATGTTTGGCAGCATTCAACAACCAGCTCTCAATGCTTCTCAGCAAGTCTGGGGTCTTGAGCATGTCAGCGACGCTGCGTCTGGTAAAGTCAATGGCGCCACAACCATTCCCAACATGGTTCAGCCTGGCGAGAGTCAGAACAGGTCTTCGCCATACACCGCATACATTCTTGGCGAGCCGGAGAAACGCGGCAACCTCGTCATTCTGACTGGGCACCGCGCTGTGGAAATTCGATGGAGGAACAATTGCACTAGTTTAGAGTCTGACCGCATATTGACCGCGGATGGTGTTTACTACCAAGCTGATCGCCACAGTGAGAGACTGTTTGCGAAAGCAACTCGTGAGGTCCTGCTTGCCGCCGGCTCCATGCAAAGCCCCCAACTACTCGAGCTCTCCGGGGTAGGAGATCCTGCCATCTTGGATAAAGCCGGTGTACCTGTTCGGAAAGCTCTCATGGGCGTAGGCAAGAACCTGCAAGAACAGACCAAGAACACCATCATCTATACTCCAAAGTCGGACGACTTCGAGGGGTCAGGCCCACCTTCGGCAATCGCTTTTCCCAATGTACACCAACTTCTCGGAAACAAGTCATCAGCTGTTCACAAAGAGACTCTTGCCAACCTGGCCTCGTATGCCGCCGATCTCGAAGCTCAAGGTCTTGTCGCCAACGCCACAGCCACGCATGAAATCCTCAGACTCCAAGTCGCAAACCTGTTCGACCAAAGCGAAGCAGCCGCAGAAATCTTCTTCACACTCGCTGCAGCAACAGACTCTGCTCCCGCGACCGTGGGTGCCGATCTCTGGAATTTGATTGTTCTCGCCCGCGGCACCATCCACATCACCAGCAACAACTCGTTCGATCTACCCGAAATCGAGCCCTCGTACTTTGGTCATCCTCTTGACTTGCAACTGCAAACATTGGCAACTCAGCAAGCAGCTCAAGTTTACTCGACCTCTCCTCTTGCAGAAATGGTCGACAAAAACATCCTTCCCGCTACCCTACCCGTCACTTACGAAGCTTGGGAGACGTTCGTCAAGGATACGTTCACGTCGGTGTGGCACCCTATCGCTACATTGAGTATGATGAAAGAAGAGTTTGGAGGCGTGGTGGATAACAAGTTGAAGGTATACGGATTGAGCAACGTGAGGGTTGTGGATGCGAGTGTTTTGCCCGTGCAATTGAGCGCGCATTTGAGCTCCAGTCTTTATGGGATTGCGGAGAAGGCTGCTGTGATGATCAGGGAGGATCAGATTTGATGAGTTTCATGATACGAACATGACAGACGAAACACAGAGTAAAACAGAATAGATGTAGACATTTGTGAATCATGTACAATTATACCTACAAGATAGCGACACCGTTTGGTGGACTCGCAACGCCTCCAGGAACGTGGATGGGCATACTGCTAAAGAAGAAACCCCACTTGTTCTTCTCCTTGCACTCCTTGGCCAACTTGTCCAAATCGAAAATCTCACCGATGGGCAACCCCCACCCAGCGAGTAACCATTCATGCAAGAGATGGTTTGTATCCTGACACGGCCAAGCTTCGAAGCTGGGTTGATCTCCCGCAACCGCCGCGAAACCTTTGTCCCACATCCATCTCACCGTCTTTTCGGACGACTCGACGCCAATAGCAGGAGGAGGATATGTTTCTGACAGCTTTGTGCGGGCTTCGGTGGAGAGTTGGTCATATGCTCCCGTCCAGCCTGTGCGGATGAACAGGATATCTCCCTCTTTGAACTCGACTCCCTGGGCTTTTGCAACTTGGTCCAAGATATCGACTGAGATGGGCGTAGTCTGGAAACAAGACTCTGCAGTCCAGTGTCCCTTCTCTTCGGCCCAGGCTTTGTAGTCGAGTAAGACGCCTCTGCCGACCACACCTCCGTTTTCCACCCACACGTGAATGCCGTTCTTGTCGCTTCCCAAGACATCTTCGTTGGTGCAGTCGTTGTAGTATCTCTTCTCTTTTTGGTAGCCATAGTGTCTGAATCCATCCCATTGCGAGGAAGATTGCGTGTTGAAAGTCACGGTATCGTCATTGACGCTGCGAGGTGCTTTGTTGATGATATTATGATTGAACGCTATACGATTGAAACACGGAGGAGACATTTTGTCCAAGGGCCAGTCGACGGAGATGCGTGTACCATGTTGGATCTCTCGAGCGGCGAGGGTGGTGTTTTGCGGGGTGAGGAGGTTGAGCATGCCGAGTTGGTCGGAAGAGCCCCAGAGGCCCCAGGCATTGCCGTGAGGACCTGAGGGGTCGAGTGGGAGAGAGGAGAAGGGTGGGCGGGTCGGCGACATTGTGGTATTGCTGGGAGCTGTGGAGGGAGCAGAGGGTTGCTTTTGTTGATTCGGTGACGTGCGCGGGGTAGCTTTCTTTATCCGACATGCTTTTCCGACGGCCTGCTATTTCCCCGTTGGCTGGGCTCTGTCGCTGTCGCTTTTCCGCCTTGTCGAAACACCGAAAAGGCATATCAATTTCGCGCCTGGGTCATGTTACTTGACAAGTTGTACGAGGATGCAGGCAGTCGACCACGGCCCGACCCAATTCAACAGGAATCTTTCGGTCACCGGGGGAGGCTGCCCCAGGGATCCGATGACCGTGGCCCCGGAGTCAGAAACGCTAGCATGCACAGGGGAAAAATCGCCAGCAGAGATGAAGCGCCAATGGCTAGCCAGTAGAGTACAGTTGAGATGGTATATCCAACAAGAACGATCAAGAGTCGGAGTCCTTTGTAGGTCTGCATAATCGGCTTGTGAGTGGGCTTTGATGACGCCTCTGCCGTCTTGCCAGCCATGGTCTGGAACGATGAACTTAGATTAACTGTTTGTAATGGCGGAAAAGTGCAACAGCAGAGAGCGAAGACATGTTCCAGGCTGTATATCTATAATGAGATCCAAGTCGTAGAATGCCGTGCTTCCGTGGGTAGGATCAAAAGTGTATAGGTCAACTGGCAAGATCAGCAGAAGGTCGGGATTGAGACGGACATTCGAGCATGCGGACAGGAGCACCCTGCCGCCATGATTGCTCCATCCAGAATCAGCGACAACGACCCCTGCTGACCCTCTTCAGTAGCTCAAGACGTCGCTTTGGAGACTCTGACTTGATCGATGGAAGCCATCTAGTCACAGAGTATGAATAGCATCAACTTGGTCGAATACCAACTTGATCATGATCTGGCGTCAACTCGTCTGCTGCAACACCAATTACTTGATCAAACTGATGGTCGTGTTCGAGAACACAATCTTGTTAAATCATATCATCCTTGACAAGAATGCGTACGTTTGCATAGCGCATGTTCTTGCGTATCCTACAGTGCTCTACCATCTCGACATAGAACATTGACCTACGGACTGTGTTTCACGAGCAGTTCTGACGTCCGCCTACCCTCTTGCCTATTCGGAGTCCGGAGGAACCAATCTATCCATGGACCCTTGATGCATTAGAAATAGCTAGCCAGCCCTGTTCCGCACTACGTAGTCTCTGTCGTCAATAGATGGTTGAGATAGAGTACAAGCCCTGGCTACGCAGGGACGCATACGGCTTGCAAGCCACAAAACCCAAAACGCGCCTGAATCGTGGGGGCTCAAAAAAACACTTTGTTGCGACTCCAAGCATATGAACACTCTTTGCGCCATCTCCAAGATAAGAGTGTAGAAGGCTTGCCGTAAAGCACTTTCCAAGGGGCCTAGGTTACGATAAAGAACCACGTGTAAATGCTTGAGAGTGTCGTTGTGTTTTCGCGGCGCCTTGTTCCTGGCGTCCGAGTCTGGATCTAGCTCCATCGCTTCTTCGCTCACCATACCATCCTTCGTCTCATCCATCGCACTCCGGCAAAAGCGTCATTCTCGATACAGATCTCAGTCCACACCAACAACTCAAGCCACATTCATCCAGTTTCATTGAATTGTGTGATGATCCCCTAACGGAAGGGCTTTCCCAGGACTGCCGAAAGTACGTCATAGCAGATCGTCACGATAAGGTTTGAACCTCCGATGGTCCCAAAGACTTCACAGCGATCCGGGAACGGCCCTCGCTCTCATCCGGTCACCAAAATGCCTACCTTTTGCACCCCTTTGTCATCAACATCTCATCGATCCGCACGGCTTTAGTTTCCATGTTCAGCTGTTCCGTCTAGCTTCTAGTTTCCTTCCCATCGCGTGGCCCTCCGCGGCTGCTGAGGGTTCTGATAGGCTGCAGATGATGGTTTTGTGGGTGGTGATATCATCATTTCGTCCAACCCCACACCCAAACAGTTTTCTTGTGCGACATCACTACCAGTATATAGCTAGGTCGTGTAGGTCTACTTTTCTTTTCACACCACCTGCTATCCTTCGGTCTGCCATACCAGGTCTTTCCTGGCACACTAACTGACCATGTTTGCCCTTTTCACTGACACAACCTTCGGGTTCCTCATGCGCAACATTTCTGGCGGAAGACTCTTCAAGTACGAAGATCAATACAACGAAGAGCTCCGCGAGGAATACTTCAATGCCGGAGAGATCAAGGAAGAAGAGTCCTCTGACGATGAGGAAAACAATGGCTCCAAGGGAAAATACAAGCTGATCGATTTCAGAGAGAACGACCCTGATGTATGTCGCGTCAAAATCCATTCAACGGGCGCATAAACTGACCTATTGCAGAACCCGCAAAACTGGTCCACCTTCAAAAAGTGCTTTGTTACCTTCAACATCTGTTTTCTGACTTCCTCCGTTTATATCGGATCTGCCATCTACACATCTGGTTTGCCTTTCTTGACCAAGGCCTTCGGTACATCCACTGAAGTCATTACCATTGGTCTCACTCTCTACGTGCTGGGCTATGGTTTGGGCCCTATGATCTGGTCGCCTCTCTCTGAGATCCCTCAGATTGGCAGGAACCCCATCTACATTGGTACACTGATTGTCTTTGTCTTCTTCAACTTTGGCGTCGTGTACGCAAAGAACATTGGCATGCTCCTGGCTTTCCGTTTCCTGACTGGTTTCTTCGGCTCTCCCGTTCTCGCGACTGGTGGTGCATCTTTGGCTGATATCTTCTCACCTGCTAAGCGCGCATACGCCCTTTCCATCTTTGGTATTGCCAACATCATGGGTCCTTCGCTCGGTCCCGTCGCTGGTAACTGGGCAGCTCAGTACGAGGGCTGGACCTGGCCCATCTGGATGCTCATCTGGATGTCCGGTACCTGTCTCGTCTTCTTGATATTCTTCTTCCCCGAAACGAGTGCGAATAACATTCTTTACCGCCGTACTGCTCGTCTCCGCAAGTGGCAAGAAGAAAATGGCTACTTGGACGACAAGCCTTACGACAAGATCAAGTGCCAGCCTGAGATCGAAGGCGAGAAGATGGGTCTTGGCGATATCGCCGCGATGACTCTAGTCAAGCCCTTCTCTTTGACTCTTACTGAACCCATTGTGCTCGCTCTCAACTTGTACATCGCCCTCATCTACGCAGTCCTTTACTGCTGGCTGGAATCCATCCCTCTCGCTTTCGAGGAGGTCTACAGATTCAGCCTAGGAACTACCGGCTTGTGCTACCTGGGTATCTGTGTTGGCGGTATCATCTGTATCCCTCCCTACTGGTACTACAACTACTACTACGTCGAGCCTCGCTTCTCGGAGGATGGAACCCTTCGTCCCGAGATCAGATTAGAGCCTGCATTGGCCACCTGCATCTGTCTGCCCCTTTGTCTGTTCATGTTCGGTTGGACTGCCAGAGCCGACATTCACTGGATCGTCCCTATCATCGGTACCTCGTTCTTCACCATCGGAGCCTTTGGCGCCTTCTCTGGTGTCCTCAACTACCTCGGCGATGCCTACCCTGCTGAATTTGCTTCCATCTCTGCTGGCAACGATTTCTTCCGCTCCTGCTTCGGTGCTGCGTTCCCTCTGTTCGCTCGCCAAATGTTCAACACCCTTGGTCTTGACTGGGGCAACTCGCTATTGGGTTTCTTGACTGTGGTCTTCATTCCTGTCATCTTTGCCTTGTGGTGGAAGGGCGACAGACTCAGAGCTCGTAGCAAGAGAGCTTCCCAAGAGTATCTGAGCAAGAAGGATGGCGACAAGAGCGACGACGAAAAGACCCAGGTCGGAAGTGATGAGGAGGAGAAGGAAAAGGATGAGCAGTAAAGGAAAGAGCGTGAGGCTCCGATTTTCATGAACAGATAGACTTAATATGTAATATGTAACGATAACGAAATGTACTTGTACGCAACGATCAACAAATCTTTGGTTCTCAATATCTTCTGTGACTCTCTGTCAATTCGTCAGAAGCATTGTCCCCCTTCAGTACTCTGTTGTGAAACCGCGGATGATAATGTTGGTATAGAGGCGCAAATCGGGTCTTCTTCTCTTGCCTCGGCCCCGAGAGATCTGCAGCTTACCCACATGCGGCTGAGAAAGTACTGTATTTACATTCGGCAAAAGCATCCAGACGCCTTTCCAGGTAATACGTATGACTCCACAAACATGATTACCGATGCTCGATATCGGTTGCGAGAACGAGATGCCGTGTACATGGCCTCTGAGAATCACTAGTGCCTTCAAGTATTGTCAGTCTATTCAAGAAGCGTCTGCTGGAGTCGGAGCCTGCCCTAAGCGGCCGTCGCTTCCGATTACCCTGAGGCTCACAAAGCCGCTCGATGTGGACCCCCAGCTTGCCGCTGTTTTTCCAAACCTCAGATCGAGACTCGAGGTGAATCGGACTCAGGGCCGCTTTGGATATGCTCAGGAACCGAAGCGTAGCCATGTAGACGCCAGCAAGAACTTTTCTCACATTGCAACCCATAGCACATTGTCGTCCAAGAGATCAATGGCAAGGAGCAGCGGCGTCATGCCGGCACAGGGAGCGTCAGATTCGGTACAGGAGTGGCTTCGTCTGCGAGCATTGGCAAGGTAGGATCTGCCGTATGGTGTGATTGAGACGTGACGATTGAAGCCTTGAAGCCTGACACTACTGCGATTGCGACAGATACTTTGCTCCCAACAACATCACTGCCGACGTCGTCAATGCCGAGCATGGCGAACCCGCCCCGCCGTCGCTGGCCCAGAGTGCGCTCTTGACGGCCGTCACGCAGAATGGCGCCCTGCGCATGAACTGCGACCGCGCCTTCGTCTCGCTCATCGACTCGTCAACGCAATACATCCTCGCCGAAGCCACGAGGTCCATCTCCATACGCGACTCGACCAGCTTCGCCAACCCTCAAGATGCCCTCTTTCTTGGTGTGCAGAGTCTGAACAAGGAGTACGGTATCTGTCCACAGTCCGTCGCCATCTTCACGGACCGCACCGGTCACCGAGCTATCAATACCCCTGGTCTTGTCGCCAATACCACTCGCTACGTAATCCGCGACCTGAGAGAGCTCGACCAATACAAACATTGCCCATATGTCGTCGGATTCCCCCATATGGTGTCCTATGCCGAGGTGCCCGTCAAGAGCGCTTCAGGCCATATTCTAGGAACGTACTGTGTCATGGACAACAAGGTTCGCGACGACTTCTTCAACGACTCGACCATCGACATCCTCAATGACATTGCAGCATGTATCACCGAACAGTTGGAGCTTCATGCAATCAGACACGAGTCGGGCCGGGGCGTACAAATGATGAGGGGCTTGTCAGAGTTCATCGAAAGCAGAAGGTCAAGAGCAGACCGTTCTGGCGCTGCATCTCGAAAGGCCTCTCTGGCCACTATCGCCGACTATTTCGACGACCCTCCACAAAAGCCGGACGCCGGATCATTGTCCACTTCGTTGGATTCCCAGAAGCAAAGTTTAGGCGACGCGTCGATGCAGGACTCGACTCCACCAACATCCCCGGAAGACCTCTTGTCCTTGCCCAGTCCTGGAGTTTGCGATCCGGCGCTGGACATGTCTCACAAGCCACTCTCAGGCTGCCGGACGATGAAAGACATTTATTCAGGAGCCGCCCATCTTATTCGCGCAGCCATCGATGTAGAAGGTTTAGTGTTCTTGCACAGGTCTGCCAACAACGTACTGCCAGGCCTCAAGCAGTCTTTGCCAGAGCCGGTATCAGCTGCAGGCTCTGGCCACAATGCGACATCGTCCCTCTGCGAGGTCCTTGGAAGCTCGGTCGTACCTGGCGGCAACAATCTTGGCACCTTGCAGTTTCCTCTGGTCATCAACGATGTCTCGCTTGATTATCTCATCCGCAACTTCCCTCGTGGTTGCGTCTTCGTGTCAGACACCCAGGGTGATCCTGTGTTTGAGAAAGAAGGTGCTTTCATCGTTCAGACATATTCTCCGCAGACGTCGTCTGCCGTCAAGGTATCTGGCGAGCTACAATCACTGATTCGCAAAGCACGGTCCTTGGTCTTTCTTCCATTGTGGGATTCCATGCAGGAGAGTTTCATCGTAGGTATGCTTGGCTGGACCAGCGATCCCACACGAGTGCTCGCTGAGCAGGACATGACATGTCTCTCTGCCTTTGGCAATACTTTCATGACTGAAATTGCAAGAACCGAGATGACCGAGTTAGCACGCGCCAAATCCGATTTCCTTTCGTCCATCAGTCACGAGCTCCGATCGCCTCTTCACGGAATCCACGCCGCTGTCGATCTCCTACAAGACCCGGAACACGACTCCAAGTCTGACTTGATCGAAATGATTGCAAGCTGTAGCTCTACTTTGCTGGATACCTTGAATCACGTCCTGGATTTTTCGCGAGTCAACAAGTTGACTGATGTCAAAGTCGAGCCACAGAACCCCGCTCGCGTCGAAAACCAAGAGATGAGTCAGAACGCTTTCGGAGAGACCACTCAAGAGTACCTGTGCGATCTTGTCCTGTCTGTGGTTGAGGGACTACATTTCGGCCAGGCCTCGCGCAAAGCCACTTATGAAAAGCTACAAAGCACCATCATCGACCAAGTTGCCAAACCCAATCTCTCACCAGACGCAGGACGACGCGATTCTGCTGGCCAGAAGACGCATCTTCCGCAAGGTTCAAATGCCGTTGCCGTCTATGTCGACATCGAGAGCCGTTCAGATTGGTGCATGATGGTGTGTGCAGGCGCTTGGAAAAGACTGGTCATGAATCTTTTCGCCAATGCAATGAAGTATACTGATCAAGGCTTTGTCGAGGTGTCCTTGAGAATAATATCCGACCCCAAGAGTCCTGCAAAGCGATGCGCTCATCTCCTGGTCAGCGATACTGGTATTGGCATGAGTCCTGACTTCTTGAAGCGAAGTCTTTACCAGCCCTTCGTTCAGGAGAACCCGATCGCGGATGGCACTGGACTCGGACTCAGTATCGTGAAGAAGATTGTAGAGGATCTCCAGGGCACGATCGAGGTGCAGAGCACACAAGGCGTTGGAACACGCTTTGATGTCTTTGTACCCATTCCGGCACCGGATTCGTCTATACCAGACGCACCACTGCCTTTCGGTGGGCAGAGATTAGATCCAGAGTCAGTGCTTAAGGACCGGACCGTCTGCTTGTTATCGCCACCGGGAATACACGGTGTTGATAATGTCTCAGCTTCCAATGCGGAGCTGCAACTCCGACGTACGACAACAATGCAGTCGTGCGTACGGTCAATCACGCAATCATGGTTTGGTATGAAGGTCGTCACTAGCGACAACTTGGAGCTCGTTGATACGGACATTGTCATTGCCGAACAGACGCATCTTTCTAATCTGATTTTTGCCAAACCTGAGCTCCTGTGCAAGCTCAGCCAGCAACGCATTGTCTTGGTAGATGCTCTGCCAGCCCACTATCCTAGCAAGAGTGAACTTCCTGGCGCTACGGTAAACCTGGCGTACCCACTCAGCCCCAAGACGCTCGTGCGTGCCCTCACTGCCAGCCTGAAAACTTCCCTCGAGCCACAGACTTTGTCGTCAAGGGATACGCTTCCCTTAGGAATTCCACCACCGTCTGTTAGAGAACCTGTTGCAGAGAGACTGGATGTTCACCAGCCTCAAGAAGTTGCCGAGCAGACAAAACAAGACAACAGACCTTCTGGCCGAGTAGACACCGCAGTCCAACAAGACCAACAACATTTCCTCCTCGTCGATGACAATGCAATAAATCTGCGCCTTCTCGCAACTTTCATGAAGAAACTCGGCCACACCTCCGAAACCGCCGTCAACGGCCTAGAAGCCTTTGAAAAGTTCAAAGCTTCGTCTTGGCGATTCACGACCGTTCTCATGGATATCAGTATGCCTGTGATGAATGGATATGAGTCCAGTCGGGCTATAAGGCGTCATGAGATGAGTTTGGAGGACAAGGGTGAGAAGGTTACACCAGCGAGGATTATTGCATTGACTGGGCTGGGCTCTGAAGCCAGCAAGCAAGAGGCAAAGATGAGTGGGATTGATGAGTTTTATACCAAGCCCGTCAAATTTGATGCGTTGAGGGAGGTTTTGGAGAGGAAGTAGGGAGATTGGGGTTTAATGAAGTCCATGACTGACAGTCACGTTGATCAAGATTGCTCCGTATACCAGCGAGTTGCAAAATATCAAGAACTATCTTCGGTGCTATCCAAAAACATCAGATATCAAGGTGCCTAGTCAGTGACATCCAACACCGCCTCCGTGACAATCCATTCATTCTTCACTTGCATCTCCCAAGCAAAATCACCAACGTGAGATCCTGCATCCCCCTTTTCCACCAGCACTTGATCTTTTGTCGCGAACGCCCATTTGCATTGTTCCAAAGAGTCCATATTCAAACCGACCGAGTAACTGCAACCAGCTTCCAAACCATCCACACCAGTTGCTCTGGTGGATCTGCGGATGCGTCGTTCGTTGCCGTCCGCATCGAGTTCCCAGCCCCTTTGTATCATATGCTTCGGCAGCGGCTTCATCGTTGCATTGCGTCCAAAAGGCCTGGAAAGCGTTACAGGGACGCCAGGAAGCAAAGTCAGGAATAGGACTTCGTCGTAGGAACCTCGCACGCGTGTCAGGGCGGGTCTTTGGATTAAAAGCTTGGTGGTTGGGACGGGGGTGGAGGTTTTGGTGTTGTGGATTGAGAGGGAGGTGTTTGTGAGGCAGTGAGGGAGGTGGAAGGGCGTGTTCCAGGTGAAGAGGGTGATGGGGGCTGAGGCGTGGGAGAGGAGGGTGAGATCTAAGGTTGGAGGGAGGGGAGAGGAGAAACTGTGGGTGCTGGGAGTGATGGAGAAGGTGATGTCTATACGCGGAGGAGAGTTTGTCATTGTTGTCTTTGTTTCTCTGGATGTTTCTGATGCCGCTTTCGAGATTGCTCTCGGGCAGAAGATGAAATGTTGCGGGATTTACGAAACGTTGGTGGTGGATCAGATGCTGGAACGCTAATGAGGAGGAGACTTGTCGGGACCTTCTTGCTTCCCTTGGACATACGTATTCGCGAGGGATTGGAGTGCTAGAGAGAGGAAAAAAAGCGAATGGTCGTTGTGTTCATGTTCTGCCACGGGTGACGATGCTGTTGGCAGGGGATGAGGTGACTGCGGCCAAAACTTTTGGCCACCCCGCTGGAAGTGACGGCTGGCTCGCTCCTTTGTTTCTGCCATGACTCGTCAGTCTCTATCCATTGACATCCTGTCATCCGCAAATGCTCGCTTTGCGCATTCTACTTTCTGCGACCATTGTTCGCTCGTGATTCTCTTGTGAAGCGAGTGAATGTTTTTGACAATCTCCAACAGCAGGCATGGCTGAAAAGCCGTCGTTGGCTTACGCTGATGCGCCCGGCGGCAAGAATGGCCAGGAGCTAGCCATCAACAACACCCTGATCAACCGCTTGTTCACGAGGATAGCGCTGAAGACTTGGGGCAAGCTACACAAGCGGCGTGGTGTGTGTACGCCTATCTCGAGAAGGATGATTGTCAAATCTTCACCCTGGGTCGACCTGACAGAAGCGGCGACCATGAAATATGTCTCCGAAAACACGTCTATTCCGGTCCCGAAAGTCTATTGCTCTTTCGTCCACAAGGGCTGTACATATATCCTCATGGAACGCAAGAGAGGAAAATCCATCGGCAATGTCTTGCAGAGCCTCGGAGATGATGGCCAACAGAAAGTCTTTGCACAACTCAAGCGCATGATGGATGAACTGAGATCACTTCCTCCAGCAGCCGGCACTGGCGTCCAGAGCTGTACTGGAGGTAGTCTCTGGGATTCGCGTATATCCAGGATCACCACTCGCTTCGGGCCCTTTGCAACCATCCAAGAATTTCACTTCTGGCTTCGAGCCGGCTTCCGCTTCGAGGACCACGTGCACAAAGCGAGATTCGACGAAAGATTCCGAGGTCAAGACGGCAAAGACTTGGCGGATATGGAGGCTATGCAAGATGGACCATGGCCACCTCCTGTCTTCACGCATGGAGACCTAAATCCCAGTAACATATTGGTACACGGGGAGGAAGTCGTGGCGATCATCGACTGGGAGTTTTCAGGATGGTATCCGCATTATTGGGAGTACACCGCTGCTTGGTTGACCGCCGTCGTCTTTCAGGACTGGCGAAAGGAACTGCCTCGTTTCTTGACAACATTCCCAACAGAACTGGCTATGGAAACTACACGAGAGAGATGGTGGGGCCCAAATTGATCAATTGACACCTCTTCCTTGTAGACTTATAACCTCTTTCTAATTGCAACATCAACAAATTCATCATGTATTACAGATCCGCGAGGTTGATCCACCCTAAGCTACCATCTCTTTGTTCTCGAGCAAGTCCCACGAGGGTCTCGGACCATCGAGAAGCTCAAGATGCATATATCGACCAGCAGCAGTCTTTGCACCCACATAACTCCTACCGACCTCTTGAATCTTTGTCCAGTCCAATTCCGATGTGCCAACTGCCTTGCCATCCTTCGCTATAGCCTCAAGAGCACTGGCCATCCAGCTTGTACACCTCCAGTTGGGATCGTCTTGAACGACAGGCACACGTTCGAGAATCATGTTCAGCCGGTCAAGATCTTCCACCTTCGCAATAAGGATTCGTCCGAGCAAGTTGACCGTTGATCGAACGTCTTCTATGGACTTCTTTTCGTACTTCCAGCCCTCGAAAGGAGGATTGGTGGCATGGTGGCGCATGCCAGGCACGGTCTTTGAAGATTCGTTCTTGGGACCGACGAGCAGAGCCCAGTGGTATCTGCACCGCACATGTGATCTTCATGGTCCTGGGTCAAGAGTCGGATGTATCATTCCTTCTCATCTCTTACCTGATCTCGTCGCCACGGGTCGCACCGCTGGGGTAGAGTGCAGCGTACAGACGTGGCTTTCCTGAAGGCATTGATCTTTGGAGAAGTTGGACGGATAACGACTGTGATGGCCGTGACTGCAATATGTAGGGCCTTTTGCTCCGTAGCCTGGCGTCTCGCGAGACGCTGACGCTCGTCAGACGCAGATCGATCAAGCGCTCGGGTCTTCAATTGGTTCAGGCAAAAAGCCGCAGCCTTGTACGTACCAATGGAAGCAGAACGATCTATCGCTTCCTCTCTCTGCAATTCAACGACCAGCTCTCCGTAGTGTCGTGTTGGCCGACGTACGAGATACCGACCATTCTGGGTGCCTCATGCAGGCAGCCGCTACAGAACGCACATCTTGACGCCAATGAATGCGGCTATATAAGCGCCTGAATACTTCTCGACATTGCAATGTGCATATGAGCAGCTAAGACACCTACAATCCGACCAATCGAAGCAGAGCGACAAGATGACATTGCTGATTTCATCAGTCAGATAAATCGGTCTCGAGAGATCTGTCTATGCTACCCTTGCTTGTAGAGGAAGATGCTTGTGCAATGCAGACTCCATTCTGATCGATAGATGTTTGACCTTAGTCTTGATCTGTCTTGTCAACGGTACGGTTAGGTTCATATTACGGTCAAGGCATCTCACTCTGGGACCCACTACTTCCCAGAGGTGACTTACTTGGGACCGGAGGCATTATATGGATATCTTGACATTTTTTGTTTTGTCCATGCTAGATTCTCCAGATGCTACCATTATGTGACTTGCTCCTCTGGATGTTGACAGAAATCCGAGATACTTCTATCATATGCAACCTCAATTTACTTGGTTTGCATAGCAGGAAAGTGTTTTGACGGGTGGAGGGAAAAGGATCTACTGCACGCTTATCCCTTTCTTTTCCAGCCTCGGACCGGAGACACACACTCCTCCCTCATGACAAGGCCTCAAGGGACTCGAGAATGGGTCTGGGACGTTGAGATTACCACTCATTCACCTTGTCGATCGGCTGCAACCGACTTGCAGCGGGCCACCCAGATGTATCGAGGAAACGAGCGGATAATGATTCCCGAGGGCGAATTGAAAGTATACAATAGCAGTGATCACTCTTTTTTCAGTCCAATCTTGCCGATTCCACGCAACCCTATCGCTCCGACAAAACAGTACAGCACCGCGAGACCGAGGAGTGACCAAAATGCAGCACGATAGCCTTCCAGTAATGCGTGAGTACGATGCTCATCAGAGTGAGATGAAGCATCAGATACGCTGGTTGAAATGACAGCCATCACGGCCAAGCCTACAGAACTTCCGAATTGGAAGGCGGTATTGAGGATCGATCCTGCCAGTGATTGGTCTGAGGCCGAAAAGCTATCCGTGATGATCAAGGCACCAGCAATAAATAGAACTGACAACAAGTTAGCGCTGTGCAGTTCGTGGTCACCTCAGAGAAGTGTGAACTCACCGTCGCCAGCAAACGGCAGCAAGAGCATGCCCCAGAACGCCATGTACCAGTATGACCACGCCGGATCCATCAGAGCCATCAGCAGAGGCGCGACGCACGAGATCAATAACATGGCCGTGACGTAGCGATACGCGTCCCATTTATGCAGAACGGCATCTGTCCCGAAACTGATCATGATACCAATGATGACGTTGGGAAGAAACCGGAGTGAAGCTTGCAGTGCGGATAGCAGCTGCACCTCCTGGAAGCTTTGGTTGCATTAGCACAAAGCCATCGATGACTGCTTGGAATATCTTACAAGAGACTGAAGAAATACTCTCCACAGTTGATTACAGCAGAGACGAGGAAAAGCATAACACAGGTGGATGCAAAGGGTATGCTTTGCCAGACGGAATTTGGTATGAGTGCCTTCTTGTTGAGCTTCGTTCTTCGCGCCATCCACACCGGAAAGGCTGGTATGAGCAAGGCAGCAATAACGAGAAGAATAATGTTCTGAACTTCGCCGATGTGTGATCTTTTGCTCGCAGTGACGCTAAAAACCCGGGTCAGTTCTCTACACAAAGAGTCTCCGTGTCAGTTCAACCTACGCTAGAACATATGAGAGTAATCCCAGGCAGGCACTGGCGATAAGTGCTCCAATCCAGTCGATTCCTAAAGCAAGACGCCGCCAGGTGTCAAGAGGCATCTGCTTGCGAAGTCCAGGTACAGCTTGATAAACGATACCGAACACAACCATACTCAGTATCGAAGCGATGTACCAGCCCCAGCGCCAGCCGATCGAGTCGACCAGCACACCTCCAAGGAAGAGTCCCGCCGAGTAACCCAGAGGTTGCGATGCGCCAAGGATGGCCAGCCCTCGTGTCTGTTGACGACCTTGTGGAAATATCTCGGTGAGAATGCTGATCGCGGTAGGAAGACAACAGCTCGCTGCAACGCCCTGGAAGCCACGAAAGATGATCAGTTCGGTGCCGCTTCTTGCAAGTCCACAAGCGAGAAAACTCAGGCTCAGAAAGACACAACCGAAGAGGTAGACTGGGCCAGCTCCGATGACATCGGCGACGGAGCCGATGGAAATGAGCGAGCAACCACAAGTGAGTCCGAAGATACTGGCAGGCCACAGAATCAAGGCGTCAGGTAGTCCGAGGTTGGCGGCGATCTTGGGTAGTCCGGTAGCCAGTAAGCCTGTAGAGAGACTGCTGATGAACACCATGCCAGAGACGGCAACGGAGACAAATGCTGCACGAAAAGTAGAAAGCTCTTGAACACGAACCTCCAGGCCATTCGAGCCCCTCGTGAGAATAGAGTCCATCTCTATCGCGACCTGATCTCGAGATCCCTCCTGATTTGACGCTGTTTGAGGCTGCATCATTGCGACAAGAAATGGAAATACAACAGAAGCGAAACCAGCTGCAGAACTGCAGACCGCGATCACAAAAAGCGCTGGTGGCTTGTTAAGGGAACTTGTCAATGGAAGGGCGTGCGGACGTTGTGGAGCTGAGAGCAGGAAGCCTTGGCGCAAGGTTGCCACTTCCATGTTGCCAATCAGATAGCTAGCTAGTTACCATCAATCCACAACATCAATACCATCAACCTTATCAGCAGTTACCATCAGTGCTTGTCTTGTTGAGTTCCTCGTTGCCACCTTGTTCCATCGTTGCGTGTTTCCGTCTTTCAACGTTGCTGTCTAGATCCCCGGACTCGTTCACCCACCGAACCTTATTATACTCGTAAATCCAACCAATCAATTGACAGCGATTGGGAACTTTCAGAATGATGGAATTGACCAGACTAGATCTGAATATCCAAATGAGATTATCAGCTAAACTTGGACACAGGCCTGTTCACCTGGATATTCACACAATCTGCAGCCAGATGTCAAGCATGACTCGAATAGATAAAGATGAAATGCACCTTTTATGCACGCTCTATAGTTGATGTATTACTGATCCTAACACAAACATTTCAGTTGATTATCCATGAATCACTGAGATGGACTCATGAGTTCGGAAGGAGCTTGACAGACGGGATAACAAATGTTCCATCTTTGGAACATCTCAACGTCCCAGGTGCATCGAGCCAGAACGTTCGATCTGACGATAGCAACACTACAAATCGCTTTCTACTTGTCTGCGATCCGCCGACGGAGCCCCATGTGATGTGTCCTTTGCTTTCTGCAGCTCTCGACCTGACTATTGCACTCGTAGATCTCTTCGGACTGTGCAGCATCTTTGGTGCTTGGAAACCTGAAATGCAGCTCCTCTACAGCCTTCAGTTTCTCTCCGCAGTACATACATGGTTTCTGTCTTCCTTTATTGTCGCGACGTGTCTTTTGACATGACAGACCAGTATTGCAAGGAGGGCGGTTGTTGTATAATCTGCTCAACTCGAAATCCACCAACATAAAACGTTGTGCGTTCGCATCATAAAGATAATTCCGACGTACAGTGTCACCGTGTACAACTTGCAGTTCGTGCATACCGCGCAGTAATGACAGAAGTTGTGGCTCGACCATCGCGTCTACCGCTATCAAGTCTTCGTGGTCGATATCTGTGTCCTCGAGAGCTTCGCCTGCCCAAGAAAGGAGCAGAAGATAGTGAATCTCATCGACTGCAGGCTGATTTATCGATTTGTCGAGATAAATGGTACCGCAATAGACTGGAATGCTTGTGCCCTGGTATCTTTGCAATCGGTCGTATACAGATTCCTCTCTGAGCAGCCATTGCAGGTCTGTTTTTCGAAACCCTTTGGCCACAAGACGATGACCGGTTTTATGCAGATGAACCTTGTACAAGATACCAAGTCGGCCAGATTTTCCAAGTGGTGTCAAGCCAGTGTCGTTCGGTCGGGAAGATCTCAGTTGATCCTCGAGGAGATTGACCAAGGAATCTGACGCCAGAGTATGGCCATCGTGAGCGGCGCTATTGGGGCATATGCTAGCGTGCGAACATTCTGGATGTGACGCCTGGAGAAGACAATCGTGGCTACAGTATGGAGTTGCATCGACGTCTTGCGCCACTTCGCCGACAGAGCATCCAGCAGGATCTGTCATACTGTTCATGGGGAGATGTCCCGAAACGGTATGTTAGGTAGAGAACCTGTGAAAGGTTCCTTGAAGTGCAAGCATGAGATGTCAGGATTATACTTCTCCCGATATTCAACGCTTCGGATCAGCCCGTCGCAATGGTTGGAACTGGAACGAGTCCGTGATCTCGTATTTTGGGCCAATGAAATGTGACCGTAGTACTGTAACGTCTAGTCATCGGATCTGATGATCGTCTCAACCTACTTGATCGTATATGGTAGACTGCTCCTTCCTTCTGTCGCACTTTTGAGCAAAGTTCAACTTGACTCATCCCAACACCCGATCCTGGCAGCATGGACGTGCGACCTCTCGAAGGTAGTGCGCGAGTATCCAAGTGGCCTGTCGTTGTCACCACAACCGTAGAAGAAGAGGTTCGGAAATCTAAGTTTACGCGTCGATACTTGGCTGCACTCACTGATATCGTGGTTGAACTTCAGATACTACTCGAGTCACTCAGAGATCCCGCATTGGTCCTGGTTGGCAAGACGGACTTGTCCCTGTTAATCACCGATGTCAAGAGCACTGCCATCAAAACCTTCCAATCTCCGTTTGTCTTTGATGATTTCATGGAGTCCTGCGAAGCTCTGGAGACCTTCATGAGCGCACGTGTCTCGTCAAAAGATCTATCACAAGAGTTTTTCGTCATTCTAGACGAGTATACGAAGGGAAAAAAGCCAACGTGCCAGATTGCTATCGATGGTAGGGGTATTGAAGATATCAACGAGATGCAGTTCTCCTTCCGATGCGACCTTTCATCTGTTCACGAAGCCCTCAATGCAGTCGAGTCAGTTCCGACAGATCTTTCGCTTGCAATCCGCCTTCGAAGGAATGAGGCCGTGATGGTTGGTGGTGTCTGGAGCTCTGGAGCAGTCACACGCCTCGAAGCAATGCCAAACCACCTGGGGACTGAACAACCCAAAGGCCTCAAGCAGCGGGACGATGTTGGTAGCTCCATTGGTACCGATCGAGATGCTCCTTACTGCCCTATCTTTTTGACGGCGACGATAAGTTTCAAGGTGAGTTATGCTATGCACTTGCGCGACCGCGCTTCACAACCATAAATTGACCTGCGTGCGATATGGGCAGACACTGAAAGATTTCGTCCGTCAGGCATATGATCAGGACTGGGGAACAGACGAGGACTGCACAGTTGGACCGGCAATGGCTTTTGTCACGTCAATAGACAAGCCACCGTTTTGCTCGGGCAAGGCAAGTCAACTGATGGAAGTCATGCCCGAGACAGCTTCGAGTGTCATTGGCATGACGGCCGGAGAATGCAATGCTGTCGCCAGTGGAAAGTTTGCGACCATTGAGTCGAACTTAGATCACAACATGTTTATTGTTCTGGATGAATACACGGAGAAAGACCGGACGGTGATTGTGGCTACCAATGCTGAGCAAGATGGGCAGTTGTTACTAATGAGATGCTCTTTTGAGTCAGCTCTGTTGAGTCTGGTTGCGATCTCAGACACCTGCTTGACAATTGATAGTCAGTGCAACAACGCGAATACAGATGGCGATGGCGTCGTGCGCACATAGTCTCCATATAGCGTTGGGCGATGTTGGATGTCTCAATGCAGCCGCTAAAATGGGTCGAGTCGAGGAAATGGACAAGACAGTCTAGGATGGATGTAGCAACATAATCGCTAGCTCCACGACAATCTAGAAGTTGACCTGAGACCTCAGGCGTGACACAATACCATCTCGGGTGTTCATATCCCTGACCGAACAGCGGAACAGCAGTGGCAAGGGAATTCTCAGTGATTTGCTTCATCTTTTGACATTCCTGGCCACGAGTCTAGGACTTCCAAGATGATAACCATCGCCACCAGAGTCCTGCTTGTTACAGATAGTGTAGAATGAAACCTCCTCTTTCTTGTAAGTTTGAAGATCAGAGGGTGGCGTTGACGGCATTATGACTGCTTCCAACAACCTAGCGGTCGCGGGAATCTCATGTGCCTGATACGATTCGGCATCGCCACTGTAGCCAGTCTGAAGTTTAGCGTCTTGCTCTTCGATCTCCACGACGGTGCGCAAGTAGGTGGCAAGGTATGCTGTATCGAAGACACCTTGCAGATTTATCTGTTCCAATATGGAGATACCTCGATGGCGGACGGACGAAGTTCGACAGTGGCGTACAATAAGAATCAGACAAAACACCACGTTCGAGCCAGTCGAGAAGGCAGGAGGGGTGCTTCTTGGTGTGGAAGGGGTAGACTGATCGTTTTTGGTGGGGGCCGAAGTCCGAGCTAGATGTTCTTCGATGTACTGTACACACAAATTTAATGCATGCTCAAATTGTAGTCTGAATTGGTCAATTAGCATCGCGTCTGGGTCTCGCCATGTCTCAAACCAAAACTTGAGGCATGAAAAGGTGATTCCGGCGGAGATCTGTGCCAAAGAGCTCCGCTTTTTATCATGAATTTTGGAGAATGCGATCGACCATGACAAAAGACTTTCGCGGACTGCTTTGAGACCTCCAGTCGTTGCACCGTCTACTGATACTGTGCGCATCCTTGCGCGCACAAGACAGTCGATCTCATCTTTATTACGGAGTCTGAGGTCTGTATCTGCTTGTAGAGTCTTGTGAGCTTGCTTCTGTATGTTACGAAAGACCGAGATGGCTTCGGCTTCGAGAAACTCGAGACGAAGTCTCGCATCGTCCAGATTGGTCAGTTCTGCAGGTATTGGATCCAAGCAGACGGGATAGAGGTACCTATGTCGGTCAGAGATTCAATACTCCTGGGCCAGTCTCGTCACACACTTACGGATTGTCGTGTCCGACCAGTACGTAGTCCGAGTTTAGACGCATGAAAATTTGCATGAAGATGTCGAATTGATCTTGGCATCGCAGCTTAACGGCCACTGCACGCTCCGTGTAAGATGTACAGGGTATGTTGGTGACGTGACGTCGAGCTTCGATCAGCCGTAGGCCAGCTCGCACATGAATTGAAGCACGCGTGTCTTGCGCAGCAAACGCTTCAAAGGCAAAGAAGAGCAAACAAGCCACAAGCACAATCGTTACATCGTCGTCTGTCGCCGAATGATCCAAAGTGTCAATGTAGGCACGCAACAATGACATAGACTTGGTATGTTCTCTGTGCGCAAGACGACCCAGCTCAAGATCTTGTCCATCGGTCGCAGACCGGTGTAATGATGATAATGCGACTACAGCACCTTTTATGCAAGGCTGCCGCGAAGCGAGCTCTAGCAGAATCGGTTCCCACGCTATTTGAAAAGTTGAGGCGCAGGGTAGCTCATGGATGGTCGCGTAGCGGAAGAAGTCCATGGCATTGCTTTCAGCATCACTCAACGCACAACTCTGGGGCAGCGGTCGCGGACAAATGATCCGCGGTGGTCTATCCGACGATGGACGAGGTCTATAACCAAGGCAATAGCGACCACTGGATAAGCAGCGATGACAAGCAGGTTGTGACTCGTCGCATTTCACGTGTCGCTGACTAGGGCGCTTTGTTAGTACAGTACCGTACTGCTTTGTGACAGCAGGTTGGATTGCCTCACCGACAAGTATAACAGCCTCCATGGCTTTTTCTATGGGCGACTCGATGACGAAATCTGGCCAGAATCATATCTGCACACATGTCGCTTCCATGAATTTGTTTGGACGGGAAGAAACATCGGAAGGAACATTTAATAACGATTACATGACTCTACAAGAATGCCATGATTCTGGGTTGCAAAGAATTCAAAGCAAGACAGAGATTGTTTCAACTAGTCCGGATTGGACAGGACCGCGTGGCAGCAAGGGACCTCAATCTCTGATTGGTCAAAAATACGAAGTTCGGGCTTCTAGGCTAGAGATAATAACGTTTCTGAAAGCATGGAAGGTCTAGATACGAGACCCCGTGCCTTGGGACCCGATTTTGGTACAGATCGACATGGCTTCTATACCAAGATAAATGTCAAAGCATACGACATCTCATTGGGAAGTGAAGTCGATAGCATCGAGGTTTTTGAGAGCAATTGCTAATGATGCTTACGGCCGATCTCCTTAATTTTTTCAACCTAAATCTAGTCAATCATTCTACGTCTAAGTTTTCGTAGAGCGTGACAACTAAAGTATATCTAACATGAGCCACATGTATACAAAAAGCATTGGTATCGCGGGACTGAAACTCACGCTCACGCCGAAGAAGGACTGTAGAGTACGCTTGTGCTCACTCACGACCATACGTATCCTTGACTGAGGTTTACCAGCTCGTTGCCTAAACACTAAGGATATCTATAAGTTTCTCACGATATACAGTCCTTTTCCTCAGAATTGAAATCTTTTTTGATTCAAGAATGGAAGGTAGACAAGAGATTGACAGAGTCTTGTGTCTGCAATCTGATGGAATACAGCAGGTTATCTGCCGCCGTTACAAAGCTTCTGCCCAGCATCTCTGACCATCTGACAGTTACTGATTGTTATTGAAGTATGTCTGCCCGCATGCGCCATTAGAAGCCACAAGAGTAAAAGCTAAGTTGGTAACAAGCACAGCATCTTGCTCGCTTGCAGTATCCGCTGTGCAAGTTCCCGAGTTGTTGACAATAAAGCATGCACCCTGTGAGTATATGCTATCTACTTCATAGAAACTGGCACCGCAGGAAGCAGTCTGTTGACACAACACACAGCAGTCATATGCGCTGGCAGTGTTACCTGCCTGGCTATAGCCATATGTCTCGGGCCCGAAGTTGGAAATCGTAACGCCGTTGACTTGAGACACGAGATTGTTGTTGGCGCATGCGGCATAGAATGTTGAGACCGGCGCAAAAGCCGTGGATGTGGTCGTCTGGGTGGTCAAGATTGCTGCAGTGATAGTGTTGGTGAGTGTCAGGGTTGTAGCGGTCGATGAAGTTAGTGTGGTTGATGCTTCGATCGGAATGATCGAGGTTGTTGTTGTGAGCGTGGTAGTGGATGTCTGTTCATAAGTTAGCGACGGTTTGATATGTGGTGCATGGCGATGCATACAACTGTCACTGTTCCCGCAGGTAGCGTTATCGTAGGTGTAGTCCGGGCTGTCGCGATGATTGTCGAAGTGCTAAAAATCTCCACGTAACGATAACATTTCACAGCCACAGGGTAGATCGATGAAGCTTTGGGAGCATCGGGACGCATGCCTGAACGTGATGCTGAGCGTGCCTCGATGAGCGCATCATCTCCATTGCTGTGCCTCAAACTCCTGCGTTTCTTGCTAGCAGCATAGCCACTCGCAGACAGTGCGGAAGCGAGTGGAGTGAATCCGGAAGAAGTAGAGATCGTCGAAACAGTGGTAACTGTGGTCGTAACAGTTTCGGAGATGATGTTAGTAGAAGTGAGTGTGTTTGTGATCGTCTCAAGGATTGTCCCAGTTGTAGTGATGGTGAAGGTGTCAGTCGTGCTCGGCAGGGTCGTTAAAGTTGTAGAAGTAGCCGTGCTGATTGTCGTAATGGTAGTGCTGGATGGGGTGACGGTCTGGGTGAGTGTAGTCGTCGATGTCACTCTTGGATGGAAGATGAATGTCGCTGAAACGGTTGAGGTTTGCACACGAGACGTGCTCTTGGTTGAGATTTTGGTCAAGCAGCCAACCTTGGATCTTGTGCTGACTGTGGCCGCGCAGGACTGAAAGCATGCGAAGAAAATCGCAGCAAGTAGTAAAATGTTGAACATGATGATTGTATTAGCTCAAGGAGTCTATTGAGTAAGTGCGAAGGGGAGACGTTGATCAACTTATAATCTTTCCATCGGCATGATTCTACGCTGGTGTGCAGTCAGGTACATTCCTATGTGGAAGCAACTTCAGCTGTGGACAATGCTGCAAGTATAAGGCGGCTCCATGGTTGGATCTCAGCTGTCGGCTCAGCTAAAGCATATCGTGTGTTGTGGCAGACTTACAAGACTTCCGACCAATGCTGTGCTTTTGACTGACTCGTGCATGCTGAATTCGGGCAAAGATGCGTGAGCAAACTCTTGATCGTTGAGACTGGCCGTATGTTGCTTGCTTAATCTTCATCCTTGATAACTCTTCTGTAAAGACAGAGCGGAATTATGTCGTTTTGGAAATCACCTTGGGAGTTGTCTTTGCCTCGAGAAAGGATTCCAGGATCAAAACTTCTTGATAGGGTTGACAGTGATTTTCCTGTTACCAGTAGAGTTGGCGATTCTGGTCATGCTTCTAGTGACTCTCTGTACAGGTGTGTTACCGGTGTTCATAGTCTTCTTCTTGCTCTCTTCCTTGGTCATATGGCGCGTGGCAGGAAGGCTCTTCTTGCTGGCTGCGGACGAGTTGTCGATTACGGCACTAGTAGATACTTTGACACCACTAGTAGACCAAGTGACCCTTAGTTTGCCCGACACGGTACCCTTGGCTGTGACCATGATTGTAGTGGTGTGCAGTTGAGCGTTAGGTGGACTCGCGTGGAAGAGGGAGTTTGGTTGTTGACAGTCAGTCGCTCGCAGTAGTGAAAGTCTGGATACTTTGGATAATCCGCCGCGAATGCTGGATCTTGGCGAAAAAGTAAGCGAAGACAAGGACATATGCCACCAGAATCTTCGACAACTTGTTCAAGACCTTCGCAGGCTGTATCTCTCTTCGCAAGGAGGACGATGGACCGGGACACCTCATGGTGCAACGAACGACTTGCCAGAGGACCAGACGCCAAAAATCGCATGGGTCGTATATACCTGCTGAATGGTACTGCGGTAGTCGGTGTTTTCGAGCTTCAATAGTTCTGCTGGACCAGAGGACGAGACACTGACATCTTCCATCTTTGAGAAGCGGAGCACATTTCTTAAGCGTGTTATGGTTGCTTGTACGGCGATTTTGTGCGACAGTGAGGTCGACATGTGCTTGACGCAGTTCCTCGCTGAGAAAACCCAATTCTAATAGAGCTTCTCTCGATTCTTCATCAGGCTGCTTCGCGGAAGGCAGCTTCGCATCAGGAAGATATGCTCCTGCTTGAGCGTATGCTGCCTTGTCCTCTCGTCCTGGGTTCTTCTGATGGGCTACAACCAAAGGCGTGTCACCAGAAAACTTGGTCCATTGCGAAAGCCAATGCTTTACCAAGTGTGGCTGTGGGGCAACTCCGTAGGGCCCTGGCCGAATATAGGGCGCAGTGAAGGTGCGGATGCGTTGTTCGTCAGCTGCCATTTGCGGGAAGCCCGGTGGAACAGAACCCATGTCATTTTGAATCGCCGCCTCTCGCTCAGCTCGGAGTCTCGTGCGAACTTGCTGGATCGATTCGTCTGGGTCTTACGGCAGACGGCCAGGTTTGAACAGTGTCTATAAGAGTCAGCTAGATGTTGATGCTTTATAGATGCATGAACCTACCTCCATGTCTTGCATTCTGACGTGGTGGTCGAGAGATGTTGCAGTGTTCGAGATATGGCGCGTGGGTTGAGCCGGAGATCTGCTTCTAGGATGTGCGCAAGTGTTTGATGCTCTTCCTGGAAAACTTGATCGTGCAGCAAGAAGCTATGTGCGTGAGCACTAATAGTCAATGCCGAGGATTGTAACAAGCTGTAAGTACGACCAAGTGTGAGCATGAATGGCTCGCCGGAACTGTTGACAGCGTTCCAAGGCCGGAGGCGCGCAATGCTAATATATAGCTTCTCGAGCGGAACTACCATATGTCTTGGAAGATAGCCACATTGACATCCTGCAAACAGTGCAGTAATATAAACAGTCCACAACTCGACCTTGCTGGTCTTGGGCTTGGGGATAATACCCTTACATTGATATTACTCGTTCCAAACACGAGACCATATCCAGACAACGTCTTTCTTCGAGTCTCTAGCTACCATTTTTCCATTGAACTCTCGGTCCTGGATCTTACAAAAGCGTGAGCTCTTGAGCTCGGACTCAAAGGTTGTAGCGACTTCTTCTGTCAGGGGTGCTTCAGATAGGAGCTTGTACTCTCCGTTTTGGATCCAAAGAGTCTCTCGCCAGCCGTCATCATGTTCTCTACAGTACGACTGGCTGCGGAGAGCCTGGACTTGGCATACCTTGATGATCGGGAGGTGGAGATGTCATAGCTGATTGTCGTTATATATGATGCAATTCAATGCCGGACATGTCGCTAGTTTGTGAGGAGATGGCAGTCGTCTATTGGTTTGTGGCCTTACGGATTCTGCCACTGATCTTTCTATAGCCTGCACAAGACGAGAGACTGCTATACGCAGTACTCGACGTGGTTGGTCATCATCTGCCATCTATGCTCAGCTGGCGAACGCACTACTTGAGCGAGGTTGCGAAACCAGAAAGAGGATCCAACACTAGCATTCCGATACTGGAGTAGAGTCGCATCCGCGTGTATATTCCATAAACTGCCATTCTCTGAGTCGGTGGCTCTGCTGTGGAGATACTTGTGGATAGTAGCAGCTGATCATATCAGTGCACGTGTAACGAGTCAGTGTACCAGAACCAGGGAGGCGAGAGTCTGGAGAAGCAGGATGAGGACTAGGAACTTAGAGGCATGCAGGACTTTCGGCGCTTGGAACTCGAGAGCGGCCCAGAAAGCAACACCAATTGCGGTCGCGATGATAGAAAGGCAGAGGCTAAGGGAAACGATGTGTCTGGCAGACATGGATTCGCGTGTGGTGGCGAGCATGACTTGGTACGGACCCATCTACGAAGGCCATTTGTATCTCAGTACCAATTCGATGCTGCTTAGAATGAGATCGTAGACAGTAATCAGGACAACCATATATAGACGCTTCAGCCTGCTGTTCCAGGCGTGTAATTTGGTTGATACACCATGTGTTTGTACGTTGGTGGGTCTCTGTGGGCTGACCAGCCCACATCGCAAGCAATATCTTTGGGAACTTCTTCTGCAGCAGCGGCTTATACACCTGCGATTGGATGATGACTCTTGCTATCACGCTCTTCCGTAGTAAGATATGGGGCGTTGTAGCAGTTAACTCTTCCCTGAGAAGTTCAAGTCTTGAGTAATTGTTCTGGAGGTCCTTGATGTTGGAGAAAGCAGCGGCTCATAGCTCCTATGACATAGTTGTGATGGTATTCCGTCGAGTCCTGGTGTCTGAACTTTGCTTCGTGCTCTTGGGAATGGAATTGACTTCGACGTAGAAGCCACTCGGCTTCCCTCCACCGCTGGAGCGCTGCTTGGTTGTTGGCTGCTTGGATGAGGACTGCTTGATCGGGGACTGTGTAGCAGGATGTGACGGTACAGCTTGGTGTGAACGCTCTCCTTGCCCTTCTTGGAATTACTTCTGCATGTATCGTTGATACTTCTGGCTGTGTACGGCTCTGCGCTGTCCAGCTACTCCATAACACCGGGAGCTTTCCTTGAGATGTCCGCAAAAGTCTTTCTTGCACTCAGGCTGTTGCTTACATACTCTGTCGGGCCAGCAATGTGACACTTTTTGTTTCTGGGTTGAGGAAGGAGTGTTCATGGCCAGCTGAGTTCTGACCACGCTCTGAGGGCTGGCGTCCGTAGAACATTCGAAATTCACACAGCGATATATGATGAATTGCTCAACAATCTGCATCAGACTGTGCATCGCAGATGGCGAAGTCGACCAGTAGTTCTCGTGCACTGGAAACAACGTCCTTCAGACAAGCCCTCATCTTGTGCATATCTTGACCATGGCACTGTGTGTCTCGTCTGGATTCAAGGCGCTGTTTCACCTTTGTAGTACGTCAAAGCGCCTCAGATCATGGCTTCATGAGTATGCTTGATGTTGGAGGTGATGGAGGGTGGCGAGGGCAAATCAGTCATACACCTTGGCGTTGCGCTGAACTTGGACACCATCTTAGTTGACGAAGGCGGAGTTAAGGCAGGTTGTAGTCTACTGCTCCCCACCACTCTTCGATGCTCTGGTGGTCGCTTGAGGTGACATTCGCCTTCTTCTGCATCATCAGAGACTCTTTGGTCTCAACGACATCGAGTCGCAAGACCGTCCTCGCAGCAATACCAGTACTTGACCTGAGCAGCAGCAAAAGATACTCAGCTACAGTTCCTTGATGGTCTGGTAAGAAGCAGCCTGAGCAAGGTCGTAGCGGGTGACCCTATATCGACGAAGCCACATACTCGAGGCACGTTCATCTCAAGTTCAGACACTAGGTCCTCACCGGGCTGCTCGGACCACTCGTCACTACAGACATCGGTAAGAACGTTCATCCAGTCATCGAGACGATGAATTGGTATGTAGCAGCCTTCTCTTCCTTGATTTCGATCTTTCGCTGCTCGGGGTCGACAAAGTAGATGCCTTTCATGACATCATAGAACATTCTCTTTCCGTCAAGCCAAACGTGGTGAGGGTGAGATGTGACAAGCATCTCACCGAAGGAGCGGAAATTAGCCATAGAGGCAGCTTGTACGGGGTCCTTGCCGGGGGCAATGGAGAATTGGTTGACTAGATGGAGTAGAACGTGCGGTGGTTGGTGTATAGGGTTGCGCGAAGAAGAATGCGAAGAAAGGGGGATGGTTTTGTTCGTGGAGTGAGTGACAAACCAGAATGAGCTGATTGAGGAGTGGTAAATCTTCCGTTAGGGTGTGAGTGGAACAGGAGCTTGACTCTGGAGAGGTTCCTGATGCTGCTAAAAAGGAGCCTCTTGGTGATTATCAGCGGGGAGTTGAACATGGTAGTGTTGCTGAGCTGGGTCAGGCTGCTGGACGAGTATCGAGAATAGTGTCGGACTGTGAGCGCTCAGGACTACACTCGAACAGAGCATCAATGGCGGCGTCGACTCTGGGGTGGTGATCGGCAAGGGGATCACGAATCCGAAAGGGAGACGCCGCCAGAGACAGTGGCTGGTGGGAAGGCGGGAACGATTGCAATTGTGTAACTTCCTTCTGAGAATCTTGTGAATATCGGCTCGATGCCGCAAATCTGGATAATCAAGCTTTTAGCTCAGAGGGCGACAGTCTCAGTATCGAGGCCATCGATGATGATCTTGGTACCATGTAGAGCGATTCCGAGTTCCTCGCTAAAAGCTTCCCATGCTTCCTCCGCTTCTTTCGGGACAACCCCGATGAATGCCTCTGATAGCCTCGAGAGCTGCTTGTTGAAAGCTATGTACTTGACACTAAAATCGAAAGCAATGTCGATAGTTGAGTGGATGCAGTCGCCACAGCAATTCGAGTGGGAGCCTGGGACCTGACTATCTGTAGCCTTGGTATGTATATATCTAGCCTATACAATGCTTGCGTATTGTTGGTGAGAGATAGTCAGGGACCTGAGGAACCCCTATAGAAGGATAGCTGTCCAACATCTCCATCCACGGGTTGGTATCCGGGAGCATAGGTTTTGACGTACTTGAAGCGGAACGAGGGAGGTATGACCGTCTCAAGAATCCCGTCGCCGACCTGGAGGACCAATGATTTTGAGGTGATGCTTTCCGAAGCGGAGCGCCTTGCACAAGTCTTTGAGGTAGCTTCACGCCATGCGCACCGCTCCTTGATGACATGAATGCTTGGCTTGGTTGTCATGTTAGAACGTGACGATGGATGTGTTCCAGTGATCTGATCAATGCGATCGCAGAATAGTCCGAAGGTTCCATCAATGCAACGGTGATGACCAAAGAGTACAAGCCAAGAAGGAAGGCTGATACCATATCACCTACCGCAGCGGACATTATGAGCCTCTGTGCAGCAATTGCAATGGGGTTCATGTCTGAAGAGAAGGTGATCTAATATCGGACACAATGCGTTGATCGGGCTTGTGATTCTGGCAAATCAAAATGAGGAGACGGCAGAGTGATTGGCTGTGCCGAAAGATCAGAACAGCAAATCGCCTCTGACTTGGAAGGTGACCATTTCATTGACCATGGTGAGCTTAAGATCGGTCGAGGGTGTCGTTCAGAGGGAGAGTGGAGTTGTTGGTGCCATCGGGACACGTTTCGCGAAGGGTGTAGGCCGGATCAAGCGACCAGGAGGCGTCTCTGTCGTTGTCGTCCTAGATGGTGATAGATTTGTTAGATCATGAATCAATTGACAAGGCTCTGTTGACTGTGGTTTGGTTCGTTGAGATGGTTGAGTCGTTGTTCGTGGCGCCGGTCATGGTTGAGGTTGGACCGGAAGAAGTGCTGGAGCCAGTGATGTGCAGCTTGGAGTCCACTATGACTACAATAGACTGGTTGGTAGTGGCGAGAGATCAGTCGTCCTCCATGGCCTTGCGCAGTTCTAGGTGTGGATCCATTTACTTGCTTGCAACATTCACTCGAGCTCAGCAGAGCGAGCCAGCAACCATTCACCCACCCACTTGACGGGGTCTTCGGGCTTTTTCTCGGTGGCAGCCAGTAACTTGACGGCCTCAATAGCCATAGTGGCAGCAGGTCCGATACGGGTGGAAGGACTCTAGTAGCAGTGGCGGTGATGGCGGTGCTGGAAAAGAACTTGCCGAGGGCCTGAATCGGCTTTTCGGGCTCGTGAACAGCCAGCTACTTCATACCATCGAGATGAGTAGGCGAGATATAGCGGTGGAGGTAACGGCGAGTCTCGGAGCCGTGTTTCTTGACGTCTTGAGGGACATCCGCCTCGTTGATACGAGTGGACACAGGATTTGGGGCTCTAACGAGGCCCTCGACAGCAACAGTGGTAGCATTGTCGAAAACGGCAGAAGTCTCGGGATCAGTGGCGAGAGAAAGGGCAAGTATCAACGCAGGCCCAATTTGCGGTCACGAGAAGGGTGAGAGATGCGAGCGCGGATAGATTGGCAAGCTCTCAACCACCAAACCGGCGCAGAGACGGCCATCCAGGGAATACAAATGGGCGACTGCAACAGCCAAGTTCTGCTACTTACTCATGTCTGGTAGGATTTGGAGGCTGCTCCCGTTACACATCCTTTTCTCGCCAGCTGGTTGATATCTTATATGAATTTCTGAAGCTAATTGACGACCGGACGTAGAGAACTGATGTACCAATGGACTTTTGGTTCATAGCTGCTGTCTTGACTGAACTGAGCCGACTGATGGAGGCCCATAAGCGAACGCGATGACTAGCCGCGTGGAAGAGTAGAGTGTAGAAGCTCGGCTGCCACATGTCCAATTCCAGAGGCTTGGAAAGTCTGCAGCAAGACTCTACATACAAGATTTTCCAATCAATGATGACCAAAATATGCTTTGGCTTGCTTGGGGGCGAGAAGCGGTGCAGCAAAGAGCATGCATACCATCTACTGCAAACATAACCTTGCGACTAGTACGAGCTCATTCCTTGGGATACGATGGACTTGACATAGCGAGTGGCCGATTGATGTATCCCTCGAGGATCATCTTACGATAGATGAGATGAGTCTGGTGGACGAAGATGGAGGTGACATTATCCCACCAGAAGGGAGCATTGGTAGCAGGTTGCTACCGAGATGACGCCCTGATACATTTACGACTTCGACGGGAGATTTGCAGGTGTTCACTGATCATCCAGAAGAGAAGGCTACCTCGATCACTACATTTTTGAGGGACATTCCAGCGACTTGGATGCTTTCCTAGCTGGTGTTACAAATGTAAACTCGTCAAAGTGGATCAGTGGTTGTCCTTCGGCCTCGAAGCGGTACTGAGATGCATCAAACTTGATATATAATGATGATTCAGACGTGTTGGTATAACTCACACAGGCACTTCTGATAACACGAGATCAGAGAGAGTGCCAGGTATAGATTCCGGCTCTGGGTCAAGAGCAACCTCAACACTCCTTGAAATTGGTGTAGCTCAGACTTTGAGGTGAAGATGAGATGAAACTTGGGCGCCATAGGAGTCTGGGAGCGCTTGTTTGGAGCCTGGGTCCTTGGTACTTCTGGCGAGCAAGCCAGACAGTCAGACTCCGCAGCGACTTTGATGCTATTTCGAGCTCAATGAGAAGCCAGAGAGCTTGTCCAGATGAACTGTATATATACATATATATGTATAACGCGTTGAACTCAGGTAGAGCATGGAAAGATTGGGACTCCAACGAATTGGAGCGAAGTGGTGCGAAGCATACAAGCCTCTTCCACACTGCGATTGTATGTATAAGGCTGCAGGCTAACAAAGCTTGCATACGTTTAAGGCGGACAGGAAATGACTCAATTTGGGTCGTGCTTGAGCATGGAGCTCTCTGTCTAAATAGATGGGATGCTCGATGGGACTGATGAGGTACTAGCTCATCGCAGAGGCCGACGATTTGCCACAGATTGAGACGAACTCGATGAATCAGGTCGTCATCGGTGAGAACAAAGGTAGTGGATTTCATCCGATTTTGATGATTGGCGAGACATCTGCATGCACCGCAGAGGTATATCGATGGTAGGCGTAGGAGGAGCTGAGTGGAAGGAGACTCTTGGCGAGATTTGCAATAGCGAGTCGGACGCGGAAGACCAGTTTTGTGAGTGGTATGGGTCGTGGAGTGGTAAGACAATAGTCGGAAACGAGGACGAGACCACTGACAAGCGTGTAATACGCGTTGAAGAAAATCAAGTGATGGTGATGAGACCAGAGGTTGATAGACCCTGGGTTTGTTTGAGCTTCCATGCAGCAACGCCGAAGGCAGTCGAAGCAGAGGAGATTGACTTGTTTGTGGCGCGCAAACCAATCCTGGGGTCCATGATGGGGCAGATTGATGATGTGGCGAAATGGCGAAGCGCAATGGGTTGGTTGAGGCACGTGTGAGAGAAGAACTTGTTGAGTCAAGTGTGATTAGAGAGGGTGTGAAGAGCTGTAGCCGAGGCTGTAGGGAATCATTGTGTTGTCGAGAGTGGCATAAGTAAACAAGAGAATGCTGTATGCTGAATATGGTAAGTAGTTAAGGGTAAGGGACCGAACTCTTTCTTCGTGATGAGTGTGAGTGAGGGGGTGCAGATGGAGAGAGAAGAAGATATATTAGAGATTGAAACCATAAACATCCGTCCAGCCAATCCGCCTACCACAGACGGCAGCACAGGATGCGAACCATTGCAAACGAAAACCAAACCTCTTTTCAGACGAATTCCTTGTACCTTGTTTACCTTGCCCTTCATAGCCTGAAACCTGGCTTCAAAATGCCTTCGCCCTCCTTTGCGCCCTCGTTGATCTTGTCGTTGTATGCGTTGGGGTCTCGTAAAAATGATTCGTCGGTGGAAAACGCCCTGTTGTGCCGGAAAAAAAGTCGTAAGCTTGTGTGTCTGATTTGTTGGGTTTTGCAATTTTGCTGTTATTTTTGCAGTTGTGGGCGTGAAGTCGTCAAATCATGGTGATGTACGTGAGAAGGGGAGCAGGGGCGGACTTAGTGCTTGATGCATGCCAAAAGGAAGATGACGATGTGCTCGGGCTTGCTGGAGTAGCTGGCCAAGATGAGTGGGCTTATAGCATTAGACGATGCTGGCACCTCCGGCACCGTAAGTGGCGACAGTGACCTTGGGTGCCAGATATTCAAGACCGGGCTCGAGCCACCAGTTCCTATACCAGGATAGTATCCTCTTTCAAACCTTGTGGAGTAGTGAGGGAGGCAAGAGAGTGTAAAGAAATGTGGTATGTGCATGGGAGAAGCATCGGAGCATGGAAGAAAAAAGACAAAACCAAGGAGAAATATCATACCAGCCACGTTCTTCGCCCTTCTCCAGGAAGGAGCAGTCACCGTTGACCTCACAATCCCAGCCGCCCTTGACACCCTTACCTCTCCAGTCGACGAAGGGGATGTTCTCGGGCTCGTCCAGTGTCCAGATGTGTTGCTTTTCGACGGGTGCTTCGGGAATGTTGCGGCGAGTAAACTTTGATAGCGAGCAGGTAAAGCATTTAAAGTCTTCCTCACTTGGATCCTCGGGCATGTTTCCGGTCAGAGCACGGCCAATACAGATCATACTGGCAGCGTGTGTGCAGATGAGTAGTGTCTTTGGTCCAGAAGGGTCCTGGTCGAGCTTCTGGATGACGTGATAGAGGGCGTAGGCGATACGGTCGTGAAGAGACGTCAAGCTCTCGCCGTTGACGCTGGGACGGATGACAGGCATGTAGGCCTCGGCAAGGCCATCAGGGAAGTGCTTGTGGAGAACATCAAGAGTAGCGGGAGAGGGGTGGTCGAAGCGGGCAAGACCGTAGAATTCGCCGACTCCGTTTTCGACGTGCACACGCAGCTTCTTGTCACTGGAACGATCTGTGTTGAGTTTCTCCACGGTGGGTTTGAGAGTTTGCAGGCAGCGGTAGAAGGGAGAGCTGTAGATGACATCGACAGGAGGATCCAGCTTGGAGATGTGCTCGGCCAGTTCCTTTGATTGGTTCACGCCATGTGCAGCCAGTGCCGGGTCCGATGCAATGCCAGTTGGTGTGGGGAGATTGCTTGTGTATGTGCCGGTAGTGGGGTCGACCACCCAGTTAGAGCGGAACTGTCATTGTCATGAGTATATTTCTCCGCGGTGAAGAGATGGAGAGGGTAGAGATAGATGTTGTGAAGCCTCAGGAGATGACGTTGGGACAAGGTACAAACGGAAGCTCATCTCCGCCAAGATCGTATACATGAGGCAAGTGCGCAAGAGCCCGACTCTTTTCTATGCGATGAGATGGAAAAAGGAAAGTGCGACCTGAGGGTCAATGACGCATCGTGCCTGCAGAAAACGGAGGAAAGAAACATCGGGATAGGGACTTACGCCGTGTCTAGTAACGTAGATAGTTTCGAGAACCATGTTGAGTCGCTTCAATCGCAAAGTCAAAGTTGTGCAGATGTTGGTGTTGTTGTCCACAAGGGTGGTGGAAGTTGTCGAGCGGAAGTTTTGAAGGCTGCGTCAGCGGCTTGCCTGGAGAATCAAACGGCCGTGCGAGAGCCACAAAAGTAGATGAGTAGAGAAGATCGATCAGCGGCTTGTAGGTCGGCCTTATAGGTTGAGATGGCAGAGAAGAAGAAAATCGCCGAAGAGTCAGAAGATTGTGGAAACATTTAGCAAACGACGTAGGACAAAGAAAGTGATTCATGATCACTCCGAAGCAAAGAAGCCGGATGAAGCCTGCCGAGCATTAATGGCAGGCTGCATGTGAAAACACACTCACACATCAAAGACATCGAAATCTACACCGCTTGATCAATCTGGTCTCTCACAGCATCGAACATGCATACGGAGGTGTTTGGTTTGGCAAAAACATCAATACGTGGGTCACGCGGATTGGGGAGAAGGTCTTTTGACAGAAACAAGATGGTAGACAAGCGTCACTGGCTCTTCATTGAAAATGCTCAAAGTGGTATCTAGAACGAGACGAATGCCTGAAACTTTTGGTGGCTGTTTGCCGGTCGTGAGGTGCAGGAAGATGCAGCAGAATCTAGTAGAAGAAACCGATGATCTTGCCGGCAACGTGCTTGCGGCGGGCCTCCTCGTGGTCCATGATACCGGCAGAGGTGGTCAGAACAATGTAACCGAACTGACGCGAGGGAAGGAGCTTGACAACCCACTTCTCCATGTCGCGGAGCTGGACGTTGTAGCGGGGAGAGATGACACCAGTCTTGTTGAGGCGGCCGTTAAGCTGGACAACAATCTTGCCGTTGCGGTGGTCGTCGACCTCCTCGAACTCGCCAATGTAACCTGAGCAGCAGCATATTAGTATGTTGCAAGAAAATAAACAGCAAAACATCATTGAGCAGTCCGAAGCCGTGTAAGTTCCTCGACGTTGATCTCCCGGATACTTAAAGGGCAAAGGCCGTGGGTGATTGAGACCGTTCACCTAGTTATCAACCCGGGTGTGTGTGTGTGCGCAGCTATGTACAATACTCCTCTTGCTTGTTTCGGACTGGCTCTTGATGTTGTGAATGAGTCGGACTTACCGTGCTTCTGCATGACAGAAAGGAACTTGACGATGACCTTGGAAGAAGGACGGATCAGGACCTGACGCTTGCCGCTCTTCTCGGCGTTGTTGATGGCGTTGAGGGCATCGTTGAGGACGGAAGTCTTGACCATTTTTGCGGTTGTCGGGCGAGATTCTCAAACGGCGAGTAAATAGGCGGTAGGAGGTATCTGCTGTCACGAAGAATACACATGTTAGCCCTCGGAAGCCATGAGCGCAAAGAGTGCCCTTCGGGAAGCGCAAGCGGATGTGCGACCAGAAGGGTTCTTCAGCTCGTCCATGTCAGACCGACGGTGTCCACTCTCGCTGAGGAGAAGGATGCGCCGGCCTGGGCTGCCTGAAGGGCACTCGAATTGCGAAAGTGACAGGGCATGACTGCGCCTGCCTGTTGCGACGACTTACCTCACGGATTGGCGGCTGGAGTGATGGTAGAAGAAACGACAGAAGGAGCGCACTTGGAGACAGGGAGTCGAAGAATTTGCAGGGCAGTCGCAAGTCTTGGCAGCAAATTCGGATGGCACAGGTATTGTGGGGGCCCGAGCGCGGCGCTTTCCCTTTCAGGCGAGGCGTGAAGCGGCCAGACGCCAATTTTGCTGGCGAAGTCTCCGCAACGAGCGAAGGAGGCAGAACAAAAGCACCCCACCCCCGAACAACAGCAATCTTTTTCCTCCTTCAGCTCTTCTTCCTTTCCCTCACCCACCCTCTACACAACACAAACACCGCCAATATGCTTATCTACAAGGTGCGACCCTCTTCCGATCGGACAGGCTGCTGCAACTCGAGCTCCCGACTTTTCTTCTGCTCGAGCTCGAATCGCCGCGTCTCTTGACAGATCAGCCACTCCTTGGACCTCTGAACCCCGAGCTGACTCAACGCCCAGGATGTTATCACCGGAGACGAGATGATCTCGGACTCCTACGACCTCAAGGTCACCGACAACGTCATCTACGAGGCCGACTGCGCCCGTATCACCGTTGGTGGTGACAACATCGGTACGCCCGCCCCGAATCCTCAACAACTTTCTCGACCTTGATCCAGTCGCTGACAGCCCATCTTCCAGACATCGGTGCCAACCCCTCCGCTGAGGATGGTGGTGATGAGGGTGCTGAGGATGCCACCTCCACCGTCATCAACGTTGTCCACTCTTTCCGCCTCAACGAGACCTCCTTTGACAAGAAGTCCTACCTCGGCCACCTCAAGCAGTACATGAAGAAGGTCAAGGAGAGCATGAAGGAGCGCAACGCTTCCGACGAGGAGATCAAGGAGTTCGAGACTGGTGCCCAGACCTTCGCCAAGAAGGTTGTCGGCTCCTTCAAGGACTGGGAGTTCTTCACCGGCGAATCCATGGACCCCGACGGCATGGTCGTCCTCCTCAACTACCGCGAGGATGGCAGTAAGTACTATACACGAATACGTGTTCTGTAAACTATCGCTAACCTATTTCCTCTTTCAGCCACCCCGTACTGCTGCTTCTTTAAGTGCCACCGCCCCGAATCTGACGACTGCAAACTAATATCTTACAGGGAAGCACGGTATGACCGAGATGAAGGTTTAAGCCTCTCAAAAAGCAGGCAAGCTGGTTGCATATCTGGGCTCTTGTCTTTTTCCAATTACGCGCTTTCTTATGATATCCACGAGCCCAATAAAAGCACGCTCACCTTTTTGACACCAATATTCTTGTTCCTCTTGTTGTTCTCTCCTTGTGATAACCTTTCTGTTCGACCATCAAGGTGCCTCTTGGATCTTAGATATCTCAAAGACAAAATCAGATGGTTACCTAGTGAAGACAGTTGCAGTAGCAGTCACGGCAGACCCTCTAATCATCATGGTGCCATGTACTTTTCTAACATTCATCGATACGGTCGAGTAAGCTTCCAGCAATCTAGGACATTCGATATGCTAATGAGTTCGAATTCATGCATCCATATAGAGATATCGTTTAGAGTTGGAGTAACAAAGATAACATTTTCCACCATAGATAATCTCACTAGATACATGCATCCTTGCGATATTTTGGAAGTATAAGTATGCTAATGATGTCGAAGTATAACATAAACGACATGATCGGCGTGATGATTGTTTTTCACAAGAACTACGATGATGTCGTTCATGATACCCCATAGTCAATAAGTCATGGCTGTCTTCAAGCGTCCTCATGACAACCATGCACTTTCGCGGGGTTTCTGGCCTATCAACGATCCTCTTTGGTAATTGCTATGTGACCATTACACTTATCGTATAACATTCGGTAGATCATATGTCAGCTCAAGCTTCTTGATCCTTGTTTAACTGCAATCGATGCCTCATGCTTGAGACCAGGGTCCTACACGCAACAATGTCTGATTTCCAATCGTACGATCTCATTGGTGCGAACAAGCTGGCGCTTAGCTGCGGCACGGACCGTGACGACGAGACCCCATTTTCCGTCCCACCTCGTGCCTCAGGTTTACGCTTTTAACTACATCTTGGACATTCCCTTAACATTCCATTCTTTTGGCGTTTTGGTTGCTCATCACTATACTCTGGCTATGCATTGAGCACTCGACCATCTCCCTGCACTGGCTTCGGCGATGGCTGCGTTGGGCCCTGATTTCAGCCGTCCCAACGGCGGCTCACCTGCGCCGACCCACTCCCCGGGGGCAAGCAAGCAAGGAGATTAACAACATTATCGAATCGATTGCCCAAGAATTCGGTCTACCCCTACAACCTCGACATGGCACATTCTCTCCCAGCAAGCGACCTGATACCTATTCCGAGAGATGTGTTGCTCACATCAATTTCTTATTCTTTCGCAACCGGATTGTCATGAACGATGTCTTCGACCAGTTCCGCAAGGATAGAGCCGACAATTGTATCCCTGGAGATCAACTCGAAGCATTCTATACTCGACTTAGAGATGCAGTCTATCCCGAGAGCAATAAGCCATAACTTGGAAAACTGCAATTGAAACAATCTGGTGCCTAACAAAACCACAAGTTTAAGAAACCTGCTTCGAAACTCTCTTTGACAAAATTGATACCGACGATCAAGAAGAACTCGGATCATGTCAAAGTCACCGACACCGAGAACTAGAGCCCAAAGGACACGCTACTTCCTGTCAATCAATCTTTTGTCTTCGAGTACGAACCTGTGACTCGAGGTATTGAGCGACTCTCTGATCAAGACTCTTACTTGTATTCAAAGTACGTGCGCCCCTTAAAGCAGCGGCGACAGCAGCCATCACTCGACGATCCTTTCTCACGCAAGATCAGCCCTTCAAATCCTAGCTATGCCTCGTCGGACCGGACCGTTTCAGTCTCGGCGTACCCTAAGAATGCGAACCAAAGCTTTGCTACAACGGTTGCTACTTCTTTCAATAGTGGCTACGATGAGTGGGACTCTTCAAGCGCTGACTATAGTGATCCACCGGATCCGACTTAAGCTGCTCAAATCGATCAGCTCTTGACGAGCTTTGAAAACCCCTCTTACGACACAGAAGATGCTGGAGTAATCAACCAGTCATATGATAAGTGTGGGCAAGCATCTGATAATCAGCTCTACCATCGTCCGTCGGTCACGTCAAGTCTAGTACATCTGTAGCGAGCGTCCAGCTTTAAGCCAAGTTCGCAGCGCTTCCGAAAGTACCGATCCTCAAGACTAAGGCTACCTCAATTACGAAGGTGCTTAAGCATAGGCTTGTCCGCACTCTCCCAACTGATGGTCTTTTCGGTTCGCCTGTGACTACCAGCGTCAACCACTCGTCATTTCGTCACCTCTAGGAAAGCTATCGACTTGCAGAAGCTACTAGAAGACCCTTTGAATACTACGCGAACGAAGATGAGCTTTACAAAAACATACCTACTGGGGCCCAGTCCCAGAAAACCCCTGCTTCGGTGTGGGACGCTACGACCGATCCCACACAGTCAGCAAACGTCATGCTTAAAGCCAACCTCAACTTCAATCCAAGTGCCTCCGCCGACAAGCTGTTGACTCTCTCATTGCAGCCGCTCAAGTGTGAGAGAACTTGCATATTACAGAGACGCTTTGGGTCAAGCCGCTTTCTCTACGTCGAGGTGCCACAGGTCCACACGTTCAATGGCATCCATCTTAAGGGCCAGCAAGATCTTCTCAAGTCACGATTCAAAGAGTAGATGTGCACCGAGAAGAAGTTCCTCGGTCGTATTTGGCGTGTCTTTCATGTTTAAGATGTTAAGAAGAAAAACAGCAAGGACAACCTGCCGAGTCAGCGTTAGGTGCTCTTCGCTGTTGATGGACCTCGTCTGTAGAAGATCAGCCTCTACGAGATTCTCAATTGGGCTATTCTACTGGGCAAGAATGGTCAACAAGGGTTCCGCAAGGCATACGCTCGCCTGGATCTATTCCTGTCTCAGACAATACCAACAGTTAGGTTCACTTACAGAGAGGTCAAATATGTGAAAGACGCTTTGGCAGATGGCACTCTAGAGAGCGAGGAGTTTAACGATCGCCGTATGAAGTTCGAGTATCGCCATGGACCACCGGATCAGAGAGCTGTCATGAATGATGGTTGCTCACTGATTTCGGTTGGTGCAGCAAAAGAGTCGTGCCAAGATCTCGGCATCAAGGGAGTTCGTCCTGTTGCTTTTTAAGGACGTATCAATGGCTGCAAAGGTGTGTGGATGATTAGCGCACCATATGACACGACCGACGCGAAGCACCTCAAGAGATGGATTCACATGTCAGAGAGTCAACGTAAAGTCATACCGAGAGACGAAGACTTCTCCGATAGTTGTGAGGCTGATAGATGGTCATTTGAACTGGTCAAATACACCGCACCACCAAAATCGTCAACACTGAATCTGGACTTCATCCCAATCTTACAGAACCGTCACGTTTCTCGCATTACATTGCGACAAGTAATTGAAAGCCAACTGGAGATGGACTTTGCGGCCTTCTTCGAATCCCTTGATGACCCGGTAAGCTTGCGTCGCTGGTTGCATTCCGAGTTTGGCGGTATGGAAGAGATGAATCGAAAACTTGGCATCAGAGAGGCTGGCAACTTTCCATCTGACTGGGTGGAGAAGTCCATCTTGTTGCTCGAGTCTAGATTCAATCCTTTGACAAGTCAGTACCTTGCCACATGCATCTAACAAGTTGTCAAGCTATGGCTCTCCTCCGTCCGCTCGAAGCTGAAAATCCGTCTCGGTAAATCTGCTATGGCTCTGGGCGTGGCTGATCCAACTGGATGCTTGAAACCTGGGGGAATACACATGGCTTTCTCAGAAACATTTCGAGATGAGGTGTCTGGCGAGGTCTGGTCACATCTCAAGAGTGAGGTATCGGTTGCAAGACACCCTTCGCTCAGATGTTCCGACTTGCAAAAAGTCAGAGCTGTGTATAAGGAGGAGCTCAGCCACTTGACCGATGTCGTGGTATTTCCATCAACAGGCTGTGTTCCACTCGCACACAAACTTCAGGGTGGTGACTACGATGGTGACACGTTCTGGCTTTGTTGGGACCCAAGGTTGACCGCTGATTTCGAGAATGCACCTTCGCCGGTCGAAGAGCCAAAGTTGGAATACTACGGCATCAAAAAGGACTCGCGTAAATTAAGGGATATTCTGGGCAGCGATAACAATGTCGACACTTGGTTGTCTGAGAGTTTCGCGTTCAAGCTATAAGAAGATCTGCTGGGCAAAGCTACAAAGATGCATGGCAAGCTGGCCTACAAAGAAAACTCGATCTCTTCCAAGAAGGTAGAGGATCTAGCTAGCTTGCACGATCTGATCATCGACTCGGCAAAGAATGGTTATACATTGACTCTAAGCTCTTTCAACAATTTTGTCAGGAAGAAGCTCGGAATCAAAGGTAGCTTATACAAACCAGCTTACGAGTCTTGGATGAACCCGAAGACTGACAGCACAATCGGACGTCTGGAACCTAATCTTAAGCACATTACTGACTACTTGCTCGTCGAGGTGGTTAATCCTCGCATCGAGCAACTCACAAAGGACTGCTAAGAGAAGTTAGCTCATGCGGAAAGCTACGACGAAGACCTGGTGAAGCCCTATTAGGACCGACAAGTCGACATCGACCCCATCGTTGTTGATGTTCTCAGACGCCTGAACAAGGATCTAGCAGACGTCAACTTCATTGGCAACTCAGCAGAAAAGATGACTAAGGAAGCATATACAATCCAAGCCAACCGCGTGCTCGAATCATATACCGCAGTGCAACCCATCTACGCCGAAGATCGCCTCGTACAGGAATGGCTCAAGAGAACAACTCCAAACTCGCCCAATACTTGGGAATTAATCAAAGCCTCTGCATTCTACTTTGATAAGCACAGAACCCAATTGACGCTGGCGTTTTTGGTGGCTGGCAAAGAGCTGTGCTATAATAAAGGCCATGGCTAGGTCTGGCAGTAAGGTGATTGTGGAGGATCTGTATGCAACGTATAAGCCGAAGAAGGAGAAGAAGGCGATCAGCAAGCGTCAAGTTCCGCTGCCCATCACCGAGTCCTCTAAGTCAAGTGAAGAGGAGTTCTTTGATGCTCCTGGATGATTATACTCGGATACACGGTGGAGCGGTTGACATCATCAGGATTTTGTCTCCGGCGCTGGGTAGAAGGCGGCATAATACTTCGTCCATACAAGAGGCTGTGGAGGATTCACAGGCGTCCGTGCTAAGATGCGGCAGACTGACGTCAATTTACGACTCACGAAACGAAATAATAGAATATCTTACGAATGATCACTTATCTCGTTTCCTCATATCCATACTTCCAATCCGATGTCCATAATTGATCCTGCGTTACCGGAGTCAGTGCCTGGTTTAGCTCGATACCAGGATAGACCAATGACGCTCGATACGTTTGCCATATACAATCTGATTGATGGAGAGAAAGAACCATCCAACCTTATCGAAAAATGTCATTCACAGTGTCCGCGAGATGACTATCTCTACTTCCGAAAAGCGCCTGAAATCACATCGATCCGAAGCCTGATTGACTTCCACCTTCATACGACTGTTCTAGACGGCTTCGATCCGAATCTGTTCCTCGTTGTCACCAACTTGGACTGGCAGCGGAAAGGTCTTATGATTGTTACAATAGACAATGATGAAGGCAAACCAGACAAATTTACCATGAAGGCGGCAAACTCGGGGATCCTTCTCATCAGTCCGCAGATCGGCAATAACAGACTGGTATGAAGCAAAAGAAAACTACGAAATCATAAATAAAGGCGACATCTCGAATGCGTCCGAGAATGTGATCAGGGGCTCAAAAAAATACAGTGGAGAAGTTGCACCTCGGCAGGACCAGAGCTCAGGAGTTACAATCAAAGGGCAGGCAGGGCAGATATCAAGAACGAGGTTAAGGTCAACTTCAAAGAAAAGGTCATGCTCCAAGAAGAGGTCAATTCAGGGGCAGGTTCAACTTCGATGACAGGTCAGTCTCCAAGGGCTGCTATCAGAGGGCAGGGAAAAGCGGAGATCAAGCAAGTAGCTCTCGTGTAAACTAGAAAAGGATACCAGCCCCTACATCATCAACCTTGCTGTCATTATGAGTCCTGTATTAGTTCCAACTCAAGTCACTCTTGATCAAGAACAGTAGGAATCTTGTCGATCCTCATGGCTCGAGCAAGTCTCGTACAGGGTTCATTTTTGCAAGCTGAGCTGCGACTCATCACGAAACATAGCAGTGGACCTCGATCAAAAGTCATCGGTGAAGCAGATATGTATACCCACGAGAGAAGAATCAATGTCTGACATCTCAAGAAACATCACTTGAAGCACTATCACATTGCACGCAGAAGCCATGGCACAGAGATGCAAGTATGAGAAGTGGAGGTAGAGTTCTTGTTCCTCATTGACTAAGTGCTTCACTTGCACTGTCACTCTTTGTAGTAGTCTTTTGAACGCCATCCCAAATGCTTTCCATCACGCCATGGATCCATGCTATGCACCAAAGCGAATCTCGAAGGAGGAGAGAAGCAAGCCCCTAATGCCGTGACTCTAGGCTTTCATCAATGACCTCTTGAATCCTCATTCGTATATAGGTCCACTTACGAAAAAGGAAAGACGGATATGTGCAGCTCAGATAGAAGGGTTGGCAGGTGGCATCAGAGTGGCCCAGATGATTTTGAAGGGAAGAGAGGGAGAGGGGGGACTAGCGATGGGCTCAGGCTTGGGACCGAGGCCAACATCGACGCTGTCAGAACTGGGAGGCTGGTCGACGGGCTCAGGCTTGGGGATGGGCATGGGGAAGTAGTGCATGGGAGCAGCAGCCTTGTTGATGGTGATGGCAGAAGTGGCTTTGTTGTTGCCGGAAGTGTCGGTGACCTTGTTGTCCTTGTTGTCCTTGTTGTCCTTGTTGTCCTTGTTGTCCTTGTTGTCCTTGTTGTCCTTGTTGTCCTTGTTGTCCTTGTTGTCCTTG